TGTGATTTCTGCCTGCTTTAAAATCAGGAGTTTGACAGCACTCACAGTGCCAAGGAGTTTCATCCAGGAGAATCAGATGTTTGATACTGACTTCTCTGGATTATCTCCTCTTTATTTTCCTGGACGCGTTCTACAGATGTTTGTGTTTTTAAAACACTCATAAGTTACTCCGCTGTCTCGTCTTTTCTCTTCCCTGGAGCTCAGATAAATCATAAAAGCATGTGGGTGACTCTGATGATGTTTCCTCCTGTGTCAGCGAGGACAGGAGATATAAGAGGATGCTCTGCCCCCTTCAGGCTGTAGGGAGAACTGCAGGGTTCGTCATTCAGGACTGAGACCTCAGATAACACCAACACTGAAGCCTTTAACTTCTCACATATTCCCTTTGAAGCCGAGACGCTGTGCTAAACTCTGACATGTCACAAATTAAATTCTGGTGATCAAACACTTTGCAAAGTTTGCAGATTACAGAGAAAAAAGCTGCAGAGGATTTCTGCAGAAACACTTCATAAAGCACAATTAAAAACTTTTTATCTGATGGTGAAATATGGAGGTTTATTATGCAGAGCCTTTGAACTGACCTGATGAGCTGTTTAATGCACAAACACTGTTTATCTTTACGTCTTTTAACATATCTAAAGGCTGGTGCGCACACATACTTTTTGAAGATTTATGCTCTTGGTAGAAGAATATAAAGCAGTGTAGAAGAACTTGATATTTATAATGAACAACCAGGACCACAGCAGAGCTGCAAGACTGAGAAGCTTTACCTTTCTTTACAGAGCTTCTGCTCAGATACATCATTACACTAAATGAATCCAAGGACCCTAAAAAACTCAAGGACAAGCGTCACATTTCACTGAGGATCTCAAAGACTCAGGCCATGATTTGCTGCACAAATTATCAGTTTTTTGTAAATAAAGTTAGTGTCTTTTCTTTAACTATATTTAAAGAAGCTGCAAACACAATACTGACATGTCGTACAGAGTCTACGGTCAAGTGTTCATTTTGGCAGCTTCTTCAGTCTTATGGGGCACTCACACCAAGCGCAAGTAAAATCATCTACTCGCTTAATTTGTGTGAATGAATAGTATTTACTCACTTCATTCACGTATCAACGGTAATTTCAACGGTAATCCCTGCAAGTTCAACCAGCAGGGTCAAGTGATAGACAAACGTTTTTTACAACTCATTAGGTAATCCAACCTCCTCACTCACCTGCCTCCAGGCGAGCTCTTTTTTATTCCAGTTCTGGTAATTGAAAGCTAAGGTATCATATGATATATTAAATATATATAAAAGTGTCGGGCACCCACACACCAACATGATCAGTTTGTCCTCCATTTTAGATACCAGTGAACAACCGTCCGCTTTCATACGTCACCCGGCAACCTTCTTGCTGATTAGTTATTGCAACGCAAATATCCTCTCAAATTGAGACATTTTCAGCTCACGCACAATTCGCGTCATTCTCGCCATTCGCGCCGCCAGATTAGTAGGACCGTCTGTGTTTCAGGGACAGTAATGAGCAGTACAGGGGCTCCACAAGGGACAGTGCTGGCGCCATTCCTGTTCACACTGTACACGTCAGACTTCAAATACAGCACTGAGTCCTGACACATCCAGAAATACTCAGATGACACCGCTATGATGGCATGTATCAGAAATGGACAAGAAGCTGAATACAGAGATCTGATAAGAGCCTTCAGTGGCTGGAGTCACAAAAACTGCCTCCTCCTCAACACCTCGAAGACAGAGGAGATGGTCATAGACTTCCGTAGATCCAAACCCCCTCTTCAGCCAGTGAACACCTGTGGAGTGGACATCGAAGTGGTGACATCATATAAATACCTAGGTGTACAATTGGATAATAAGTTGTATTGGTCTAAGAATATAGACTTCATCTACAGAAAGGGGCAGAGCTGCCTCTTTTGCCTGAGAAGACTCTGATCAATAGACATCTGTAGTAAGATGCTGCAGATGTTTTATCAGTCTGTGGTGGCAAGTGTTCTGTTCTACGCTGCAGTCTGCTGGGGATGAAGCATCAAACACAAAGATGCAAGACATCTTAACAAACTGGTGAAAAAGGCTGGCTCTGTGTTTAGACTCAGGCTGGACTCAGTGGAGGATGTGGTGGAGAGATCTACACTGAGGAAGGTGGAGTCTATTCTTAAGAACATGGATCACCCACTTCACAACACCTTGATAGACCAAAGGGCCAATGGTGGTGATACATAAATAATAGATCACTTTTAGAGACATACTATGTGAGACAACAGACAATTTAATTTTCCTTCGGGGGTTAAAAAAGTTCTTCTTAATCACGTCTTTGCATTGACTTAACATGTAATTCATTCACGTGAATGATTTAACTTGAGCTTGGTGTGTGGAGACAGTTAGTCTCTGAACTAAAATGCTTTTTAGCTGCAGTAACATTTTTTTTTTCTTTTTTGCTCTTAGTTGTTTTTGTTTAGGAACAAAAGCAGAGGTGATGGATTGGTCTGAATTTCTAAGAGTGCTGAAAGAGGGGTGGTTGAAGTGTGGCTCCAGACTTTGCGTTACAGCACCACTTAATACATACTCCCCTTTTTCGACAGGGTGAGCATGACCCCTCTGTTATTTACTAGGTTGTTGCTGACCCTGTCGGTTAGAGTGATCATGACGGTGACGCTGCCATGGTAACGGATTCTCTGTAGGCTGTCTTGCACAAATTAACATCTAGACAAACATATCAATTCATGGTCAAGTTCAAACGTTAGCAGGCTCTTCGGTTGTGCAGACAGGGTGAAATGTGCCACACTGAACACTACTCTCTATTTTCCTCTGAGTGCACAGTGAGTAAAAACAAGATAAACAGTTTGTTCCTCATGTATTGACTCTCTGAACACCCCCATCCACCCACGCACGCACGCACGCACGCACGCACGCACGCACACACACACACACACACACACACACACACAGGCTTAATTAGATGAATAAAGGGAGAGGATTTCATCACCTTTCTCCCTACATCTCCCTACATCTTTAGACAGAAGCAAGGATGTAGACCATTCAAAAGAGCTCCTCTTCCTCTTCTTCCTCATTCATAGATGCTCAAACACTTAGTGATACATATCATAAAGCCCACGGCTGAGTCAGGACCCATATGCATCAGCGTGACGGTCGCCTCCTGTTGTAAAAAAAAAAAGAAAGAAAGAAGAGGAAACTGAGTTTGAACAGAGTGGGTGAGGGATGGTGTGTCATTTTATTCTTAATGACAACTGAGTAAACGAGTGTCTCTCTGAGATAAGGGTCCACTAGAAACATGAAAACATGTACAGATAATGAAAATGACGATGCAGAAGGAGTTACATGCAGAAATATGCTTGCTTACTGTTTATTGTCTATATGAAACATAGAGGTGATGAAATCAGTGCAATAGTTTCTAGATGCTGAGCTAAAGGACTAAACCAACAAGGACAAGAACAAATAAAACTTTATATGAGCACCATCTGAAATTAGCTAAATGTGAGACAGACTCTGAGCAGCAGTGAGGAGTTTATGAAAAGCAGATGTGAAGAATAAGTAAACTACCAAACTATAACAAACTTTAGATCATTTTACTGGCTGTTTGCTTTGATTTTCAACAACCTTTGTCAAGCATTTAGTCAGGATGCATGATATGTATTTCTTGAGTTGAACCAACATCAACCTGCTCCTGATGTCTTACATTGATAAGATAACTGATATTTAGACATGTTTGTATTTTTAAACGTGTAGTTTCTCCACACCTGAGAGTGCGAAATGCAAACACTAAGTGTGCACCAATACAGAAAGTAAGCACAGAATATTAATAGAGCGGCAAAAACTTTAAGAATCATGTTTGTCTTGTAACTTTTCTCAGAGTCTTACTGTCTTTACCACGGGGAGTATGAGTGCAGCTTCATCAAACTCACAGGTCAGAGGTAAATCCTCTGAAAGTCACTAGCTGTTTTAGTTTCAAAATGTATACATAAATCAAAGTAATATAAATTGGCTCAGGATACTTTCTATCATATCAATGCAAATGTCATCATTAAAATGTTATTTAATGGGCCTGGGGTTGATGATATATGCACAGTAACTTGTCTTCCTCTGAGTGCACCATACGCACACAGACCCTCACCACTTATCGAGGGTGGAGGGGAAAGATAGAGATGAAATATGCAGTATGTAATAATAATACCACTGTAATGAAAAAGTGTCATGCCCGTGCCACCATGAACTTTATCACTGCAGTATTTCACCTGGAGTTTTAGCCTCATTTAATTAGAAAGGGGAGTAAACGACTGGACAGGACTGATCTCAACCATCCAGCTACAACAGAGAGATGCTTCTTCTTCAAAGGTAGTTATCCCATCTAGTTAGACATAAAAAGGGGTTTTGAGCCCTTATTCTGTGTTTGGACTCTGCATGTGTGCTTTTAACTTTGAGCCTCTTGCAAGAGTGGTGGTGCCTCTTGATTTTTGCGGAGCATTTCTCTGATATTAAAGCCATTTAAAATCTAACTTCAGTTTGTTTATTCCTCACCACGAATTTTCTCAATAGAGGGCATGGACAAACTACATAAATAAGAATGAACACAACTCCTATACAAAATATATTAAACTTATCACATTGACAATGTTAGAACAGCTCTAACACTTAAGTATTATTAAATATCAACAATGAGCCATTAAAGCAGCTGTAATTTAGAGACCCGAACCAGTGTTTCATTTAATCTGAATAAAGTGGCAAATACAGTCTGTATGTTCTGCAGAGCACGTACTAGGCCTTCTTTAGTGGTCAGCTGTAAGCCTCTTGGGATCTCAAATGAGATGGTGATGGGCTTACATGTGAGGGCTGGGTCTCTGTGCTAGAGTATTAGTGGAGCTAAAAGCAGGAATACCACAAAGACCTTTCAGCTCCTCAGGAGTAACTTTAGTCCACATACAGTCACCTGCAGATGGAGGAGCAAACACACCCTTAAGTTTATCATCATGTTTGGAAAGATTAAGGGGATCCTCAGTGGCCCCCAGGTGCCACAAGCTTCAGGGACCACCAGAGCGGGCGCTGACCCAGCTCCAGCTGCAACACCAGCTCCTGCACCAGCTCCAGTCAAAGTAAGTCTTATTGGGAGGTTGTAAAACAAGCTTGTCATTCTGTCAGTTATTCATAGCTGAATTTTTCCAAAAGCTATCACTATACAGAAAGAGCAGATCTGGACTAAATTCTGTCGTAATTCACAAAGACCCAACACTGATAAAGTGTATGGCAACAGTGTCAAGAAAAACAGTAGCAGACTGACTGGGCAAAGCCATCCGCCATGAGAGAATGGTTAGATTAGGGCTGTTACAATATTAGATTTTCACATCATGATAATCGAGGCCATGAAACTCAAATGGAAAACTTGGAAAGAAAACAACACAATCAGTCAAACTGAGGAAAGGTAAAGAAGAATGGGGCAACACACTACTTCAGCTGGCTGCAACAAAAATCTTACAAGAAACTTACAAGACAAGAAAGCTCAAGAGCTCCTAGGTATATTCCTAGTTAATAACCTGACTTTTGGCAGTTTTATAAAAAATAAGAAAAATAAAAAATCACTTTATTTGCCAGCATAGGCAAGCCAAACAGAAGAGATAGTCATAATCATTAAGTGTGCATTACATAATTATTATGTAATGCACACATAATGTCAAACCAAGACTTTTCTTTGTGGTTGTGATGCCATGTTTCGCTGCTGCATACAGGTCTGAGGTGGTCATTCAAATATTTTGCCAAGCATGAACATGGCATGAGCATATTGAAGGAAGCCAGTTTAATTTGGGTGTATAGAGAAATGGATGTAAATTTAAAAGCAGATGCCCTCTCCAGAGGGATTTTGTGTTATTGCAGATTGTATATTGGGATAATGGTAAATGTTTTGCTTTTAGGTTTATTGGTGCTTTTAGTGTAGCAGCTCTGGAACTTACCATTGTTGTTTTGTTCTCTGTATCATTACACATATATCTTATTATCCAAATAAAGGTTTATTGGAAATGGAATGTCAAGCTTTACCCAGCCATGGTAGATCAAATCGTTGCCTCTAGACTCTGTTAAATCTGCCATATTTTACCACAGACTTGCGTATGTTTCTACATCTTTTAAGGTTTTGGAAATCCATGTTGTGGGGCAGCCATCAGAAAAAGAGTTCCTCAGGCAGCCCAGAAGGAATTAAGTGTAAATGTCAAGTCCACAACCTGAACAAAGCAAACATTTAATTTAGCTCATGAAGGTCAGCTGAAATAGCAAAGAGCAGGTAAGCTATAGTATATATCAGGAGTCAGAGCTGTTTCAGATGCAGCTGTGGTTGAAGGTGTCCATGTAACAGTGAAGTGGGAGGTTACAGTTAATAAAAATAATAATAATAATTAGATTAAGCTTGCCAACGATTTGTAATTTTAAGATTATCTTGACAGCAAAGTCTTCTTATTTGGTGTTTTATACTGAGTGACTAAATCCAATATTTCCTAATAACCCACTTTTTTACTGATTAGAGAGTCTCAGAGTTTCTATTAATTCCTCTGTGATCCTCTAACTGTTCATTTTGTGCCAACTGTCTAATAACAGCAGCCAAGACTTACAAGACTTGACAGAGTGACGATAAAAAAAGCGATAAATTTATAAAGTGAGTGGTTTGGATTTGTTTCTGTTCCAATCACAGCAGCGATCTCTCCTCTCCATCCATCATGCGTCTCTGTACTCAAGCCAAGAAAGAATCAAATGAAGTGAAATTACTCAGCAGGCGTTTTAGTATCTGTTCATCTTGAACACAGCTTGTGTTTAAAAAGGAAAGAGAGTCATTTGTCAGATGGTGCTTCACTTTTCTTTAAAAAGATTGAATCTGTGTGATGAGGAGTCTGACTGACATGGTGATTTATGCTGCAGGAGGAGAAACCAGCTGAGGGAAAGGATGAGGACAAGAAGGAGGACAAACCTCAGAGTAAGTCACTGTTTTTATTTTTTCAGGAAATAAAAGACCACGCAGCTTTTCCTGTTTTTCTCTGTGTCCTTCACCTGTTCTGCAACACAGCCTGTGACCCAGGTGCATGCTGGGTGCACTGGGTTTGACCTGAGGCCTAGAAACAGAACTTAAATAACATAGCTGTTGTATTACCTCCTAATGTTTGAGTTGTTCATAAGCCATATGATTATTATTTCCAATAACATGTTCATGTTCATCATTTTGACTGCATGCAGGTATAATCAATCATTTTTATGGGCTCTGTAAGATAAATTGAATTTTATTTTGTTTGTTTAGATTTCGCATTTGAGTCAAATAGAGAGTTCATCTGCAGTACAACTGACAGCAAACAATGGTCAAGTAAAACAAATATTGGTAAATAAGATTAAAGTGGTGAAATAGAAAAAACAGTTAAATAAAAGGCTTTAAAAATGAGTACAAAAACATATTCTGTTATCCACGAGAGGATTGTGCAGCTTTTACTGAACCTGAGCAAACATGACAACAAGTCATATTTAATTCAAGTCTAATTCACAAAACACACACAAAGGGGTAAGTGTTTTTGAAACTGCTCTGCACGAACAAAAAGAGTTTCTGTGTGCACATATTCAAATAAGTTATGCTTATTGAATACTTGCACACACAAAAAGTTATGTTTATTTGGGTCAACATTTGCTCCTTTTTTGTGCAAATCAGCCCAATCCAAAAAATGTCGACTTTGCAAACACAGGACACATGCTGAATTGCTGGGTCAGCATTATCCAAGACTCAAACACTTCTGTTAACAAAATCAAACAAAACAAAAGTGGAAATCCAAAACAGTCAAACTTATCAAGTGTATTCTAAGCCTGTATTTGGTTATATTTGACAAAGTTTTACCCTGAGTTAGCTCAAATAGCACCAGCAGCAACATTCAGGGCTCTATTTTCGTGTACGCCCGTGAGGCGGCGGAGGGCGGCGAGCCCTGCACAGTTGTATTTTCGTCTGGCCCAGCCCGGCGTACAGCCAGTTTGGTATTTTCGTGGACTGAGGCGCACGGAGGCGAACCGAGATCCGCCAAGCTGGGCGTGGTGGCGTGGCAGGGGGAGGTGTCGACAGAATCAGCGGGCGCAGTGACATTTTAAGGCTCGCCACCGGCGTGTAAAGTGCGCTGAAAGCTCGCCGATTCAAACCTGGTCAGCTATCAGCGCAGGCGGAACGCAGCTGGTCTAGTAGTATTTTGGTAGACCGGCGGTGTATCGGCATACGTCACCGATGCCTCACCGGCAGGTTTTTCACAGTGTCAGGCACATTTCAGTGCAATAAATAATCATCATCAACTAATAATCTGAGTCAGCACATACATTTGGATCTATATCGATATATTCTGATCTATATGTGATCGGATGAGCGCATTTGGCACGCGTTTGGACACACAACCTGACCGAATCAACACAGCTGAAACCGCATTAAACTAAATTAAATATCTAGTAAATAGACACACATGATGAAGTTAACAAGATATGTAATTCGTCTCCCTCCTTTTCTTTCTTCCTCTTCCTCTTATTTCTCGCACAGCTCGACCTGGACATGTCTCCGTGTCCTCTCTCCGTCCTGCAGCAGCAGCAGCTGAACAGATGATTTGTTTCCGTGATCAGATGCGTTATCTACTTTAAGCCGACATACGGATATTATAATATTCAGTTTTGTGAGCCAAATTTATCTTATATGCCAACATCTATGAAAGAAAGAGCCAGGCCACGGAGCGCGATGCGTCATTTACGCACAGATGGTTCTGATTTTAATGCCATTTTTAGAGTTAATGTTGTGATCTGTGAGCTCAACCCACCTTTGTCACGTGAGGTTTGAATATATGCAACTTTATGTGAGTGTCTTTATTTGTGGAAAAGGGTGTTTGTCTTACCAGTGGGTCCAACATTACACACACCAAATCCATCTGTGCTTATGTGAGAGAGTGTGGAGGACGCCCTCTGCAGCGTTCACAGTGACACTTGTTGAGGAGCTGCCTTCTGTCGCCATCTTGTGGCAGAACTGTCTAAAGACGTCTCTTGATCTCTTTGACTACTTCACAAAAATGGTAATACGCCTCGCCTGTGGCGGATTTAAAGGCAAGGAGAGGAGCTTATGTGATTGGTGAAAACAGGTCTCGGCTGTGTTAAACCCACTCCACGCCCTTTCTTCTCCCACGCTACGACTTACGCCGCTGGGAGGAGCTGAGTTAGGGAGGGGGGATACTTACGCCGGGCTGCGCTGCTCACCAAAATACCAAATTGTGCTTGGGAACGGCGCGGCGGACCTGACTTACGCTGCGCCTGCAGCACGTCTCCGGCGAGGCACGAAAATAGAGCCCTCAGAGTGTCTCTCAATATTTCCTCTGCTGATACCACAACAGGATGCAAAAGAGAAAAAGGAGATCAAATTAAATTCATGGTAACACTTTATTTGACACCTATCGCTATAATGCATCATCATATAATGGGTTAGAATCACGTTATAGCACTGGATAACTATAGTTATAAACACTCATGAATGATCATAATGCTTTATAGCAATAATCATTAGACATTATAAAGCATTTTATCATGACTTACGAGGTCAGGTATTATAATGTGTTATAACTGTTCACAACCCACATAGACAATGCCCACATAGATAATGCAATGCAACTGTTGTTAACAGTTATAACACATTATAATACCTGACCTAGTAAGTCATGATAAAATGCTTTATAAAGTGTTGTGATTATTGCTATAAAGCATTATGATCATTTATGAGCGTTTATAACTATAGTTATTCAGTGCTATAATGCGATTCTAACACATTATACAGAAATTTATAATGCATTAAATAGCTAAGCATCAAATAAAGAGTTAAGGAATTTATAAATATTTTCTTTTCACAAAATCAGCCCCAACACCAACTCCAGCCCCTGCTCCAAATCCAGCCCCAGCAGCCCCAGCCCCTGCTCCAACTCCAACTCCGGCCCCAGCAGCAGCTCCTGCAGCCCCAGCTCCAGCAGGGGCCACAGCTAATGCTGGTCAGCCTGGGCCTGAGGGGTAAGAACACCTGCATCATCACAAATGGTTTTGTATCCTGATTTGTTCTTAAACATTTAATCCCAGTTAGAAGGAATGATTAAAGAGAGTGGGTTTAATGTGTTTATCTGTGCAGTATCTGCCTGAAACAGTGTCCTGCCAAACTCTGCCTCCACAGAGCGCTTACACATTAATCAGCCAGCAGAGACGTATTAATGAGATTCAAAGTGAGGCATGAGAGACAGAGAGAGACCTCAGAGATGAATGCAGCATGTGAGATGTTGATCCTCTGCTGTAACATGCATATTAACAGAGGGATGGCATGAAAGTGGATTAAAAGCTTTTCAGCTTTTTGGCTCAAAGAGGCTCACTGAGGCTGATTCTGGAGCAGCAGAGGAGACGTGGAGGCAGAGACACACTAAACTGATCCTCACAGGTGTAAACACAGGTTACTTTTACACAGGAGGAGGTGTGCTGGTCAGATTTAATCACTGAGAATAAAGAGGAGTGATGAAGAGAAACAGAGGTTTTATGTGCAGCACAGTTAGAGGTCTCAGCCTTCAGCATGAGTTATACGAGGAATAACTCAGTTCAGGATGTCAAGAGACTGAAGGTGGTGCTTTTATTCACTACTGTACTACGGACTTTACTGTGTCAGCTGACTGCTAGCACCCACACCCACAGGACAAATACAAAAATACTTAGTCAAGACAGAGCTATTTAAAGTTTAGGTCGCTGCAGTATGATCGAAAAGATGAATGGAGTGTAATAAACTAGTCCTGAAATAACGATTCCGTTATGACAGAGATACAATCACATTTCTGTTATGCTACTGCGCTATAATATGTGCATCTTTTGACCCAATTTCCTGCCTTTTTTCACTCTTTGCAAATACAATGATCACCTATTTATGGAGAAAATGGTCGTCTGATTCACCCAGAATGAAAATAATGAAGTTTGCGAAATGAGCCTGAACTATAAAACCTGCTGTTACTCTGATGCATTTTGAACAAATTTTAAAATATTTTGACTACATTTTTTCAGATTTTGATTTCATTCATTTGCTGGATTGAAACCTTTAATTTTGCACTTTTCCCTGAATCTTCTCAGTCTGGTATTAGGTCCTTTTAGGGCTGTTAGCATGAACAGTTAATCACAGTGCTGCCACTGTGGTGGAAAATACTGACACCATTGTGCTTATAAAGGGCACATTTCACTTTAAAAACTTCCAGATGGCCCAGTTCACGAGTCAAAAATACTTTGGAGTGTGTGAATCACTTCAGACTTTAGGACTTCCTAATGTTGGCGTGATGTTGTAGGGAACCTTAGTTTCACTCATACATGGCTGAGCCTGTTTGAAACAAAGAAACCCTGTCTTTGACAGAATATGCGCTTGAAGCTGTGTTCCTCCACTAAGTCATGGTTTCAGTCTGGTGTCACAGTGCGGCATTTGTTTATATGATACATCTAAAAGGTCAAGGTTATAGAGTTAATTCATTGCATTCATTTGACCCACAAATCAAGAATGACACTCATAAGAATGAACTTAATTATTTATATGGACATAAATACAATTTTAGATGTAAGATATTGGAATATTAATCATGCATTAAAAGTATTAAAAACTTTGTGATTAACCATGATATTAAATGTTGATCCTATGACAGCCCTAGTTCTGTTTCTGCAATGAAGCATCCAAGACAAAATGATTGCTCGATCTTTCAGTAAAAAGCTTTACAGCATAGTGCAAAAATAACCAGAGGCTTCAAGGAACAGACAAGGTCATTTTATGTCTTCAAGAAAACATTAAGTTATCAGCAAATACTGTGTTTACTGTATGGTTGTTGTAAATTTCCCTCTCAGAAAACTACTCCATAAAAAGCTGCAACCTTCAGGTTAAATTAAATGTGAGGTCTACCTTGAAGTAATGAGACTTTCTACCACAGGAGGGCAGACTAAGATGGAGTTTCACTCACCTTTGGGATGAGCAGTTTTAAAATCCCAACCTGCTACCCTTTCAAAAAAAACTGAGGCAACAACATGGTCCTAAAAGATCTGAGTGAAGCTCAATGAGAGGGACTCAGGCACAGAAAGTCTCCAGTGTTTGGATCATATTTTATCTGGTTTCCTCTTTGTGTGGTTCAGTTTCAACCTGGACCATCCATTAAAATCAACAAAACCAAAATATGCCCAATCCCGTAGTCTTTCACAAGAGGAATAAAATTTAATAAAGTTTATAAGGGATTTGCAAACCATTAAACTCTGCTTGTATCAACATTTTACACAGCTTCACAACTAATCACAACTAATCTGGGTTGTACCCATAGACTGTATATACTATTCTTTATACAGTCTATGGTTGTACCTCACCACCTAACCATTGTTAAGACAAATAACATAATCATTTTCAACAGTGTTTGTTAAATGTGAGATGTTTTTGGGTGTTGTTTTCAGACAGGAGGCAGCCCCTCCTCCTCCTCCCCCTCCCATTGTCATCAACAAATACTCAGATGAGCAGCTTCGAGCAATCATCACCCGGATGAGAGAGAGGCTGGAGCTATACAAGGAGAAGACGCTGGATAAATATGCCTCATCTCCAGAGATCAGCCCTCCTGTCAGTGAGTACAAACACACCACTGGTCATCTGAATACACAGCTAAGAAGAAGACAAGACAGCAGAGGCTTTAACTAATGTAAGTGCAACACTGAACACAAGCAGACTTTCATCAAGGCTTCATAAAATCTACATGAACTATTTTAATGAAAACTTTCTACTGCTGTCTTGGCCAGGATGCTATAAGAGAGAATCTTATTCCCAATGAGGCTTTCCTAATTAAATAAATGAAACAGTAGCACAATAAAGCAGCGCTGTCAACACTGGAATAGATGGTACAGCAGCCAACAGTGAATATTTCCCTTGAATATTATATTTGCACTCACCCAGTTGGATTTATTGTTCTTTCAGCTCCTCTGCTCCGTAAAGATAACTACTTCAAAGTGATAGAGGAGAGGAAGAGACAGGAGGAGGAGGACCGGATAAAGAAAGAGGAGGCTGATAAGAAAAAAAAGGAGGAGCAGGAGAAAAAAAAGAAGGAGGATGCACAGAAGAAAAAGGAAGAGGAGGAGAAGAAGAAAGTAGAGGAAGAAGAGGCGAAGAAGAAGGAGAAGAAGAGCATAAAAACCAGGTTTACAGAGGTTGCCTGGTCCACGGTGGATATGGTCCTGAAGCCAGTGGAGGATGCAATGGATCCGGTTCTGGGGTCCACTATGGACCCGTTCACTGACCGGCGTTACATTGCCTGGCTCAGCCTGGTCACCATGGCCTTCAACTATAACACCTGGTTCATCACGGCCCGCCTCTGCTTTCCCTACCACACTGTGGAGGCTACCCCATACTGGTTCGCTTTTGATCTGCTGGCAGACCTGATCTACCTCACTGACTCCATCGTCTTCCAGGCCCGCAAACAGTTCGTCAAAGGAGGAGACATCATAGTAAGTCTGGAGGCATCAGCATTTTTGAAACTTATATAAATGATTTAAAATAAACTAAAAAATATCCGCCTCTTTGGTTGTCTTCCATCTAGTGTCTGTCATCCAGTCTAGATCCAGCCCTCCGCTGGGACTAGAATAATCCAGATATTTTTGATCAAAGTTATCACAGTCCTACTTGAAAGTTCAGACGACACAAACTGGCCAAACTTGAAACTTTCTGACAGCTTTGGTCTGATCACATCACTTTTAATAGCTTTGCCCCGATTTTTAGATTTAATCATGATGAGAATTTTATTTTTTCAGAAAGACCGGGCAATGACAAGAAAGAACTACAGAGAGTCCGAGAGATTCAAGGTTTGTCACTTTAACTCTCCAAACATATAAAGAACAAGCTCACCTCAGTGATCTCATATATATCTGTCCTCACAGCTGGACGTGATATCCCTCATCCCCTTCGACCTGCTCTATCTGCAGTTTGGGTTTAAATCCATCTTCAGGGCCAACCGTCTGCTGAAGGTGAGTCTCCTCAGAGTTCAGGTCACTACACTGACCCAGTAAACGTCCTGTTAGACCCTCACTCACATTTCTATGTTTGACCTTCAGGCAGATACGTTCTTTGAGTTCAGTGATCGTCTGGAGAGCATCATGGCCAAAGCTTACATTTGGAGGTAAGTCACGTCAAATCAAGAAACACCACGGATAATCTCATTCTGGTTATTTTATGTGATTCAGTATGCAAAAGTCAGTTAGCTTCTGAATGTTTCAAACTCAAACATACAGCTGCAAAAAGTCTTTCGTAGCATGACATGAAAAATGTTGATTTTTTTTTTTTCATCAGAGTGATTCGGACCATTGGGTATCTTCTCTTCATGCTGCACATCAATGCCTGCTTCTACTACGTGGCCTCAGACTTTCAAGGCATCGGGAAGACTAAGTGGGTCTACTCTGGTCTGGGCAGTGCGTAAGTACACAAACATATATATCTGCCATCCTTTGTGTTTATGATACCACATGTCTCATGCTTGTTGTCTCTTTGACATTTTTGGGGGTCTTCACGTCAAAAGTGGCAAACACATTGCAGGACTCGACATGAATAAAAATTTGCATTTATATATTGTGTATTGCCACTACTCCACTGCCCATGTTGGAGTGTATTGGGATACCTTGTGTATGCACAAACCTGGCAGGCAGTTTTTCTCACTGGTTATTTCAAAAAGGCATCAATCTAAATTTGGGCTCAGAAAGTCATGGATAGAATAGAATAGAAGAATATTCCTTTATTGATCCCCCATGGGGGAAATTTTTTTGTCACAGCAGCATCACAGACAAAGAGTGCAAAAATGCAGTTATAAAAATAAAGATCCTAATATTAAGAACTTAAATAAATGTAATAATTAAGAAAAAATTTAGAAAAAGGAAAAAGGGAGAAGAAAAATAAAAATAAAACTATCTACAATATACACAATTTAAATGCCAGCAAAAAAGTGGTGGTGTAAATCCAGTTACTATGACAGTTTGTTGTAAAGTCTTAAAATAGTTGTATGGATACAAATATACAGCGGGTAAAATAAATATTGAACATGTCATAGTTTTTCTCATAAATATATTTCAAAAGTGCTACTGAAAATAAAAAAGTTTACATAAAAATACAAAGAAATCAAAACTTAAATGTCCATGAATTAAGGCATATATTAAAAGATGGAATGACACAGGGAAAAAGTGTTGAACACATGAAGAAACAGGGGTGCAAAATGCATGGAAAGCCAAAAACACTGCAAAAGAAAAGTACATGTCGAAGATCGTTTTAAGTTTTCCGCACAACATTTAGACACACCTGTGAAATACTGTGAGAATATAATCAGGTCAAATGAGACCAAAATTGAACTCTTTGGAAGCCACAATACACACCATCATTGGAGGTCAAATGGCACTGCACATCAGCCCAAAAACACCTTACTGACAGTGAAGTTTGTAGGTGGGAATATCATGGTGTGGGGCTGTTTTTCAGCATGTGGCAGTGGCAAACTTCCTATAATTGAAGGAGGGATGAATGGAAAAAGGTACTGAGACATTCTTGATGAAATCTGAAGATGAAACAAGGGAGAAATATCAGCAAGACAATGATCCCAAACACATAGGCAAGGAAACTCTTACTTGGTTTCAGCTGTTAGAATGGCCCAGCCAATCACCTGACTTGACCCCATAAGGAAATCTATGGAAAGAACTAAAGATCAGAATTCATAGAAGAGACCCACAGAACCTTCAAGATTTGAAGACCATTAGTGTAGAAGAATTGGCCAAAAAAAAAAACACCAAAGCAATGCATGCAACTAGTTTCCTCATAAAGGAGGTGTCTTAAAGTTGTTATGACCAGCAAAGGCTTTTGTACAAAGTATTACATAAATTTAAGGAGGTGTGTTCAATACTTCTTCCCCCTGTGTCATTCCATTTTATTACACATAACCTAATTTATGGAAATCTTGAAATCTTAAACCAATGACTTAACTGTAATGTTAACTTGCAATGTGCTTACATCCATCACTATTTATAATAAATGATGGAACTAGATCCAAATATTTGGGAACATCTTAGGCTGTAACATGCTCCTTTAGAAATCAAATTGTTTCAACAAAAGGTTCTTGTTTTTGTCAGTGAAGATTGTGTGAATAAAAATAGGAACATTTCCATGGTTTGTGTACCTAGAGCTGATCACTAGCTGTACTTTCTGTGCCGCTGCTGCAGTTACCTCAGCTGCTTCTTCTATGCGGAGAAATCCCTGCTGATGATCGCTGAGCTGCCTGTTCCTGACTCCATGTTTGGACAGATCTTTCAGATGACTAACTACCTTTTTGGGGCTTTCTTTATGTCCATCATTCTGGGACAGGTAGTTCTTTGTCATTTTTTTTTTGGTCCAAATCTTTCCCCCTTTTGTGTTTTTGTGTGTGTGTGTGTGTTTTGTGTGTGTGTGTGTGTGTGTGTGTGTGTGTGTGTGTGTGTGTCTGTGTGTGTGTGTGTGTGTGTGACTTTCAGCAGGACATCGAGGGACTCAAAAAGAAGGAAATACTCAGACACATCTAGTTATTTGAGCAAAGCGTTGACAGGTAGACGAGTCTGTGACAGCCCCTCTAACTCCCCGCCCTCTCCACAGGTATCTGCGTTGTTACTACTTTGCTGTCCGCAGTCTGATCAACATCGGGGGCCTAAGTGAGCCCCACACCGTCTTTGAGATTACTTTTCAGATGACAAACTTTTTCACGGGCGTCTTTGTGTTCTCCAGTTTGATTGGACAGGTAAAAAAGAGTCATAGCTGCTCACAGCATCAGACTAGCACCTTCTCATCAGCATTTCACTTCCTTATCTGTTAGTTATGTAGAGATAGTTTAATGAATCTATTGCACTGACGCTCATCTTAGTTTCACGTATATCCCATCCTCCATCTCTAGTTCCTCATTGGTTCCCTGTGAAGTCTTGACTGTCAGAAAAAGTGGTAAATGTGGTCCATATGATATTTCAACTTGGAAAGAATTACAATTTTGTATAATCACACTTTATTCTGCGTCAGATGAGAGATGTCATCGGTGCAGCCACAGCAGGTCAGACCTACTTCAGGTCCTCCATGGACAACACCGTGTCCTACATGGTGAAAAACCGCATCCCCTCTATGGTCCAGAACAGAATCCGCACTTGGTACACCTACACCTGGGATGCTCAGGGCATGCTTGGTCAGTAAATCAAAATGGTTCTTCTTAAAGCGCCAGAGCTGTTTCAGCTTCAGTTTAACTCAATATGATTGCTCCTGATGTTTCTGCAGACGAGTCTGAGCTGCTGGATAAGATGCCTCTAGTGATGAGAACCGCCATTGCTGTGGACATCAACCTGGAAACTTTTAAGAAGATCGACCTGTTCAAGGTGCATGTTAAAAAACCCACATTACAGTAAAGAAGTCATCCGGCAGTTGTCTCCAGGAAATAAATCAATCATTGTGACGTTTCCCTTGCAGGGCTGTGACCAGCAGATGTTGGTTGACATGTTGCTGAGGCTCAAATCCATCATCTACCTACCTGGAGATTTTGTCGTCAAGAAAGTAAGTTTTGGATCACAGAGGTGTTGATAAGGACCATAAGATGAAATTCTTGACCTCCACTTCACCAAAAGACTTCAGAGACTTTAGAGGCAAAAGCTAAGGCTTCAAAAAACTCATATGATTCTTACTAAGAGATTTGCCTGGTGTGACAGAGCCCATGTTTTTTTTTTTTTCAGACAGCAACAACACAAAACTCAAAGTAATAAAGGAACCTAACTGGTTTTGAACCTCACAGACTTATGTATTGACTGTATTTATGTGTCTATTTGAAGCTTGCACCCATTTTCAAGACAAACAGAGACATATAGAAACAAGCATACCTAGAAACATTATTGTCCTATCCCACTGTCATCCAACATAATCTACACAGATGCCTGACCTCCTCTGAGTCCACTTTTGTTGGAGGTTTCTGCCTGTTAACAGAAGTGTTTCTGTCTCATGGTGGCTGTCAAGACTTAACAAAGCAGAGACTAAATACTACATGTTTTGAACATGAAGTGTATTTAGATGACATTTTTTCTATATATGGATGGATGACTAATGAGCAGATAAAAATAAATATAAAATTGAAATCAAATCCATCGTATCAGATGCAAACTTTTGGCTCAAATCCTTTTGACATATAGCTTCCTGATGTCTTAACTGTGCGTGTCTCTCATTTCCCCCCACTTCCTCTCTGCAGGGGGACATTGGTAAAGAGATGTACATCATAAAGAGTGGGGCAGTGCAGGTGGTGGGAGGACCTGATAACAGTATTGTGTTTGTCACACTGAAGGCCGGCTGTGTGTTTGGAGAAATCAGGTGAGATGAGTTTCAGGCTGAGACACAAAGAACTGATGTAAAAAAACAGTTTTCTTACTTGACTGGCTTCAGCAGAAATGTTTACTGACCTGTAAACTTGCTATGGGGATCCTCAGGTGTGGTATATCAGCATTTTTAGTCTTAGTCAAAACATATTTGTGATTTATACAAAAATATTTCAATATATTACATCTAGAAATTCATTAATTTGGAAAAGAATAAAAGGACCCAAAACAGATCCCTGGGGTGCTCAACCTGCTGAGTCCTGTTTAATGAAAAGATCTGTTTGTAGTCTGTAGTCATGATGTACTTTTATGTTACTTATTTGTTCTTTTGACAGATCTGTAATAGAGACTTTAATTAAACGATGAGAAAGAAAGTAAGCTGCATATATTAACAGTTAAAAAGTGTCCTCTCTACAGAGTTACTAGACACATAATCATTTCCAGGATGAACCACAGATGGAAAGCATCATCTGCAAGCAATTTTTAATATGTTGTTTTGTGTTTCAGTCTGCTGCAATCATCTAAAGATGGAGGAAACAGGCGGACAGCTAATGTTAAAGCTCATGGCTTTGCTAACCTCTTTGTCCTGGAAAAGAAGGACCTCTTTGACATTCTGGTCCACTACCCTGAGTCTCAGAAAGTCCTGGCCAGGAAGGGCAGGTGAGTCTGAGCCCTGAATATGAACTTTCTTTAGTCACTCAATTGTTCATAATGAAGTTAACAGCTTACTTTCTGGAGGTGTGTATTTGCAGTGCAGAATATCCTACAGTTTCTTCAGAATTTGACAAACGTAAGAAGAAAGCATTGATACATCTGATGCCATGGTGACATTGTATTATGTCATCAGCAATATAACAAATTTTGCAAGTTTAACATTTGTGACAGTTTATTTGGTTTCCAATACAAACCACAGTGGTCCCATCAGGGTTCCATGGGGTACTCCAAAAAAGGGTGACTCATCATCATCATTGTTATCATATGATTCTGCAACTTATTTTTTATCCTATTTTTATTTTTTTAACTTGTTTCTTAATGACAAAAATTGATTCGTATCTGCATTTAAAACCTCTTAATGTTTTTGCAAGTTTCAGACACAACTATAAAAAACATTTTTTACTTGAACTAAATAATGATTAAGTAGTTTTAAAATTATGCTTAAACATGATACTCTTTTTTTGCCAATCACCTTTGAATTTTTTTTTTTTAAATCGATTGATTTTTCTCTACACAAGCTATTTTCACACTCCTGTGAAATGTGAATTAAATCTATATGAAATCTATATCATACATTGTGTGAACTCTTAAAATTAGAATTGCGCTGTAAACCTTGCCATACTTAATGAAATGGAGCGAATACTGTGCTGCTTTTGTTTAGCCAGCCTGTTTGACTGTGTTTGTCCAGAAAACTGATGAAGTCAAAGGGTCCTGCTGCAGCGAAAGCAGAAGAGGAGAGGAAAAAGGGGTTGGCTCTGTTTGGACCCAAACCTCCAACACCAAAACTGCTGCGAGCTTTCGGAGGAAACTTTAACAGAGCTGTTATTGACCGAATGAAGGTAAAAACAACTGCACTTCTATCCAAAATAAACAACTTATTTCACATGTCATGGATTTCTGTTTTATTTAATTTATTCTGTTTTTTTTCTCCACTCAGAGTGCTGCTGCTGGACAGTGAGGACCTTAGAGAGTTTGTTTTTTATGACTCCATTTTGGGAGCAAGTGCATTTTTATATTCAACGGTTTGCATACAGTAAGGTGCAAGATTCAGTTTTTTTTCCTGTCTGGAACGTGACAAGTCAGATGTGAACTCATGAAAACTCACATAGAATTCAGAATTCATTTACTAAGTGCTTGGAAAGGGGAGGAAAAATGTTGAAAAGTCTGCTTGTGAATGAAAGTTACAAGAGGATTTTAAACACGCTAAAGATTCAGCTACTGTGAAAGGTGTATATCAGTAAAGTCCACCAGCAATGACTGACTCACCTTTGGTTATGATCTAAGAGCAGGAGCAGAAAAGAAAAAAATTACAATTTCTGAGAAGTATGTTGACAGTGGAGGATGTTCTGGTTAGGTAACTGTTTAGATAGAGGCAAATAAGAGGAAGAGGATTCAGACTGCAGGGGACTGTTAAACCATTAAATACATCAACTTAAACAGCTGGCTATGCTGCTCCACACTGCCTCCATTATACCCCCTGGGTCATCTAGAAAGCTTGCCAAACTATTGAAGAAATGTATCCAGAAAGCTCTCTCTGTACCTGCACTGGTACCAGTAGTGCAGAAACGGGCCTTAGTAAGATCATGCATATTTTACGATGTGTCAATGCTGAGTATTCTCAGAAAGCATATTACTTGTTATACGTTTTAAATCTGCATACTCAGTAGCTTATACTGTTACTTTATTTGCGTTTGGCTCTATTTTGGTTGCCAATGTACTGTAGTCATTAAAACCTGAGATTGTGTGTCACATAAATAATGTTACAATGTTATCTTTTCTTGATCTGATTCATGTTGAAATATGTTTGAATAAAAAAACTCCTGATGTGGTGACATTCACTTGTGTTGGTCTGTTGATTGTTTTTCAGTCCAGGTAGAGAGGCGGTAGTGTTAATCCTGTTAGCCACACACAGACGATGTAAGAGTTCATTCAACTAAGTGGTCTTTGAGTCAGTGAATTCTGCAGCCTGAGATAACCCCAACAGTTGCATCCACTGTTATATCATTCATATGTTAAGTTTCATATCATAAAAAAATGAGATCAGCTGTGTGTAAAACTAAGAGGTGAATTTGAGATTTTTTTCATTTATTTCAAAAAGGATAACATCCTTTTTTTATAGATCTCTTTTTTATAGATCTGTTTTTGGTCTGTCATGGACTCAGCTCTGTTGGCGTCCTGTCGCTCTCCGGCAGCGATTGGCTGCTGATCTGTTGTTGACTCCTGCAGTGAGGGGAGTGGCTTCAGGGAATTAATGGCTCTAAGACATTTAATTGCTTCAGTCAGTGTTTGGATCAGAGGACATTTGAGGCTCCAGAGACTCTGATTCATATCCTAGCTTCACACAGGACTGGAACCTCAAGACGAATCGTGGATGGGCTATAGTCACCTCTGAGACCCGCCATGTTCAGCAGGTTAAAGAAGTTGATTGGGGCTCCTGAACCGCCCCCCCAACAAGCTGCTACACCCCCTCCTCCTGCCCCTGCTCCACCTGCCAAGGTAAGACCCACTTCTTAAATATGATGTATAATTGAATATTAAAAACTTAAAACCTGAGTCAGATTATACTCATTAACATTTCTGTACCTGACTTTAAGTTTATTTTCTTCTACCTACTCCATAAAAAGCTGTTTGGCACCACATCCCCAATCAATCTTTGTTCATAGAGCCACATCAATAAAAGGTATTTTAATGGATTTCTCAAAACCTGTCATTAATCTGTTTTGTGCTGTCTTGAATGTTGTCAAGATGAATACACAGGAGCTGTTTCAGGTGAGGATGGCAGGTGAGTCAGATCAGTGAAAGCCTCTGAAGCAGCTTGGCACTGATCACTGCAACCTGAACAGGGAGGACAGGTCTGCAGGGTGCGTTCACTCCAGCAAAACATGGAGCAAAGTTCATAAATTAAAGGAGAGCATCAATCTCCAACAAACAAAGGGCAAACTTTGACTAGCACTTTTGGTCCTCACAGTATGGCCCTTTGTTTTAATAGATGGCTGATGGTGCTGATTTGTAATAGTGATAACTTTAGAATTTTACATCACCTGGGTGTTACGTTTTACACAGCTTTGTATTTGTATTTAAAAAATAATCCAAAGGTTATGCCTTTACTTCATACTTTTTAGGCTAGCTATTAGTGCCTACATCTTTACAGGTGGCCCCAATAATGTAACATGTTATGTATGTATAAGGTATGGATCAATATGATAGCTCTCCTTTTAATATTGAATAAGTAAGATCAGCCTGACCCTACTGTCTACAGCTGTGGGTAGAAAAACCTCAAAAATAACAGTCTAGATACAAATAAGCAGAAATGAAAACTGTCAAAACACCATTTATATAATAAAGAGTGAGTGTCTGAGGCAGAGTTAAGAGAGACTTAGAGGTTGTTTATAAGATGTCTTGTGTGTGTATTTGTCTTAAAATGTTGCATGTCTGCACACTGGTATTTGCAGGAGGAAAAGCCCCCTGAAAAGAAGGATGAGAAAGAGGAGCCAAAGAAGGAGGAGGAGAAAAAAGAGGAGGAAAAGAAAGAAGAAACAAAGAAAGAGGAACCCAAGAAGGAAGAGGCAGCACCAGGTATGATGTCTGAACTAACATTCAGAATCTTCCTGACACTCTGTCGCTCTGTGAGTTTTGTGCGTCAGTTTATATTTTTAAAATCTGTTTATATTTCAGTCAAATGTTAATGTTAGTTATGAAAAAATATGTATGGAAAGCTGCATAAGAAGTGGAAATAGCCTCTTATTCTAAAAGTAAAGCCAATGAAGAATAACAGCATTATTTATAATGTCCAGCATTGTTTTAAGTCATGAGTGATTGAGTCCAGTGTAATGTTGCCCCTCTATCAGAAATCATATAAAGTAAACGCTTAACTGCACTAGATCTCTGTAATTTTAAATCTGTGTTTTGATATTAAACATTAAAAACTCTATTTAATGCAGATTTTAAAACCAACTTATATTTGTTGTTTTATATTTAATTCTTCAAGAGGTCAACGGATGAAATGTTGATGGTTTTGTTAAATTATAGTTTTCTCCTGGGCTGGATTCTCCTCATTGAGACTGCTGCATTGGTTCTCAATTAACTAATACTGCTATTGCATTTTCCACCAGCTCCTGCACCTGCTGCTCCAGCCCCTGCCCCAGCTCCAGCTCCAGCTCCAGCTCCAGCCCCGACACCTGCCCCTGCTGCCGCTCCAGCTGCTGGTGCTCCTGCAGAAGGAGCTGAGGGGTAAGAATGTGTTTAATACAGATTTAAAATCATGTCTCATCTCAGACAAGCTCCAGTTGGTACACTCTCACTCTCTTCAGTATAGAAAAATCAAGCAATCTACCAGGAGTTGATACACTGCCATTACTGTGGCAGCACCCACCAAAAAATTCTGTACTTTTTAATGCAAGTGGCTCTCAGGAGAAATCAATTTTGTACTTTAGTTTTTACTGTCAATGTAACTTTACATCTAGCTACAGTGCTACAGATGACACATGACAGAACAAATGAAGTTATTTTTTGCTATCTGAGTCACAACAAACTCAGTCTTTGAACAACAAATTAGGCTTTACTTCAAGAAGAGTCTACCTGTATGGGAGTGGTTACTTTTGGGAATCCCCCCCATCCCAGCGCTCTAAGTAACCTGTTTATTGCACTGGCAGATGATGAAACAAAATTGTAAATAGTAGTCTTCTACAAGCTTTCACATTAGTCAAGATGCTGCATAGAATTCTTACGATCTTGTTTGGATCGGGCTGCGGCAGATGCTACACTGCAGAAATGGTGGCTTTGCAAGATGGTGTTACACATAAATACTTCTTCATAGACTCTTACTGGGCTGATGGCCTGCACAGGATAGTGAGGGACACAAGAGTTTAAAATGTTGTCAGGTTTGTGCCCAAACAGATGGACATTTACAAAAGCACCCACCCTTACTTTTTCTTCACTTCAAAAACTTTTTTTCTATCAGGATATTTACAGGTCACCATCAAAACAACTTATCAATTCTCTAAATCCTCCTCTGCTTTCTGGTCTCTTAACTCTAACTGGAGACAAATTTTATGAATAAGCATCCTACTGTTCTAACAAAGACTTGAAAATACAGATTGAGACCATAAAGTCACAGCTAATTTTCAGCTGCATTGTCTGCTGTTTGCACAGTGTCTGTTCAGACAGTCTGTTTGCTGTTGTCTCTGTGAGGCTGCAGCCTGTGACTCCTAAATAAGGAAAGGAGATTAGGGGCTTAAGTGGTATTTGTGACCAAGACATGCAGAGTTAGAGCTCACATGCATTCAAGATCTATCTTTACACTGCTGTTTATATTTAGATTTTATGACTGAAAAGTATCCTAGTTAGTCAAGATGATAATTTACCCTCTTCCATGCTGGACTTATAGTAGAAAATTCACTGCCTAGAATACAAAAAATATCTTACAGTGGAGGTCAGATCTCTTGCTGGGCTACCCACGTATTGTGGGAATCACTGGTAATGTATCCTTACCTGTAAAATCTTCACCAGCTGTTGCCATGCCCGTGGGCTCTGTTCAGCTACAGAGGAGATAAAATGGTTTTAAATAAGAGATTTAATTGCTCTACATTTACTAGAGTTTTAGCAGGTCTGGGGAAAACTGCCTTTTCCTGAGCCTTGAGCAGGAATCTTCTGAAAGAGCTAAATGAGGTACATTAATATTAAAAGCAGTTTTAGGATTTATCTCTCCAGAACTGGTAACTTTAATGATTTTTGCATGTTCTGTTGTTTGCTACTCATCTTTTTTGTTCACTTGTGACTCTGCATGGTTGCTGCCTTGGCCAGGTCTGTTAAAAGCTTAATGTGACACCCCCAAAAATGTGCAACAAGCCATACAATTACAAACACACATTTCATTTCCTCTGATGTCCCCTCTTTTCTACTTTATCATAATTGTAGTATGATCAATTGCTGCTGGACATTCGTCAGCTCCAGTTTCAACAAAATATGTTCAGACTCAGTTGCTACAACTGTGCATAGCAAGCAGAAAATGCGGCAAATCAACACATCTGCAAAAACCACAGATAAGCCCTTAATCCCATCAGATCTGAGTTTGGTAGGTGAGAATCACTGGTAATGCATCCTCACCTGTAGGTGACAGATTGAACATGGACCTAGTGGAGTCCCAGTGAGACAGGCACAGAAAACTTACTGCATACTAGTTAAGGCTTAGGGCTCTATTTTCGTGCTTTGCCGGCGACGTGGCGCCGACAAGGTGTTCCCAAGCACAATTTGGTATTTTGGTGAGCGCGCAGCCCGGTGTAAGTATCCCCCCTCCCTAACTCAGCTCCTCCCAGCGGCGTAAGTCATAGCGAGGGAGGAGAGAGAGTGGAGTGGGTTTAACACAGCTGAGACCTGTATTGACCAATAACATCAGCTCCTCTACTCACCTTTAAATCCGCCTACGGCGAGGCGTATTACAATTTTCGTGAAGTAGTCAAAGAGATTAAGAGATGTCCCCTCAACAAGTGTCACTGTGAACGCTGCAGAGGGCGTCCTCCACACTCTCTCATATAAGCACAGATGGATTTGGTGTGTGTAATGTTGGACCCACTGGTAATACAAACACCCTTTTCCACAAATAAAGACACTAACTTAAAGTTGCATATATTTGAACCTCACGTGACAAAGGTGGGTTGAGCGCACAGATCACAACATAAATTCCAATAATGGCATTAAAATCAGAACCATCTGTGCCTAAATGACAAATCGCGCTCCGTGGCCTGGCTCTGTCTTTCATAGATGTTGGCATATAAAATAAATTTGGCTCACAAAACTGTATATAATAATATTCGTATGTAGGCTTAAAGTAAATAACTCATCTGATCACTGAAACAAATCATCTGTTCAGCTGCTGCAGCAGCAGAACAGGGAGAGGACACGGAGACGTGTCCAGGTTGAGCTGCGCGAGAAATAAGAGGAAGAGGAAGAAAGAAAAGGAGGGAGACGAATCATATATCTTGTTAACTTCATCATGTGTGTTTATTTACTAAGTATTTAATTTAATTTAATGCGGTTTCAGATGTGTTGATTTGGTCAGGTTGAGTGTCCAAACGCGTGCCAAATGCGCTCATCAGAATATATCTATATAGATCTAAATGTATGTGCTAACACAGATTATTAGTTGTTGATGATTATTTATTGCACTGAAATGTGCCTGACACTGTGGAAACCTGCGGGTGAGGCATCAGTGACGTATGCCGATACGCTGCCGGTCTACCAAAATACCTCTAGACCAGCTGCGCTCCGCCTGCACTGATAGCTGACCAGGTTTGAATCGGCGAGCTTTTAGCGCACTTTACACGCCACTGGCGAGCACGAAAATGTCACTGCGCCAGCTGATTCTGTCGACACCTCCCCCTGCCACGGCACCACGCCCAGCTTGGCAGACCTCGGTGCGCCTCAGTCCACGAAAATACCAAACTGGCTGTACGCCAGGCTCCGCCGGATGAAAATACCACTGTGCCACCTTTCGCCGCGTCCCCGGTCACAAAAATAGAGCCCTTAGTGTTGCAGAAGAACATGAACACTCCAATGCACAGGTACATAGTGGTAAGGATTGTGTGGGTGATGAGGGGAGATGTTTCTTCTGATAACCAAAATAAAATATTAGAAAAACTGAGGAATTACTTGAGCAGGTCACAGGATTGGAGCACCAATGCTTTGACAAATTGTTTAAGCATGAAGCACTCTCTTACGTGATTACACATACTAGCATTTTGGTCTGTTTGACTCTAATAGGTAGTATAACAGACTAAACCACTACCGTGTTTGAGGATAAGACAATCAAATCATTGGGAAAATGTTCAGACCCACTTTTATGACAGGAAGTTGTCCCCTGCTGGTCATTAAAGAAAATGCAAATATATAAAATATCAACCTCACTTTTCAAACTATGTTAAGAAGTTAAATGATTTATTTATGAATTATTGTCTTTATTGTTATATTCTGTTTTCAGTCAAGAAGCTCCACCCCCACCTGTGGTCTACACCCGCTTCACAGATGACGCTCTGCGAGCTTTAGCCAAGAACTTAAGAGAGAGAACTAGTATACTCAGAGAGAAAGCAATCGACCCATACGCAACCTCTCCAGAGGTCAGCCCACCTGTCAGTAAGTACAGACAGATGCACTCTGACAGGTAGACAGATCCCATTGTTAAACCCACTCTGAACCTCTGTGTCTCCCTTCCAGCCCCTATTTATAAAAAGGAAGACTACATCAGGCTGAAAGAGGAGGAGAGGATAGCAAAAGAAGAAGCTGATAAAAAGAAGGCAGAAGAAGCAGCCAAGAAGGCGGAGGAGAAGAAGAAAAAGGACGAGGAGAAGCGTCTGGAGGCTGAGAAGAAGGCAGAAGAGGAGAGGCTGGCAGAGGAGGCCAAGAAGAAGGCAAAGAAGATCCCTGACATCAGTTGCTCTTGCTTTGACATCCTCCTCCGCCCCATTGAGAACATGATGGACAGCTGGTTGGGAACCACCATCGATCCTTTCACAGGTGGGACAGAACACCTGAGAGCAAACAGACACATTTAAATACCTGAAATACTTTAAATCGGTATTTTTTCTCTATAGATCGTCGATACATCACCTGGTTGACTGTAGTGGCAATCGCTTACAATTACAACGTCTGGTTCTGCACTGCTCGACTAGCATTTCCGTACCATAACGAGCATGCGAACAAATACTGGGTGTTTTGTGACGTCCTTAGCGACTTGGTGAATGTTATCGACATCCTCATCTGGCAACCTCGGCTGCAGTTTGTCAAAGCTGGAGATATTGTTGTAAGTTATTCAGTTTGCTAAATTTGATCTGTTTGCAACTTCATTTTTTTTTGTCTTGAAACAGCCCAAACACTGAAATTTAAGTTCTTTTTTTCCTCTTGCAGAAAGACAGAGCTGTAACTAAAGTTCACTATCGCAAATCGGACAGATTTAAGGTAAGAATGTGAAAATGCTACAAAACCAATAAGTGGATTACTCAAACACTAAAATACAGCTATAAGGCACTCCTGCTTAGTGTTTAAATCAGGTACTTCTGATCAATGTCATTTTATGAGTTACAAAAATCTGTCTGATATAGTTACTGGTCAGTATGAAGAGGGAACCTCTGGATGGCGGAAGTAGAAAATCCATACTGAAGTGTCTAAACTGCAGTACCCTGAATGTCCATCAGAGGCTGTTTCCCAAAGTGTGTCACTCCGCATAGAGCCCAATGTTAAAAAGTCCAACTTTACAGCAGAAATGAGCACCTTTGCAATTTAGTATAACAAACAGATCTGGTTCCTTTAGCCCATTTTTGTATTAAAATGGCAATGTCTTTGTGGTTTTTGAATCAATGGAGGATATCTCTGAGAATACAGACAGATTCATAAGTATGTACAAAAAAGTAAAATTTTTAAGAATCAGTGAATTTCATCATCTACAGTGTATGATTTCATAAGACGATTCAGAGAAATCTTTTTTATACAGGGACAAGGACCAATACCAGAACTGGAATCGACCTAATGGCCCTAATTTTTAAGGCTCTGCATTAAAAACAGATATGACTCTGTAATTTGAATCACTGCATAAACTCAAAATCACTTTCAAATCCTGTGAGTGTGAACTCAGCTCGTCACTGACCATCATTCACTCCCGGGCTACTCTAGCCTCACAGTTGAAAAGACAGCATTCCTGATGGCATGGGGGAAAGTGTCTGTGGCTTTCACATCTGTACGGGCTCCATCAATGTTGAACAATACAGGTTTTGTATCTGACATATTCTAGCAAGACCAATTCAAACCACATTCTGCACCGCAACATGGCTCTGTGGGAGACAAGTCCTAGTATTAAATGGGTCCTGACTTGTGATCCAATGTGTGGCCCATTATAACAAAAAAAAAAAAAAATCAAACATAGGAGACCCTAAACTATTGAACAGCTCAAATCCTTTATCAGACATTAACTAGAAAGATTTTACTTTCCAAACTCCAACAACTGGTCTCCTGTGCTGCCAAATGTTCACACAGTGTTACTAAAAGAAGAGCTGATGTAGCATGATGGTAAACATGACCCTGCCCAGCTTTTTCTAAAACATGTCGTTTGCAGGACATTTAAAATTAGGTTGTACTTTTTATACAATGATAACATTTTTCAGTTTCAACATCTGATAAATCGTCTCTCAGCCACTTCTGATTAGAAATAGGACTTATCAACATTTTACAAGCATTTCAACTCTTTCAGAACCAGGGCTGTGTATGGTTATAGAATTTCTCCTAGCATTTTTTTTCCACAATTAATCAGATGGTTCTTACTGTGTATTCTGTCTTTTTCTTTGTAGGTTGATATGCTCAGCATCTTTCCCTTTGACCTCCTCTGTTTCTACTTTGAATTTTCCTCTGTATTCAGACTCAACCGCTTCATCAGGGTAGGACACCGCAGGATCCTCTCTGGGCTTAAATATGTCTTATTCACTTTCATTCTGACTAATGTGTTTTATGATCCTCTTATGCCTGATGCTGTCCTTCGAGGGAACAGTAAAATATTGTTTCTGATAATGCAATTTTCACGTCTGACTTAAACACATTTTTTTGTTTTGTTTTAAGACTGATATACCGCTGACAGAGTGTCATGGCGAAGGCTTATATCTGGAGGTAACACCCCACATATGGCATAAACTCAAAAACCTTTTCTATATTCCCAGATCTTAGCACATGACAGGCTAATGTGTTTTATGATCCTCTTATGCCTGATGCTGTCCTTTGAGGGAACAGTAAAATATTGTTTCTGATAATGCATTTTTCACGTCTGACTTAAACACATTTTTTTGTTTTGTTTTAAGACTGATATACCGCTGACAGAGTTTTCGACAGTGTAACCTTTGATTTTCCTTATTTCTTGCTTTTTCAATAAACTAGATGGGGAAAAGCTCATGTGTAGTGCAGAAATAATATTCACTTTAGTTTTAGTCTCAAGGTACAGCTGCATAACTGTTAGCTCCCTGTGATATATTAACCACATTACCTGCTGACATAGCTTTTCCAGAGCTGGTAGTTTTTAGTCCTACTATGGAGGTCTTCATAGCTGGAACAGCCTGAAGGTTTCAGTATTAGTTGAGACACAAATCCAGCTCATACAGGTCTCTGTTAACAAAAGGTTTGTCAGACACATCTGAGAGACTGTCCGAGACAAACTATATCAACAAAATGCATATTAAATGAGAAAGCTGAAGACTGAAATCGACTACCTATTCAAAATGCAGATCAGTGTAAAAGGTTTTCAGTAATCTCATATCATCAAACAGAAAAGGATTTAAAAAAGGTGGGAAGACTGATAACTGGCCTCAGGGCTTCCAGACTTGTCAGTGGGTCATTATGTATCATGAATGTAAAGTAAATGCACATATGTTTTTTTTTTCACAAGACCCATGAACATACTGTATATTGACCATATATTCATTGGGACTTTTATGAAAAAAATTGTCATATGTAGAATATCAACTGTACAAAATGTTTGTTTTCAGTGTTTCCAAAATTAACAGATTTAACAATGTGTTTCTCAGCATTGTTATGTCATATACCACAGTCATGAATTACTTTTTTAAAACTGATATTTCTGATATTATTCTCCTTTTCTCGTACAGAGTTGCTCGAACCACAGGCTACCTGCTCTTCATGCTGCACCTGAATGCCTGTGCGTACTTTGTGGCCTCAGTTCATCAGGGTCTTGCTACAACCACATGGGTTTATAGCGGACAGGGTTCAGCGTATGTATAAATTTATCTCTATTTTTATTGTTATTGTTGATTTCAGCACTCTCTCAAGGGAAGTTTTAGTTTTACCAAAGATGCTGTCAGGCTAACCTGAAACCTTTTCTGTCCTGTGTCAGATGCCGGTCCTTAATTGTGTTTGAGGTCAATATAATCATAGATCATTGTAAAAGAACATTTAATATGATTGTCAGGATACATTTTCTTTAACATATCACGCCAATAAAAGCCCTTTTAGTATGACAAACAAACCCTTTCTTTTCGCAGAGTTCATTACCACAGGATGCAGCACACAAAAATACTGAAGAGATATTTTTGCGGTGTAATTTTCCTGTTCTGGCAGATTGGCAGATTTTCCCCTCTGCAGTAGTTGTACAATCCTTTAAGTTTGGATGTTTTCCATCATATTAAACTGTAATTCATGTTATAACACCAAACTACAACAATCTAGAAACATTTAAGAAAAAATGAAAAATATCCCAATTATGTTTATTGCACAAAGCATTACTGTGCTTTCTTTAAATATCCCCCTCTGTTTTCTTTCAGCTACTTGCGCTGTTTTTACTTTGCAGTCCGCAGTCTGATCAACATCGGGGGTCTACCTGAGCCTGTAACCACCTTTGAAATCACCTTTCAGATGTTAAACTTCTTCATAGGAGTCTTTGTGTTCTCCAGTTTGATCGGACAGGTAGGTGAACTAAAGTAATCTTTTAAATAAGTTAGGTATTTCAAATTTTGACTCCCTGCCTGTTCATATTTCCCTTTCAAAGATGAGGGACGTCATTGGGGCAGCCACGGCAGGCCAGACTTATTTCCGGGCATCGATGGACGGTTGTGTTGCCTACATGAACACCTACACAATCCCAAAGTTTGTCCAGAACAGAATTCGCACCTGGTACAACTACACCTGGGCTGCCCAGGGCATGCTGGGTAAAAGTCGTCCCTCATTAGATGATTTCATACAGAATCAAAGAGATGTTGATAAAAGACTCTAACAGCTTGTTTCTGCAGATGAGTCTGAGCTGCTGGATAAGATGCCTCTGGTGATGCGAACTGCCATCGCTGTGGACATCAACCTGGCCACCTTCCAGAAGATCGCCCTGTTTCAGGTGAGACAGGACCCACTTCAATGAAGGTCGCCTTCATTTAAATATGACATCAAAAATGTATGAAGACACAGCTGCATGAGAAACACCAACATTTACCACCAAATATGAAGAGGAAATCCAACTTAACGGCTGAGACGTTTGAATCCTCATTGGGTTTTTGTAAAATGTGACGTGATGATGTGGAGCCATACACTAACTGATGCTCATCTGTTCACCTGTGTTTGTCCCTGCAGGGCTGTGATCAGCAGATGTTAGTGGACATGTTGCTGAGGCTCAAATCCATCGTTTATTTGCCTGGAGACTTTGTCGTCAAGAAAGTCAGATGCAATCAAATTATAATCAAATATAATTAATCTGTATTATTTTCAAAATATTTTCTGCATATATGTGACCTTTCTTCCTCTCTGCAGGGGGACATTGGTAAAGAGATGTACATCATAAAGAGTGGAGCGGTACAGGTGGTGGGAGGACCTGACAACAGCATTGTGTTTGTCACATTGAAGGCCGGCTGTGTGTTTGGAGAAATCAGGTGAGTATGCAGACTGGGGCTCATTATCAGTGTCCTCATTTTATCTCCCGTGACGAAATCTTGATCAAACTGTTTGTTGTACCGCTAAAACAAAAAGTCTCAGGCTGTAACATGTACACTTAGTCCTATTTTGACAACAGCTAAATTTTGGTGGAAAAGACCAAATTAATGATGAACCTGCAGGATACAGTGATGCAGTTTTTTTTTTTTTTACCTTCTCATATGTTCATGTAAGATAGAGGCCCTACTTTAACCGTAAGGCCAACTAGGTATAATGATCATCTGGCAAAGTTTTGACATTTATGAACAGTGTGAGACTTATGACGAAAGCACAAAATGCTTGGATGTGGCTTTGCATTGGTTAGTATGTAACATGAATGTTTTCAAAGTGTTTTGGAGTCATTTATTGGTTTTAGACGTTTTATACTCATAGTTTACCTATATCTGCTAAGTTAATTGTCTCTGATGTAGGTTACAGTATGATTCTCTCTTGCATCACCTGGTTCACCTGCATCCACCACTCTATGAATTTGTGACATTGTGCAGTTGGTGTTCCTGACTGCATTATGATGTGATATTGTATGGAGTCTGTGCCTGGAGCCATAGAGCCTGAAGGTCATGGGACCCCCTCCCCATGTGCTCACTACCTGTAGGAGGGGCCAAAGGGGTCAGGTGCAGTGCTAGTTGGGCTGTAACCAAAGACCGGGATCTTGGCGGTCCAATCCTAAGTTGCAGAAGCTCGCTCTAGGGATGTGGAAAGCCACTTTTCTGACTGGTGTGCAAGATGGAGACGTTCCAGCTAGATATAATTGAATCACCTAGACACTTCACGTGGGCTTTGGAACCAGAACCTCTAGCAGAGTCTCCCATCAGAAGGAGCTTCAATTCCTACCTCCAGGAGAGCCTCAACAATGGGGGAGACAGGGGACATGGAGTCCGAGTGGATGATGTTCTGTGCTTCAGTTGTTGAGGTTCACAGCCAAGTGTGACGCAGCTGGGATAAAAATCAACACATCCTTATCTGAATCCATGGTCATCAGCTGTAAAAAGGTTGAGTGCCCTCTCGGGGTAGGGGATTAAATCCTGCCCCAAGTAGAGGAGTTCAAGCATGTCAGAGTCTTGTTCACAATTGAGGGAAGAATGAAGTGGGAGATGGACAGGTGGATCAGTGCAGTGTCAGCAGTGATGCAGGCACAGCACAGGTCTGTCATGGTGAAGAAGGGGGCTGATTCAAAAGGTTAAGTTCTTGATATACCAGTGGATCTGTGTACATTCCTACCCTCACTTATGGTTACGAGCTGTGGGTAGTGACTGAAATAACAAGATTGTGGGTACAAGCGGCTGTAATAAGTCTCCTCTGCGGGGTGGCTTGGCTCCACTTTAAAGATAGGGTGAGAAACTCAGTCATCCGGGGATGCTTAAGGTAGAGCTGCTGCTGAATGGAGTCAGATGAGGAGGCTTGAGCATCTAATCAGGATGCCTCCTGGGATGCCTTGCCAGTGAGGTGTCCAGGACATGTCCCACCAGTAGGAGACCATGGGAAAGATCCAGGACACTCTGGCGAGACTATGTCTCTCAACTGGCCTGGGAACGTATCAGGGTGCTCCAGGAAGAGCTGGATAAAGTGACTGGGGAGAGGGAAGTCTGGGCTTCCCTGCTTAGGCTACTGCCTATCCAACTTTGGATAAGTGATAAAAGATGGATGGGTGGATGTATTTTATTTTATATATCATTCCTGTTACAGTTTGCTTCAGTCGGCAAAAGACGGTGGAAACAGACGCACTGCTAATGTCAAAGCTCACGGCTTTGCTAACCTGTTTGTCCTGGAGAAGAAAGACCTGTTTGACATCCTAGTCCACTACCCAGAGTCTCAGAAAGTCCTTGCCAGGAAGGGCAGGTGAGTTATTTACACCTGACTGAGCTGCAAAGGAACCAAACTATGGGTCACTCATTTTAAACGTGTGCACTGAAAACAGCAGCAACAATTCCCTGTGAGTAAATCTGAAACAAAAGGTTGAGTGATTTTTTTAAAACCTTATGATTGTCATTGTTTAAACCCTTTCAATGGAAAGTCAATGGAAAAGTTTTTTGATCCTTTACATATGAGATACAGTGGGTACGGAAAGTATTCAAACCCCTTTAAACTTTTCACTCTTTGTTTCATTGCAGCCATTTGCTAAAATCAAAAAAGTTAATTTTATTTCTCATTAATGTACACTCAGCACCCCATCTTGACAGAAAAAAACAGAAATGTAGAAATTTTTGCAAATTTATTAAAAAGGAAAAAACTGAAATATCACATGGTCATAAGTATTCAGACCCTTTGCCCAGTACTGAGTAGAAGCACCCATTCTTCCTTGCAGATCCTCTCCAGTTCTGTCATGTTGGATGGATGTTGGTGGACAGCCATTTTTCAGGTCTCTCCAGAGATGCTCAATTGGGTTTTGGTCAGGGCTCTGGCTGGGCCAGTCAAGAATGGTCACAGAATTGTTCCGAAGCCACTCCTTTGTTATTTTAGCTGTGTGCTCAGGGTCATTGTCTTGTTGGAAGGTGAACCTTCAGCCCAGTCTGAGGTCCTGAGCACTCTGGAAGAGGTTTTCTTCCAGGATATATCTGTACTTGGCCGCATTCATCTTTCCTTCAATTGCAACCAAGCATCCTGTCCCTGCAGCTGAAAAACACCCCAATAGCATGATGCTGCCACCACCACGTCTCACGGTTGGGATTGTATTGGGCAGGTGATGAGCAGTGCCTGGTTTTCTCCACATATACCGCTTCAAATTAACACCAAGAAGAATCTTATTACTCATAGTCTGTGAGTCCTTCATGTGTTTTTTGGCAAACTCTCTGCAGGCTTTCATAGGTCTTGCACTGAGAAGAGGCTTCCATCAGGCCACTCTGCCATAAAGCCCTGACTGGTGGAGGGCTGCAGTAATAGTTGACTTTGTGGTACTTTCTCCCATCTCCCTACTGCATCTCTGGAGCTCAGCCACAGTGATCTTTGGGTTCTTCTTTACCTCTCTCACCACGGCTCTTCTCCCACAGTTGCTCAGTTTGGCTGGACGGCCAGGTCGAGGAAGAGTTCTGGTTGTTCCAAACTTCTTCCATTTAAGGATTATGGAGGCCACTGTGCTCGTAGGAATCTTGAGTGCCGCAGAAATTCTTTTGTAACCTTGGCCAGATCTGTGCCTTGCCACAATTCTGTCTCTGAGCTCCTTGGGCAGTTCTTTCAACCTCATGATTCTCATTTGCTCTGACATGCACTGTGAGCTGTAAGGTCTTATATAGACAGGTGTGTGCCTTTCCTAGTCAAGTCCAATTAGTTTAATTAAACACAGCTGGACTCCAATGAAGGAGTAGAACCATCTCAAGAAGGATCAGAAGAAATGGACAGCATGTGAGTTAAATATGAGTGTCAGAGCAAAGGGTATGAATACTTATGACCATGTGATATTTCAGTTTTTCTTTTTCAATAAATTTGCAAAAATTTCTACATTTCTGTTTTTTTTCTGTCAAGATGGAATGCTGAGTGTACATTAATGAGAAATAAAATTAAGTTTTTTGATTTTAGCAGATGGCTGCAATGAAACAAAGAGTGAAAAGTTTAAAGGGGTCTGAATACTTTCCGTACCCACTATACTGCAAGAGTTAAACCAAAATATTGAAAATTACATCTACGAGTTCAATATCAAATTGAAGCCCTTCTCATGTAAACATGAATGTTAAATACCAAGCTGTTCTAAATATACTGTATGTATGTTAAAGGTCAACTGTTGATATAATTATTAAATCTTTTAAATATCAAATCTAAGTTTTACATGTTCAGTCTCGAAGTTAAATGATAACTGTAAATACAAATAATTACTCCCAATTATAAGTAATGAAATTCTAAATGAGAAATCTGTTAAATGTAAAATCTAAATAAAACTTGGAGTATAAAAGGTAAAATAATAAATCTTTATGTAACATGATCATTTTAAATGTTGAAAATAAACTTCACTGTCAATTCTTAATGTTGAATAATAGATATATTTTTTTTAAAAAGTTGTTTTTTTTTTACCACGAAACTTCTTGTTAAACTTGCTAAATTTAAAATATAAATTTCTCTCTGCGGCACAGCGGAGGTACTTGGGCATTGTGGTATTAATTAGGCACCAATTATTTAATACTTCTGTGACCCTCTCTTGCCTTTTTGATTATAAATTGATTTTATTGTTTTAACATGAATGTGTTTATGGAGTGAGTTTTAACTGAGTCAATGATATCAAAATTCTATGAAAATACGTTCTTTTGACTTTTATGCATCAACCAGGAGCGACACTTTTAATCTCATTGTACCCTGTCATAGAGTGACAGATAAGGCTCTTATTTGTCAGAGTTTAACATGTGTGTGTGTGTGTGTAGGAAACTGACCAAAGCCAAAGCCCCTGCAGGAGCTAAAGTGGAAGAGAAGCCCAAAGGTCTGGCTCTGTTTGGAAACAAACCTCCAACACCAAAGTTGCTCAGAGCATTTGGAAACTTCAAGACAGGAGGAGTCATGGACAAGCTGAAGGTACAGATGGGCGCGCGCGCGCGCACACACACACACACACACACACACACACACACACACACACACACACACACACACACACACACACACAGCAGGAGTTTGGTTTGGTTTGGTCAGATCGAGACACAATAAGATTCAGACCTCATGATTTATCTTTGTTTCCACAGCAAAGTGCAGCAGAGCAGCCAAAGTGAGAGTGGATGTGACTCCACTGTACTTCAGCTGCAGAGACATGAGGACAGGGTGACTGGAAACATAATCATATGTCTCTATTATCCTTTTTAAAAACTGTCAGAACAATCTTACAATGATTACCCTGTTAACTCTAGACACCATTTCTTTGTTTCATTGAACCTGATCAGTGCCACTAGTCATCTTTAAAAGTAAATATTTAAAGTAGTTTGTATATTTTGAACTGTGTCTCATTTTTCATATAACAAATAAACTCAGATGATTACTATGAAGTGTTTCCTGGGTTTTACTCTCGCAGGTCATCTGTTAGTTTGACTCTTGTTAAAGAGAGAAGTGTGAGCAGCAGCACCACCTGCTGCCAGACATTGGACCGCACTCGTACACTTTCGGAGTTTCAACTGTTTCACATCAAAAACTATAAATTCACTGGATCAAAATAAAATCAGTTACCAGTACCATCTTAATAATATGTATATAATGCTGCTAACATTTTTAAATCAGAGCTAAACCCTACAGGGTGAGACTGACATGAAGTTAACCTCTAGAGACAGTAATGGCACATTATGTAAATACTACAGGATTATTCTGGTGTTTTTAGATCTAGAGCTTGTTTCTGCATCGTTCGGGGTCCAAATTAAGAGTAAAAGGACTCATAGAGATAAGATTTTTGTCAAGACGTTATTTTGTATACAGAGACAGCTGTCTCCTTACTCTCTACAGACACTTGACAACATGGATGAAAGTTAAATAATATATCTTACAGATTACATAGTGTAAATTACAAACTACAGCATCATCAGATTAAACTTTTGGGTAATTTGGTCCTTTAAAAACACCACTGAAACTCAAAACTAAGCAAATATTTTTGTCTTTTCCACGTAAAATATTAAATTTGACCAATTAAAGCTTCATTTGCCTGAAAAATCCAGATAAATTCTTTGTTGAAAGGGCGACTGGACTTGTTTGAGGTTTGGTTGCCCTTTCAATGAAGAATTAGATAACCATGACCTGGATGAACGAGAACCAACACAGACAATTCCAGATTAACATCCTATCTTAATATGTTACAAACCAAATAAACCAATTGTTTTAAATGTGGAAAAACAAATCTGACAATTGTAAAAGTAAACGGTCAAGTTACTTTGCTGACCACGTTGGCAGGTTTTTTTCAAGGCAAATCACCTCTCCACCTCCTATTTGATAGGGAAGCCGTGCTGCAAGTAAAATGCATAAACATGGAAATTTAGGTTTTAAGTCCAGGAGTTTCCAGGAGTGTTTGAGTGAAAGAGGCGAAAAACGAGCTGGGACGGGTAAGTTTAAGAGTTCAGTGTTATTTGGTAATGATAACAGCTGACAGAATAAAATACACATAAAGCTTTAACACGACAGCTGACTGAAAAAAAGCAGTGTTACATGATATATAACATAATAATAATACATGATAAATGCACACAAACAAGCTGTCTGAACACTGATGGAGCTTCCTGCTCTCATGATATAACTTTTCTTTCAATCTGCAGACGGTGACCTTCAATGTAACAGAGAGATTACAGTCTTTATGGACCTGCAGACGCTCTGAACAGTCCACCAGTCTGCAGGATACTTGGCCAGTATGATCCAGTATATTTTTGAGTAAGCTAAACTGGGAGTCTCCCTCCCTCCCAGCAGAGACAGTCTCTAGCTGCAGATCTTCCAGAAAATGGTCTGCCTGTCCTCGCCTCCTGTGATCACCGAGCTGCACAGCTCGTTCATCCACATGGTTGTCACTGCACCTGAGAAAACCAACATAATTTATGATGCGTTATAAAATCATAAATCCTAAAATCGCATCCCATAACCTTTTCTTTTACATATTTGATCTATAAAATGAGAGGAAATTGGTTGATGTTTTTAAAATAGTTTACGATTAATCTTAATGAATCAGCCCAGTGTTTTAACCCTGATATCTTTAATATACACTAAGGTGATCTGCAGTGTTTGTGGGTGTGATCTGAACCTGAGTGAGCCGGGATCCTCTTGGTGATGCTGTTACTGATCAGATCCCACAACAGCAGATCTCCAGATTGACCCCCACCCAGCACTGAACTGCCATCCCAGCAGAAACACCTGTACAGACAGAGATGCACAGTACACCTTTATGTAACTTATAAGAGCACAAGATTCACATCAAAAAGAGAATTACAAACCAGTGTAGCAATCAAGACAACCCTGGGTGTGAAACCCACACATTCCTCAGAGGAAAGTTTCCTTATCTGGTCCCAGGAAACAGGATATAAATCTTTCCAGACTCGTTTACACTTTCAGGTTAAATAAGTGACCCAACCGGAGGTGGACTAAACCTCTGACTCTTCATGATTGGTCAGTTCGGCGAACAGAGACAGAGTTTTATTACCTTTTAAACTGACTCCATCACTGACCATCTAAATAAACATTAACGTCTCAACCCAGATCTCCCATTTGAGGTTTAGCGTCTTAAAGTGTGTGAACATACGGACCCCAGGAAAAGGGGGGGACACTGACCTCCAGACCTCGGTCGTAAAACCCTGCTCGACCATGCACTGATAAAGACTACATTCCTTTGGTGAAAGAATACAAATGACTGATCCTGACATCTTATGCATTCAGCAATGTACTAATCTGTCTAATCATGAAATTTGTGTTAAAATGAGATGTTTCCCGTTTTTCTATGTGCTCCAGAAGCCAGAATTAAATCACTCCGGATTTAGTTTCTTTAGACCAACAGCTTTTCAGACTGTTTCATGAACTTTTAAGAGTTAAATTTATTGATTGTGACTCATAACTTAGCTCTAATTAACAGAAATGGTTTAGAAATGTTTGTTCTATATTTTAATCGTTTATTTAGTATTTTTAACCATTAGGTGGTTTTAATGTCATTGAATAACCTGAATGTGCGTATTTAGAATCCATTATTCATCAGGATGAAGTTCATTCACATGTATTTACTCTTTTGTTGTTCACAGTTTCCATGTGTTACTATCTGTTTCATTTCAGAGTAATTTAGCATGTTCAATGTGATACTTAAAACATAATGAGAATGTTTGATGTGATCCTACACTTCATTCATATGTGTTTAGTATCAAATTATTTATCATGAAACCAAGCATTCAATTATATTAATCATAGTGAGTGAGTATCAGATCTGACTCTTTTACCAGCCAAAAGAATAAGTTAGATCAAATAATCAGAGATTCCACGACCCCTCCTTTCTCCTCACACACACACCCCGGAGACACTCCCAGTGTGAGAAGATAAAACCAGTGAAGTGGGGTTGCTCACTCTATCTCTTCTGCTGACTCTCTTGTCCCCGGCTCTTATGCCCCTTCTCTTCTGCCCACACCCTTCTGTGGTGCGTTTCTTTGTTTTCTCTTAGAACTTTTTCTTAGTCTTCTAAGTTTTACGCCACGTGTTGATTCACGTTGATTTTTCTTTAACATCGTCTTAGTTCAAGTTTTGAAACTTCAACTTTTTGTGCGCATAGCAATTCAAGATTAAGCCTTTGATTGATTTTTCTTTAATTTCGCGAAGCCATTTTTGAAAGTTTTCTCTGCTCGAGGCTCGTTTTTCTGAGTTATCTGCGTGATTCAAAGTCACCTCTGAACGCAACCCAGCAGGCCCAGGTCATCCTCTGTGCCGGAGTTTTTGAGTGAGACCAAAGAAGTACCCAAACGAGCATCCACAGGATCCACAGGCGCTGGCTTTGCTTCAGGCCCGAGTGCTGCAACTCCTGGCTCATCCTTCGGCTGACTTCAGTCGTCTTCTGAGCTGAACCGCTCGAACCGCCAGTAGCCCCGGACCTTCGGAACCTGCTCCATCTTCTCCAAGGACCAGTCTCACTTAAGTATGCAAACCTCCAGAGCTCTAAAGAGGGCTGGTGCTGTCTCGTGCGTTCATAACTCAGATATCCTCTTATTCTGGTAATCTTAGATTCCTCCAAATCCACATCCGAGTTTATCTCGACACCAAAGTTAGTGTAGGTTAATATGTTAGCGCATATTCACTCACTATCATTAACTTTAGTGCTCCTAGCCTGACTCAGAATCTTTATTTATTCACCTATTATTATTTTATCCTCATTATCTTATCATCATTTATTGCATGTGTGTTGTACCATCATTTATCCTGTAATAAACAGATAATTATTTTTCTAAGTTCCTGTCTGTTAGTGTTCTTCCAGAAGTGGAGTCCCTGAAATTAGAATTTCGACTTAAGATATGAGACTGATTAATTAAAACTGACTTGATGTTTGATTTCTGAATTAAACTTTTGTTTTCTTTATTTTCCCACCATCAAGGGTGGGTGGTGCCCCTTTCAACGAGTGCATAAATGTCATAATTTGAGATTATTAATCTTCAGACATTTATTATAAATTCCAATCGCTACAGTATTATTTTGGTGCGGCCTTGTGAGGCTCATTTCAAATCACTACATATATTTTGGTGCGACCGTGTGAGGCTCATTTAAATCACTACACCAGTGAAGAAAAAAGTCAAAGCAGGAATGAAGATACTGAGGTTATTGTAACTTTCTGATCTGACTTTTGTATTTGACGTAGTATCAGACTCTGCTCCCTCTAACTGTGTGTGCATCTCTGCTGTGTGATGATCTAACCTCTGCTCCTCCTCAGCTCTTACAGATGAGATCACCATCCCCGTCTGAACGTCAGTCACCTTCATGCAGCAGTCTGCTCCCACACTCAGAACATGGCGGCTGTCTGAGGAGGGACACACACAAGACACCAAGTCTAAGTGTTCAGTAAGGTGAACTTAAGGTCAATTAACTTTTGGTTTATTTGAGCTCTGCCACTTAGTTTCTCTCTTAAAAGCGTTTGTACCGAGCCTAATAACACTTTTACAACTTGTCCTGGGTACTGGCGGTAACATAAAAAGTCAAACAAGATGATTATAAAATGAATAATATTCAGTTTCATTTTCACAAAAAGGAAAATTGTCTACTGGCTTGTTGAATAATATAAAAAGGCCCTCTAGGAAAGCTTTGTCCAGGTGCTACACTCCTCTGAAATGACAGTAAAAGAAAAAGTTATTTTATTATCCCTACAGATTGCTCTTCACTCTAAGTCTGACACAGTTCATAAATCTGTTCATACTTTTCCACATATTATTCAATATCTTTTGTTAAACCACATTGTAAACTTTGAGCCTTTAAAATGGACCAGCAGTGTAAAAAACATTTTTCTGCTTTCTCACCAGGACTGAAGGCCATGTGGTGGATGGTTCCTGAGTGACAGTGGACCTGCTGCAGGGTCGTGTAGCTGCCAGTGTCCCAGATGGAGACGGTCCCGTCTTTACAGCCAGATACCAGCAAAGTCCCAGCTGAACTCAGAGCTATGGTGTTCACCTGTAGAGAAAAAAAAAGACAGTTTTATTCAGAGGGCTGCTGCTAATAAACATGTTCATCTGTCCTGGTCTCTTGGGGTAAATCTTCAGCTCAAAGAAACTAATTGAACTCCCTTTCTAAACATTTAACAGCTGAAAGTGCTGCACAGAACAGTTTTTAAAGAATGTGACTTTCACTGTGAAAACAAGAAAGACATGAAAACTAAAACAGCACAGCTATTAAAACTTGAGTATCTCATACACTGATTTTATTCTATTTAGGTTTGATTAGTGGAGTCTGAATCACGTTTTAGTTTTAGTAGTTTTTTAGTTCTGGTTGTTTTGTGCTCTGTGTCAAGTCATGTTTGTTTTGTAACTGAATGTCACACTGAATGTCATCTGCTTGCTGCAAAACAAATCTAACTGCTGCTACAAATACAGTAACTTGAACATGAAGCATCTTACACTCAGAGAGAAAATTAATAACTTATTTTAGTTTAAGGTTTGAACCCACTTCTCTCCATGCCCCTCTCCTCTGTATGTCTACAAAGTTAATTCTGATCTAACCTTCAACAAAAACTTGAGTGAATCCTCCAGACTCACCCCAGCTTCATGCTCCAGTTCAGCCAGTAAGTTAAACTGGGACCTCTTGTGGGTGGAGGGGCTGTCAGCAGGACACTGCCACACCTGAGAAACAAACAACACACAACAACATACAGCCTGTTAACACACATTCCTGCTTGATATCATGGTTAACTGTCTTATCTCAGCTTGTACAATACAATGGGGATGAATAACACAAAGAACCAGGTATCATATGAAACAAGGTCACTGTTTTACATGGTACCCTGTTACTGGCTATGTCTCAAAAACTGACTCTTAAAGCACATTGTGCAGCTAGTTCTCTTTGTGTCTGTTCCAAGATAAACATCACATTAGTAGTAACATCAAACTGACACTATTAGACCTTATTTACATATCTATTATTAGGTCATCCAGAGGTGTGATTGTTTTCACAATCACTTTGACATCTATAAATACTGCAACCCCTGTCCCCAGTTAGGCTTTAATAAATGAGTAGAGTTTAAAATAAAAGAACCATTACAAATATATGATAGGCATGAGTGCATGCACTGATATAAATGTGCATAAACAGCACCAGAGTACAGAGTCACTGTTTGCCCTGCAGCCCAGTTTGGACAGACATGAACCCTCTGCATGCATGAAGGTTAGGGTGAGGGAACTAGATGGTATCTTTTATTTTAAACATTTTTATATGCTTGTGCATCTTCCATAGAGGGATGTGGTTGTGGATAAAGAGAGGTGCAGGGCTTAGAGAGTGGTCAAAGGGGGGAGTCAGAATCAGGGTTGCTGTTTTTAACAGCTGTAATCTCTGCAGGAGGTACCTGAATTAACTGTCGAGATACACTAATGCAGTGAGGTGATATCTTTGTGTTTCTTTTGCACAGGTTTAGCTGCAGAAAAATCTGTGGAGTCCCTTTAATTTTGGTTACCTTTACAGTTGAGTCCCAGGATGCTGTGTATAGTCGCTCGTCAAGCCAGCACACCTGACTGACAGCATCATCATGACCCATCAGAGTGTCCTGTCTCCGACCAAATGGGACTGAGTAGAAATAACTGAAGGAAGAGAAACACAAGGGTCAGAGTGAAATAAAATGATATATGTTTTAAAACCTACATAACTTCACATTTGTAATGAAGTGTTCTACGTACACGTTGTTGTCCCAGGAAGAACATACCACAGTTTTACCATCTGCCAGCATCAAACATGATGAGAGAGCCTGAAAGAAGGTTTTTTGTATTTAGAGACAGACACATATGATGAATCAGAGACATAAATACATGTTCTACAAACAGGTTTGTACCATGTTAGAGAAAGAGACACTCCTCTGGAAGTCCTTTAATTCTCTGGAAAACATTTTCAGAGTTGAGTCTGTGATAAAAAGACACACAGGAGAACAGTTAGACCCTTTACTCATCACAACTACAGGTGAGGAAAAACTCAAACAGATCTGTCAAAGGGTGTTCAAACATGTATGTTATTGAGGAATAATACTGTTGAGTTATAATGTATTTCTCAGTGGTGTGCTTGCAATTTTTATCCTCTGTGGAACCCAAAGACTGAGTCAAAGACCTTTAAGAGAAAACTACAGGGATATAAAGAAGGATAAATGAGCCTGGATTACTGGAGATGCAAATGACTTTATTCTCTGTCAAAGTTGACATAAATGCACTGTTTGTTTGTACCCAAAAGTCTGTATTTGAGTCCTGAGTTTGCATTTATCCACAGTAGACTCCAATAAAGGAAACATTTAGATATGCAGATATTTTTCAAACCTTGTGATGTGGAGAAAATGGCTGATCCATCTCTGCTCACAGCGACGCCTGTCACAGACCTGCACGGTCAACACAAACAGCCCAAGTTAAAACACACAAACACAGAAATACTGTATTTCATACTCATACAATTAAAACAGACAAGAATGAACCAAAAAGGTCTAATTCACTCTCCCTGTCTGCTGACCCATTCTTTACACTTCTTGACTCACTCTCTATACTTGCTGACTCTCTCTTTACACTTCTTGACTCACTTATTCTTAATACTCGCTGACTCACTCTTTATGGATTTTGTGGCTGCAGACTTGTTTTAGGTTCCCCATGTTAGACCAGACCAGTCTCCTGCTCTCCTCGGTCAGATCCTCAAAGGATGAGTCCTCGCTGTGAGATGCTAACACAAAGGGCAGATACATGATGGGAAACTATGAAAACAACATAACCGAAGTGTTGTTTTTAATTAGCACATTTACATATTTCAAATAAGCAGTTTATTACTCTGTTTATGACTTTTTAAAAACTTTTTTTTACATTGGTAAAAAACAAATCTCAGTCAAACCTTTAAAAAAATGGGCCCCTCATTGTGTATGTGTGTTTGTATATATGAGCTTGTGTACACATGTTTGTACCTGGAGACAGCTCACTCAGCGGTGAGGTGGAGCTCAGGCTGCGGGTCATGTTGTGGAAGCGGGGTGTGATCCTCTGGGGGTGGGGGCTGGTGAACAGCTGTTTGGGGGTCTGACCGAACTCCAGGATCTGAGTCAGCATAGCAATTCGCTGGTCCGGGTCCTTGATGCTGTAAACAGACACACAAAAAGAGTTTGTCACACATCTTAAATGAACTATCTTTACTAATAATTTTTGGTGTGTGTGTGTTCGATACCTGTCACAGTCGATGCCTCCCTCATACGTAAGCGGGTGAAACACTGAGACACAAAGAGAAAAAAAGTTACATTAGTAAATGAAAGTTCTCACAGTCTGAATAAAAGAGGACAGCATAACAGAACCCCAAAAGTGAAGAAAAAGGGCTGTAACACCATGATTGACAGCTCTGTTAACCAATGGGGCTTCTGCAGTGCTGTGTGCACCGAATAAGCAGAGTAGAGGAGGAACTGATTTGTACAACACAGACTGACCACAAATGTGTCTCATCAGCATCCATCAAGAAAGACATCATGGCTTTACTTTTCCATTATGAGCAGCAACAGCTTCACTTCCTCTTTGCTTGAACCCGAACACGAGATCTATCCACTCGTGAAGATGTTCAGACACAAACTGACTCTCCAGAGCCGTCCGGTGCTTCTGCAGGAAATCACTGCTGTCTGCATACATTCACCACAAACACACACACACAAATACACACAGGAGGCAGAAGATTCCAAGAGTCAGGGTTCATATACAATGACAACTTGTTACCATATCAACACACAACTCTCAAAGACTGGACTTTGTGCTTGCACTTAGATGATGCACTTATTCAAGTGTTCAGTCAGGAACTTTCTTGTTGTGTATCTATTTATTGCACAAACAGGAATATAGTTATTCTGGGCTCTGATTACTTTGCTCAGAATTAACTCCATGACTCAGCAAAGCAGCACAGGGAGGACAATGTGAAGCCTCCTTTGTATTAAGTGCTCCAAATACCTTTCCCAAGAGGGGTATTTGGATTCAAATGTGCACACTTCTTGTGTTTTGGATTGCAGAAAGAACATTACCTGAGGCCCACGGAGGGAGGACAACATCACAGACTGATTTTCCATTCTGTTTCCTGCCCAGATCCAGACTCAGTTTGTTTTCCAGGAAGCTGGAGTCAGTCCCATAAAACTCTGGAATCAGCTGCAGCAGAAAAACAACGAACAGGTCTTAAAAAACTTTGATCTACAGGAGTTAATCAGAAAAAATTGCTTCGAAAATAGATGAATAAAATCTCAGCTTCATCACATAAATGAAGATATTTATATGTTTTTTAAATAGGAAGAATAAAGTAAATAATTAAATCACGTGTGGTACATTCTTTGACTCCATCCATCACCATAATAAGATCTTAAAATAATCTCAAATATTAGTGAGGTCAGCCTCTCACCTTACAGTCTTTAAAGTTTTGACACATGCTATGATATTGATATACACAACACATTGTTACACCAAGTGGTCATAAATAGCAGTGAGCAACAGGGTCTCCATTCAAGAAGACAGTCAACGCGTATTGGATCAATTTCTAGACAAAACGTCTCCCTGAACTGAAGTTAAAGCACTTTGACCAGACAGGTCCAGAAATAACATCTTATTTTAAAATAAACTGGGTATAGGATAAGGCCTGAGAAGCTTGTAGTGGGTGAAACAGCTGACAGGGCACATATGTATAATTAGTTTTGTGTTTGTAGAACCTGCCTCTGGGCTACAGATACAATTAAGTCATTGTGCTTATCTCAGCATATTTGATTTTGCTGATCTGATAATTGAGGTGCACCACGCCAGTGCAATAAAATAACCAATAAGAAAGAATAATAAAGTGGAATAATGAACAGTATAATTGTATCTTACCTCTTTGAAGTCTGTGGCCCCCTCCAGACAGTTTTTCCAGGTTTCACCAACACTGTGAGAAATAAACAGTAAATACAGACAAGAAGAGTTTAGCTGTAAGTAGCTACACGGTATTGTTAATCAGTCACATCTACGATCATAAAAAAGTGTGAAAACTGAGTAAAATGTTCAGAGAGACAGATGTTGATAGTTTGCAAGTCACTTAAACTCAATACACAATGAAAACAAGCATAAAGACAATAAAATAGATGACAAACTGTGTTCACAGACACTGAGTATTTGACAGGATTTTGAGCCCCTGACAAGACCTCTCTGCTCCAATGTTTATTAGACATTATCCCTCACTTTGATCTGCTATTTTATAGATATAATATCTTATGCGGTGAGTGTACCTGTTGAACATGCGGTCTGCGTGGTCGTAGCGTCCGTTCTGCAGACACAGCATGTGTTCAGGAGCTGCAGAGGAGCATTAAAACGTCAATAATAAATCCTAACAGAGACTCCTAAACAAAGCACCAATAAACAGTGGACTAATAAAGTACTTACACATCACCAGTATCTTATTCAAGTGAACAGATACAAAAAAGCAAAGTGTATGCATGCATACTCACATTCATAGACATTTAAGTGGTGTACATTTAAAAGATAAACTGGTCTTTTTTTTACCAAAACAGAGACCAAAGTCAACTTCCACAATTTCACATTTTTTCTGCTTGAACATGTAGGAGTAAAGATGTATATCTTCAGATAAGAAGAGGCACTTTAGGAGGGGAACAAACCTGTGACTGAACACAGGAACAGTCTTATTTTTAGAGGACATGTTATTCTGGTTTGTGTTGTCTGCATAGGTTCTGTAATGACTTAATGCTAACAAACACTCTGCTTTATATCTCTGTCTTTCTCCCACTGAGCTACTTCATCCAGTGCAGAAATACGTTAACGTAAGTTTGCCTTAACAGTCGTTCTTTAATCACATTCTCATGACATTTAGACGTTAAGTAATTCAATATTTTCAGATTTTTCGATATCTTTTTCCGTGTGGACTGCAGTAAAAGTAGTTGCTACATTTGCTGTGTCAAATAGAAACAAACCAACATGATAAATGTGACATACCAACTCTAACCAGGTAAAAGAGGACGTATCCTGGAGAGGAGTAATGACTGCCGTACATGAAGGCAGGGTCAGGCATGCCTCTGTATCGAGCCTGTTATCATGGAAACAAACTGTGGTTATACAGGGTTGAAACAGTATTTTAATATGTTGATTGAATAATAAACTTAATCTCTGACTGTTGGTAATTAAACGTGCATCTCTCACCAGCAATCTGTCAAGTCTCTCTTTGTTTAGCGCTCCCACAGGTTTGCTCAGGTCTCTGAATGTGTCAGGGTTTGTCAGGTCTGGGACACAGAAGAAAGTTAACTAAGTTTAGCACAAAAACTAAACTTTATCCAAAAAGAAGAGACATAAAACCCTGTGAACAGCATGTGAGTTGTTTGATAGACACAGTAACATGTCCTTTAAATGTCTGTGAGTGTCTTACCTAGCTGGGGGCTGCTGTAGTCGCTGAGGACCCAGGGAAAGACAGGGTACTGGGACAGGTCGTTACAGCTGCGGTCTGCCAGGTTGTTCAGGTGCAGCAGATACTCATAGTTACTCAGGTGACCTCGTTGCCAATGCAGCATGTAGCTCTCTGCCGTGTGCTCCGTCACATGGTTCTCTGAGGGAGACACACTGATGTTAGACATGTCCTCAGGGGCATCTCCAGCACCGTTACAAGGAGAAAGGAGATTTTGTTTAGAAGCTGACAGACGGCAAAGCTTAAAGATGGACCAGAAAAATCAAAGGGTGTATAATTGTCCTATGAATATCTGTTTCTGACTTCTACTGTCATCTAAAATCCTTTAAGTCTCCTCATAGCTCGTATCTGCAGTTTTGTCATGCTAAAGAGGGTTTTGTTAAACTTTCAAAGGCCTGTCGAGCTAAAATGAACACCAAGTTCCTCTATTAGTTTTATGAAAAAGCAGCATACCTAAGAACATTGATGTGCAACTTGCAAAACTTTCAGTTTTCTCACCCAGAAAGGTGGCAATGTAGTAGTAGATCTCATCCCTGTCAGCAGTGTTGTAAAACTTCAGGTAGATGTCAGAGCAGAAATCGTTCTCAGTGCAGAAAACCTCAAGACCCTGAGAGAGGAGACACAAACACATGTAATGTTCCTTTTACAGAAACCTTAGCAGTCACTGTAATAATCTTATAAAAGCATCAAGTTTAAAAAATCTCCTGAGCTGCGCTCCCTGTTGTTGGAGCAACAACTTGGAGAACTAGCCAAAGTTTCAGGTTGATCTAACTCACCAGAGGTCTGAGTCCGTGCCGTCTTTTGTAGATCCTCCTCACCTTGTTTAGTTTGATTTGAATGGCCTGCTCCTGGATAACAGGTCATACAAAAAAGGTTAATTTACTACAGCTGAATAAAACAAAGTTCTGAAATGATTTATTCTCAGCTGTAAATCTCACCGGGTAACCGTTCAATGGTTGGAAGTAAAGGTTTTGGTCTGTGATGCAGACATGACCAGGATTAGACACCAGAGGAGTGACCATCTCCACCAGACACTCCATGTGAGGTTTCTCTGCTACACTCTGAAAACTTGAACAGAATTCATTTCTCATCATTAAGTAAGTCCTCATCCAATACAATCATAAGCCCATATTTAAGTGAAAACAGTAGAAAGACAACAAGCTGATAAAATGTCACTGTTTCATGAAAAATATGTGCTTATGTTAAATTTGATGCTAGCATTCATCCAGATAATGACTTTGAATATTTCGGTATGACAATGTCAAACCACAGTCGACACGGCTCTGTATTAGAAGAGTCCTGCCTGCTGTCCCAACATACAACAATGAAAACATTTGGTACATTATGAAACATAAGAATATGGTAAAGGAGACACTGAACTTAAAGCAGCTGAGATCCTTTATCAAGTAAGAGTTCGACAACATTTCACTTTCTAAACTCCAGGAACTAGTCTCTTCAGTCTTCAAATGTTTGCAGAGATGTTAAAAAAAGAGGAGATGCAACACAATGGTATCCTGCCCCGCTACAATTTCTTTGGAAGAACTTGGGCTACAGAGACTCTAAGAGACAGACAGAGAACAGTAAACCAAAGACCTTCTATAGACCACATACCAGTTTTTATCAAATGATGTCCTCGCCAGCCTGGACTGTAGATTAGCTGCAATCTGTAGAACACAACAGAAAATCAGGTTCACGACACAAGTTCAAAATAAAACTTGATATGTACAGCCCCTTTCATGCAAGAAATACAGGTCTAGCATTGTTCTAAAGCAGGTATTATTAGTAAAAGTAAAATAAAAACGAAGATATGATAGATTGCAAAACACCACAAGGAAAATGAAATCTGCAAAGAATCATTACAAAAATATCAAAGTTATGATGTATGAACTGCATGAGAATAAAGTTACAAAGACATGCTTAAAACAAATGGAGAAACTGAGAGCTACCAAAGGCTGTTTTGGGGCCTTTTTAAGGTATTTAGATGAGCTGGCTTCCCTCATATCTACAGGTTGTTTCATCACAGCTTCAGGATGTACTTACCGGGTGATTCAATAAGAATAACAAACTGATGTGGGCGTGGTGAGGCTCTGAGAGCGGGCATGGAGCTAACTGCTGAGCCCCTGAGGAGTTGTGGGCCTAATAGATGACACACTTGTGAATGGAGGTGCCCACTTGATAAGCTTTGTGATGTATTGGTTCTTGCTGCCCATTCATCCCGATATAAGGGGGGCATTACGTAGTTTATTAACCTCATTGGAGAGTATATATATGGGGAGTAATGGGATATTTTCTTCCCTGAGGGCTTAATCACAGGTACCTCGTGATTATTTTAAATTCTAGTCCTAAATGAAGTTGGATTTTGTGGGTTGAATAGAGAAAGAAGAAAGGATCAGTCATCTTTTTGAGTTTTAAATTCTCACTGGTATAAACTGAGATCTCTAATTTCACAGATTCACTCACCATGGCGGTCTGATCTCCCAGTTTGTCCAGACAGGACGCTCTGTGGAGCTGCCACATTAAAAAGGAGCAGAGCAACATCAGAGAGGTTACACAGATACAGCAAACAACCCAAATCATGGCAGATAAGTTTAATAAAAGAAAAGCCTGCACTCATAAGAATAATGCTTTATACCTGCAGCAACGTTTGAACCACATCTTCTGTTTTACTGCAGACCTCCAACTGAAAACTGATTTTCCTCTCCCCCTGAAAAAAAGAAGAATTTTGAATAAAAAGAGACAAGCAGAAGTTTTAAAGCTGACATCATGTTTGGTAAAAGGCGTTATGGCTTACCATTAAAAGTTTACAACAATCAGGACAAAGAGGTTGTACAACTTTGAAAATATGCCCTGAACGAATAGCATCTGGCTTTACCTCATTACAGACGAGAGCGCACAGCAACAGCTCTCTTCATAGCTAAAGTCCAGTCTGGTCTATAAAAACAGCTCAGAGAGGTCGTGTTTCATCGCTTTGTTTGATCAAACTCACCCTCTCATTCCTATACGGAGTGATAATGTTGCTTTCTTTGATGTAAATCACCTGAATTTAGAAATCAGACATGACAGAATCACATTAAATACAACTAAAGATTATCATACACAGGTACGTACAGGTCAACAAGTGAATAAATGTTATATCTACATAATAAATTTGTCTCACCTGGACACATGAAATCAAGATAGCAGATGGGCGAGGACTGTGAGGAGAGTGAAACACTATTATAGCACTTTATGATGACATTAGATAAATAAAGATTATCATAGAAACAAGCTTTATATTTAGATCAAACAGAGAAGTTTCTACAATATTGCAACTATTAGATACTCTCTGCTCAAACATTTAGATGTTACTGTGAAGTCACAGAACCAGTTTGACTGAATAAACATTAACACTGTGACCACTGTACTACACACTACACAGACTACTACACTACAATGCGACACACACACTCACTCATTAAATGGGTTGTTCTCTCTCGCCACAAACTCGATCTGCTTACAGTCTCTAAGAGGAATCTGCACAGACAGATGATTATATAAAGACATGAAGACTAAAACACACATTAAACATGGAAAACACAGTAAACGTTGCTGTCTGCCATAGAAACATACTAATGATTCTTAAATCTGCAGATTCAAACCTTTAGACAACAGAGATAAATTATTAAATGAAGTCTGTGCTGCACATCTCTACATCTCCTCTCTCTTCCTCCGTCTAATCTAACACAAAGAAAAAAAATGCCCTAAAACCTTAGAAAGAAATGAATACACATCCTTTAATTTATTTTCAATATTTCTGTGTTAGTAACTATGCCGTCTGATTTATCTTTGTTGTCATTTTGTTGTTTTTCATATATTAGTGTATCTCACTGGTCCTGGGACCCAAATGAACATCTGTAGTTAAACTTATTCAGGCTGCCGTTACACTACCTTTGAGTGAGAACTAATTCAGTCATCCAAATTTACAGAAGGACCTTGAATCTCACCCACTGTCACATAGAAATGATCCCATTTTTGATAAAATAACTGCTTGAAAAGTCTCTTTAACTTTTAATGATAAACTCAACTCTTACAAAGAAAGACTAACAAGGACCTGTTAATTATGTCATTTTACATTTATAAAAGATGATAAATCAGTGGAAAAGCAGTCAAATTAAAAACTCTAAACATATGATAGCATATCATATCAATCTCATAATAACAGTGCAATTATGTTTGTCAGAAAGACCTCACTCTGACTCACAGGACACTACAGTTTCCCAGAAACTGTTGGGCTGATATGACTTCCTATTTAAAATGAGATAATGCATTTAAAGCACATTCAGAGTGCATATGTAATGGCCTCAGGGACAATCAGGCTAAAAATACTGAATACACATGGGAAGCAATCAAGGCGCTGTGTATATTAATAAAGAAACAAAGAGGACTCTTGTTCCCAAGTGAATGCAGTATACTTCAGTAAAAATCTGATGTTTATATAAAAATATGATGAAATCAAACCTTTAAAATGGGTTCTGCATGATCATCAGGATCAAATATGATCGACCTGGAGCAGACCTTAAGCGAGCCTCGAACCTTTCTGGAAGGACAAAACCAGTTGATGTTAGGTTTTTACAGGAATTGTTAGGGTCCTGTGAAAAAGACTAAAATTAATCTGAATGTCTTAAAGATCCAACAAAGCAAAAATGTACCACTTTTGAGTGCAACGACTACTTCTAGCTACTTTTAATGTCTGAAACTAAATGCTGGGAGTAGGTGCCAGCATACCGTCCACATCAAATGTGTTCAATTAGTAATATATTTGACTGTTAAATGAGAACACATTTTCTCAAGGAAAAATGATAAACAGAATAAAATCTGAAAAAAAGAAGAAAAAAAAGTTGGCCACAGCTGAAGCCAAATTTGACACAAGAGCTTTAAAATCTGTCTCACTGAATTAGAAATAGAGATATCTAAACCTCTGATATTACAAAATTAGAAACAAACATGATAAAGTGCATTGAAGACAAGAACACAGATTCGACCTGCGGAACTATTTTTGCTATCGTGTTCATTTGTTTAAAGCTCCTGTGAGGAACTTTTAGCTTGTGTTAACTTTGGCACTCCCTGTGGACGAAGCAGTCTTTGCTTATCTTGTCCTTCACATGTTTGACAATCTTGATCCTGTTGACATTTGACAGCCATATATATCACTTTTTTGTATGTGTTTTTACTTCTCACATGGAATGACAACCCTTCAACAAAGAAAAAAAGGAAAAACTTTTTCTCCTGAAAATCTGATATTTAATTTTTAAAGATTTTAGTTCATATGGAAGAGCAGCTTTCAGGATATTATTATTACTGCAGCGGGTTACAAATTTAAGAAAACAAATATCCAGTGAAAGACTTCTCTCTATGGAGATGGAACCCTTTATTTCTCAGGTGTAAATATGATGACATTAAAGCTAAATGTTGAGTAAAACGTTGCTGTCCAGACGCTTTTTGTTTGTTCAGGTTTCAGATCAGGATAAAATGTTTGAACAGCTGCTCCTTACAGGTGAACAGCTGCACGCTCCAAAAGCATAGGAACACCTGACAGGTACAAGACCAATACAAACAGATCCATATGCTCATATCTCAGTCTTAGTTTTACACTTGTACTTAGGCCACAACACCGTGATGAAAACCCATGTTTTAAAATTGCCATAAGTGGAACAAATAAAAATGAAATAAAATGACCACATATTTGAAAACAGAGGAAGAAAGTGGTGACTCCATGCTGAGTCACTGGTGTCATGTTGAGGTTTTCAATGTTGGTGAATAGTTTGGGTGTTGGTCTACCTGTCCTTTCTTGAGCAGGTGGTCACATAATACGCAGTGTGCTGCTCAAAGTAATACTCCTCCAGATCCAACAACAGGAGAGAGAACCTGAGAAGTAAATGAAACAGAGGATTTTAGAGGACCTGAAACAGCAAATCTTCAGTTTTCAGTTTGATGAACATCAAAGTACTAAAAAAGAAAACAATTCATTACACTAAATTTCAGCTTGATGTATTCCACAAATCAGTGTCTGTTTAAAGATGTTTACCAGGAAGGTGAATTTTGGAGGTTAAACCAACTGACTCATGTCCCTTAAGTCAAAGTGCAGCTGACTAGCAAGAGATTTATCAGCACTCTATGCTTCTGTTTGCTAACAAGCCATAGTGGGATGCTGGTTTCCTTTCCCAGCAGGACTTAGTACCTGCCCACAGCGCCACAACTACTAACAGATGGTGTGCAGACCATGATGTTATTGTGTTTGACTGGACCTAACCCCATAGAGAACCTGTCGGATATTTGTCAAGAAGAAGATGAGGAAGACCCAACCTAAAACTACAGACAAGCTGATGGACACTATTTAAGTGACTCAGCTTTAATGATGCACCATATACTTGCATGGTCAAGGAGCGCCATCAATTTGGAGAGCATAAAGAAATAAGATAAGATATTCCTTTATTGGTCCCACAGGGGGAAATTCCAAGTTTACAGCAGCATAAAAAGAGAAATTAAAGGACTAAGAAACTTACGAGTTAAAAAAGATATATACAGGAGTGTTATTTATAGTTTTTGACACATAAGTTGGAAAAATTAAGGTAAGATACTCTTTTGTTAGTCCCACAAGGGTAAATTCCCATACTACAGATATTAATATTAGGGGTGGAAATCACTAGTGGCTCTACGATACAATATTATCATGATACTTTGGCTACGGTACGATATAATTGCGATTTTTAACATTTTGCAATACAGTGAGTATTGCAATATCATATATTGATATATTATATATAATATAATTTTTACTGTTTAGCTGATTTATCACGTGTCTGTCCTTTGTGTCGTTTTTTTACACAGTATTTTATTTTCATGGAGCACATCTTGCAAACCTTATATTTGTTGTGCTAACTTTACCTTACTCTATGATGTCACTTCGGCCAACCCCACTAGACAAACAGTTGATTTTATTTTTCCGTTATCATAGATTTGACTTCATATTGGCAATAAGTTTGAAAAAATTAATTCTTGTTAAATGAGAGGATATGATATATCACTAGACAAAATATTGCGATTCTATACCGTATTGATTTTTTTCTTCCACCCCTAATTTATATGTATGACTATAATAAATGCAATAAACACGAATTCATTTTAAATCACTTGTCTATTGATTTGAGGGAAAAAAACTGAATTATTTCACTTTATATGTCTTACAAAGAATCTATAAGGGTCTATCTAAACTAAATTGTGAAAATACATTGGCATTGTGGTTATTGTAGGCACCACATTTTCCAAAGGAACAGGGTGTGTTAACGGTAGAGTATTTCTGGTTCTGCTGCTTCTATTTTGGTCCTTTCTGTTTCAAACAGTCCAGAGAGAAACAAATGCATTAGCTACTTTATTTCTTTTACTATGACCTCAACACAGATAGTTCAAACAGCGGTCTGATAACAGCTGATGCAGAAATATGTCATTCCCCATACTTTAGAGCTGAGTAATATGAAACTTTAAACCTCTCAGTGTGCATCTACAGAGGCTGTGCTGGGTTAGTGGAGTACAGATAATTCATAGGAAAATACACAACTTCTTTCAGTACAGAGTGAACATGTCCAGAGATCTCAGCTTCTGCCTGAAAATGTAAGAATGCTGATATTCCTGTAAAGAAACATGTAAAGCCAGGGACACGAGCAGCACTTTGGTTCATGTAAAGAAATTTACCTTACCTATTACGCTATTTCATTACTTATTTAAGGGATTACTTAAATATCCATTTGTTTAATTATATGTATATATTTGGAGAGGTATTATAGAGAGACATGTGTTAGTTTCGTTGCAAGATAATGAAAAAAGGGTGCAGTGTACCTTTAAATTTAAAAAGGGTTACACTGTTTACAAAGAAAGCTTGGGAGAAAACATGAGTTTGCATAGGGCAGCACAACCACATCATACTGTTACACACCAATGTAATAATAACACAGACTCTGATACAATCCTTCAGTCTGATCACAGCCCACCCTGTCCCTGTCCATCCCTGTCTGTGTACATCATCTCTCAGCTGACGGAGCAGCTCTCAGTCCCGGAGGGCCCAGCGGACAGCCGGTCTAAACTCAGCCGCTGTGTGCACACCACAGGTCGGACTGACCCCCCCGCACTGACCCGATGTTCAGGTAAACACGTAAACAGCACGTGAGCAACTCTCACCTCTCTTTGGTCCGCTCTCTACTCTTTAAAAAAGCCATGACCGAACAACATCCTCCTCCAAACAGCGAGCACACACCGATCACATCTCTGTCAACACGGAAACCTGCGGGACGTCACGTGACTCACGATCTGCTAATTCAAATAGAAATGGAAGAGGTATCACTCTGAGGCTGTTTCAGGAGGACGAAACTACAAAACGATAGCGATTACTTTTTAATTGTTCAATCAATACAAAACGAATGTTGAAATGTAAACTCGTCTACAACTGGATAGTAAGATTTTTATGGTAATATTCATAAAAAAGGACCCCAAAATAGTAATCAAAAAGAGACATTAAGTGATCGCACACACAAAATTTCTGTTTTTTGTTTTGTTTGAATAAATTCGGGACAGAAAAATGTTTGTGCAAATACCTGTGAGGCCACCACACTAAAGGCTTTCTTGGTTGTGTTTATCACCATTTAAGGTCGTCTAAACAATCAAAGAAATACATGAAAATGATTTGAAAACCACTGATGACAATACAAGATAACAGCAGTATGAATTAACAGCGATGACTTATTATATTCTGTGGGTAAAACAATACCTCTTAACTCAATGTTTTGAGTTTTGATACAAACAAATGTGGTGGCCGTGCTTGCCTGAAGCACACATATCAGTTTTTTAAATGAAAAAGTTCGATGGGAGACAAGTGCAGCGGAAAATAAATAAGAGCATGAGTGAGCATTCTTTAGTATGCATACACGATCTTTGTTTCTCAGCGTCTTGACGTGTCCTCAGTGGGGGAAGTTTGCGGATCTTGAAGATTCTGCAGTTTGAAACAGGAAACATGTGTTTAAGTAGTTCAGTTTGCCACAAAAAGACGCTGTAAGTGTGTTTTTATTAAATGTTAAAATCATGTTAGAGTTGCGGGAGTGTGCGGACCATCATGCAGTGGAGGAGACACTCAGCCGGACTTATTTTCAGCTGCGTGTTCGTGGTTTCATATTTCACTAACAAGGTAAGGGAAAAACCATAAAAACGAAGAGGTTTGACCTCTACTTCAAGGAAAAAAGACACAATTTGTGAGAAAAATGCAAACCTTCATATTGTGTGTTTTTTATCCACACATTTAACACTAGGAGTAAGTTAAAACAAGGTTCCATGTCACTTTTAGCCGTGTATAAAACATGACTGATTCCTCAGAAATATGCACAAAATTGCGGTTTAACCATCATCAACTGTAGTAACTATTATATGAAAACTGTTTAAACCCATTTTGACTCGCTCTTCCTACGAGGCGTGACCCATCCATCAAAGCAGCTTTTTCATTATAACACCAACTCTTATTTTGGTGGGAAACATACAGGAAATGAAAGAGAGTAGGTTGTAATAATTTAAAGTGTTTAACAGCATAATACATTGATATATGATGTGTATGTAATATACGGCATTTTGGGCTCACATAATGAGGAAGTTGCATAATTGAGAGGTTTGGTTAAAGCACATATCAGAAAGATAAAGTTACAAAACGTCATTTATTTAAAATGAACTTTTCTTTCCTTTTGTTTTTACAGTTTGTCCTCTCAGTGTTAAAGTTTACGTATCCAACTTTATTTCAAGGGTGAGTAACAAACAGTAATGACTATATGCATTATTTTTCAGTAATTGTAAAGTATGTGGGGGTGAAAAAGAGTAAACTAGTCACTTCAAAGGAAGTCAATACTGCTGCTCTCTACTTTAAGTAAATGCTTGTTCATGAATCCTCTTAAATCTTTGAAATGTGTCAAAATAATGCTGTTTCCTATCATAACCACACTGCATGTTTCAGATGGCAGACACTTATTGGAGCTGTCCTGCTTCTCCTCTCTGGGAAACTGGGCTGGGTAGAGATGACCCGTATCTCCAGGTAATGCTTTTGCACGACTGTGGAATTTAGATCTGGCTGTTTTCTGCAGCTCACATCAGGTGAATTTATTTTCAGAGGTTTTCAAATGTATTTTGTTGTTGTCTTACAGATCAGCAGCTCTATCGTGGCTCCCAGCCTCCCTCCTGTTTGTAGGAAACATATACGCTGGTTCCAGGGCCTTGTCACGCATAGTGCGTTATATCACCTCCACCTTTACCCCCAGGATCTTTTCAGTTTAGCAGATATTGTTTTCCGCACAAATGTGAGATAGCTACAATGTTTAAAATCTCTGCTTTTTTCGCCTCTCTGTGTAGGACATTCCCTTCTTTTTCACTCTGCAGAATTCCTCTCACGTTGTCAGTTTTATAATCCTGAAGGCCGTCCACAGAGAGGTAAGAGTCTACTGTGTGTGATGTGTACAATATGTTCAGTACACTCCTTCATTCTATTCACTGGAGAGGACAGTAAAGTACAGCTTCTCTCTGATTTGTGCTCAAACAGAAACATAAAGTTATCTTGTAACACTCTCTCTGATTAAAATCTCTGACCTCTTTTGTCACCTACAGAAGGTGCACAGACTGAAACTTGTCAGGTTGGTGATTTTCTTCTTTGCAATTTTCTTTAAGAAGCAAACACACTTATAGGCATTAAATGTAAAAAAATATTGACACTTTCCTCATGATATGACTGCGTATATATATATTTTTTTCTTGTAGTGTCTGTCTGATGCTGCTGGCAGCCATCAACCTGCCCCACTATGACCCTCAGGTAATAACTCATTATCATATCATAGACTTCACATCACAATGCCTGACTTCCCTGTTTGTATGTTATTAGTCTACTTAGTAAACTTTGAAATATTTGGAAGAGGTTTGAGTTAATTTCCCACAATATGTCAGCATTTGAATCTTTTCCTCTTTTACAGTTTGACTACAGTGGTTACCTTTGGGCTGTTGGTCACCTATCTTGTGTTGGTAAGTCTACTTTTACTAAGAGATGCTACACTGTTTTCTTTTAATGACTCAGAAATATTTTAAAGAGAACATCAGAGGCCTGAGAACTGAGCCTAAACACCTAAAGAGAACTGGAGTCCAAAGTAAGGTGCAGACAAGTTCAGGTGAGAACAGTCAGTGATGATCAAGATTTTTAAGATAAAAGGATCCAAAAATGACTTCATTTATGAGTCAGTAATGTGAGTTAGATAATTGGAACATCAGAGGACTGAGGATTAAGCCCTGAGGGACACCTCTGATAACTAAAAAACAAATGTAGTCAAATGTGAGGTGTGGATAAGCAAGAAGAGTCAGTGGTGATGAAGATATCTAGGATGACTCAATAATTCTTGACCTATGACAGTTACACTTTTATTACCTTTGTGATACTGATGTTGTGGGTGTCCTTTCTAAGGTTAAACTGTGTGTCTTGGTGCCAAAACTAAGTCTTGAAAACAGGGAAATACTGTTCATTTAAAAAGCTTACATGATGTATTCTGAACTAAAAGGATAAGTTTGATTTTTTCTTATTTTTCAGGCACATACAGAGTGCTTCAAGTTCACTACAAACCTGCTAATTTGAGGTATGTCCATGCACATTAGTGTGCTATTGATAAGAGATAAATTTTCTATTATCGTTTTGTTTTTAGATTGTATAGTTTAAAGTATACCATGGTTATTTAGTGCTCTGTTTATTTGTCTTGTCTTGACTTATTTTTATTTTACCTTGCCACTGTACAGCACTTTACCTGACTTGCATAGGTACTTCGCTGTGCTGCTGCTGGTTCAGTGTAGTAGAAGAATCTGTGTCTGTACTTAAACGGTGGAAACTAAACATCACATATATATATTTTTTAATGCCAGCTACAACTCAAATTCCTTCAGGATAATGATAATAAACTTGAACTTTAACTTCAAGTTGCTGACACTCTATTTGTTGTCTTCATTGCAGCGACCTTGAACAACAGTGCATCAACTACCTTTTCAGGTAAGGGTATTTTGCGTAATTTGAAGGATAAATCTATGAAAAGCCTTAATTTATCTGAACACTGAGTCTTTGAAAGGCTCTGTTTACATTTGTGTAGATTTGTTAAATTTTTCCAGTTGATGAAAAAGTTTTTCTCAAAACACTTTTTATATCAAGTTTCATGATCAATGTTTGTACATTCAGAAATGAGACTGAATTGATCTTAAAACACCCCAAATTTAATCTGAATCATCCATTTTGAATGAGGATGAACTGCAAGCTGCATCTCTCCCATTAGAGGCTAATTTCAGCCTGTCTCTGTCTCTGTCAGTGTGCTGCTGCTTAGCATTGCTGCTCATCCAACAGGTAAGAATGACCCTGTGCAGGTGGATCATTATGCTGAGGTCAGAAGAGCTGTAATGTTAAAATGTGGAGGCCTTAATTCAAACTAATAAATGTTATAAAATTATTAGATCCTGAATAAGAAGCCAAGGTATGTTTGCTGTGTAATTCTGTCAGAGTGAAAAAAACACAATCTGCATTTTCAAACAGGTGTGTGTCTCTCTGCAGGTGACCTCACAGCTGCTCTGGAGTTTCCCTCCCTACAGTCTTACACTTTCCACTGTGGCTGCTGTGCAAGGTGAGAGCTCTCAGTCTTATTTTTACCTCTCTATTTTTGCAAGATCTGCTGTGAATATTTCTCATGTATATAAAAAGATAATTAGGTTGGTCTTTTTAGATAAATGTGAGCCATGCTGGTTGAAGTAAATTGCACAGTATGAAAATAGAACATTCCTTGGATGCCCGATTGTCTCTGGAAGTTTATTAGATTATATAAAATTTGAAGATGTGAAGAAACAGAATAACTTTTGCACCATCATAGTTAAATCAGAGAGGCATGAACGTAATGTGCTGCAGCACAGCAAATATGTTTGCATTTGGGGCATTTATTTTTCATCTTAAAGCGGGTTAAACAGGAACATTGATCTGAATGTCAGGGGTCACCTTGAAATGATAGTCCCTGCTGGATTAGGAAATACTTGGTTGATGGATGGAACACAGGACTCATGAGGATGGATGTAAGTCGTATGCGCTGGAAACAGCTATGAGGATTCTTAAGGTGTGCTCAACCCTTTCTTTATTAGAAAAATTGGTATGATTGAACCGACCTAAATCAAGTCAGAAGTAAATCCATTTTAGTTAAATGTGAGGTTAAGTGTTCTTCGTGATAGCAGTGATTTGTTTCAGGATCAAAGAGGAAGAGTCGTACATAGTTTGAATGTCAATTTTTTTTATTCTCATATTTTATAATCTTGTGTCTTCACAGCGCTCTGCTCGGGTTTCTGTTGCTGTTGGCCACCATCAAACTAAAAACTGGTTTATCACTTGAGCATTTAAGGGTCTGGATCTTTCTATCCAAGGTAATCTTTGATCACATACAGTTTATATTCAACCGAGGGCTTCAAATCTTTCATCACAACTCCAGTGAGGCATCCAAACTAAATGGTCTTTTGTTTTTTTTTCCTTTCAGGTTACTGCCATGTGCCTTTCTCCATTAATCTTTGACATGAACATTAACACTCTGTCTCTGATTTGGTGAGTTTCTCTCCCTCATTACAGATAATAAAGTTCAAAAGTACAGTAAAGTTTGTTAAACAAAAGGAAGTTTCTAATTTATAGTAAAGATTGTTAAACGTCTATTCTTCTGTTTATTCCCAGCGTACTCCTCAGTCACGTTGCAGAGGCTCTGCTGGTTTATTCTGACAGAGAATCTCAGACATGATGACCTCCTCATATTGACAGCCTTTACTAAAGAGATTATTGTTTCTATGAAGAGTATTTTATTTTCTCACTTTGTTTTTGTAAATTCTGATCTTTGCACTGTTAACCTGCTGACCAAATAAAGCCATCTCTCTACATAAATCATGGTCGGTGTGCTGACTGTAGTTTAACAAACCACAGGGACAGTTATCTTTGGTCATTATGTTTATTTTTATTTATCCACAAAAATCTGAATTACACTCAAAATAATTTAAACAGTGTAAAAAATCTGTACATATAGAATCAAAATGAAATTATACACCTAACATTTATGTGCACAGTTTGTAACCTGTCTGTATGAAACAGAGAGCTTCATTTTCCACAGTAAAAAGTGTTTTAAGGCTCTGCTGAATTTAAACAATCCTACAAAGACACACTGTTGTTGCTCTCCTGCTGTTTTCTCTTCGGGGAAAATAAGGCGTTATACGGCTGTCGTCTCCGAGTACGAGACTGAGGACTTGTCTCCTCCCTGATGTAACCTGGAAGCAAAATTATGATCATGATAGAGAGATGAACCAAAGTTTTATGGGACAGTAAAATAAACAGACAATGTCAGAATGATCCAAAAGTGTTTCTCAAAAGTTCTGATTGACCAACACTGGATTTCAACAAGTTGAAAATCAGACAGTTATTTTCAAACCTGGGCCTTACTTTAGGTTGTTTTAGATGAACAGATAACATACAACAGAGGATCAGAGCCACATTTGAGCCACAATATAAAGAAAAATGTAGTTCTAAAACAAAGTCCTGATATTACAACCACAAAAAGACAAAACAAAGAAAAATAATAAACTAGTAATTAAACAAGATTACAGCTTTATATTAATGGAAAAATAACTCAGAAACCAGCAAGATTATAGATTCTAATTTACAAAATTATATTACAATATTATATAATTGATTTGTAATTTGACAAGAAAAAGTATAAATTTATGAGAATAATAAATGTACAAGAATAAACTGGTAGATTAACAAGATTACAACAGTAAATGTACAGAAAAACAGTGAAAAAGCATATCCTTAAAAATAAACCTGTAAGTCATTTAAATGTAAGTTTTACATTCAAGAAAGAAGATTGTAGCTACCTTAAGAAACATCGAAACTAACTTGGCCAGAGTCAAAAATATAGAAGTCATCATTTTATGAGAATTAAGTTATGAATTATAATTGAGTTTATAAATTAATTACATAAATTATTATGATTATACTTAGATTTTTGTTTCTTCTTTATCAAAAGTGAGTTAACAAGATTAACATCATTAATTACAGGAACTAAGTTGTAAAAAACTTCTGAGAATAAATTTGAAAATCAGCTAAATTAAAGTTGTACATTTAAGGAAAAAATTGTTATAGAAGTTATAAAATGAATAGTTATAAGAATCGAAGTCTAGAATTTATGAGAATAATGTTGTAATTTTTTGAGACAGAAGTGATGCTGAAAGCCTGGTATGGTTTGTTATTAGCTGCTGGTCTAGCTTGTTAAACTGCTGCAGGAGACACAAATCTACTGCAGACATTTTGAAACTGTTGATGCCAGTTTGTCATTTGGACCCCAATATATTTAAAATCTGACAACTCTGGTGTGAAAACACTAAAAATACGTTTAAAACTATCAGTGTAATGTAAAAATGTCAAGTTACCTCTATCAATGCAAGTCTGAGTGGATGGAAATCCAACTTCCCAGAAGTTTTCAGGAGTACACGGAGGAACATACAGAAATCTGTGTCTCGAACACGAAGAAAGCTTTTTCTCTTTCTCCTCGTCTGGGAGATGAGCGTAATACTGTTGGATATAAGATCATTTCAGTAAGTGCAGTAATAAAACTTCAATTTTATTCAGCTTTTAGGTTGAAACACTTACAATTTCACATTCTTTACAGGTGGTTCCCTTCAGTTTCCTCCTCTCTTCCTTCTTTCGAATCACCGCCACATGAGCAAACCCTGGGCGACTAATCCGGAGAGAGAAAACATAGTTTAAGAGAAATAACAACATATCTTTGCTGTTAACCATATCATCCAAAAAAACAACCACAGCTGCCTGTTTTTTGGACTCTTAAAGAGAGACTGTGTTTGGTACCCGTTTTTTTGTGCTCTAATCTGACTCAGAGTGGTTTCATCAGGATCGTGCTCATCATCATCATCATCATCATCGTTTTCATTTTCTTCTGCCTCATCTTCATCTTCTTCATCACAGGGCTGGCTCTGGCCTAAGTGTTGGCTGCTGAAAGACTTGTAATCTCCATAAGCTGTCGTGTCAAACATCATATCCAGACTGTCGTTTGCTTTCTCCCCCAGACCTTCAAAAGCAGACCAATAAAACTTTATCACATTTTGTCTCATTTTGAAATCCTGCCTGTTCAACAGCATAAAAAGGGGATTTTTGACAATTGACAAACAAGCTGTGTCAAAGTAGAGGTGAGACGTTAATACCACAGCTACAGACTTTGATATTTTTGAGATTAGATGTTTTTTATTCCGAAACCATTTGGTTTGTAGTTGGTTGTATTTACCAGACACGCTGTCTGTTTGGCCCCGTCGCTGCAGCACACTGTGACTGACCCAGGTACTGTCTGTGTCCACCAGCTCTCCTTGACACTCCTCCTCCTCTTCCTCCTGCTGGTGAAAGGTGAACAGATGTCACTCAAACATCAGGCATCACTTCATATATTCAGGCCTTTCACATAATCAGGATTTCTCTGTAAATTCACCAAAATAAACAAACAAAATTCTTCACTGGCAGAAACAGAAATATCAGGTAGAGGCTCTACAGCTGGTACCAGACATGTGATGAACTTTTTAACTGTTATTTTCAGTATTTCAGGTCATGTGACTTCACCTCATCTCCTCTACACTCGCTGTCATACATGGACAGAGCGAGCGCCGGGTCAATGCTCCACATGGACTCCACTTTAGGCTTCTTTTCTTCTCAGAGGGACAGAGGACATAGCAATATAAAAATAATCTTGTATTTGGAAAAATAAACTAAAATTATCAGATAAAAAAAAGTCACCATTACAAGGAAAATGTTGGAGTTCAAGAATAAAATGTCAGAGGTTTAAAAATAAAAAGCAACAAATGTAAGATAAGAAGTAAAATAATAGGACCAAATCTCTGCTTACAAGATAAAAAAGGTAAAATCACAAAATAAAATAAATAATAACTATGAGATAATATGGACAGTTAATAAGTTATGGGAAAAAGTCAAAATTATGCTGTTATAGTATGATTTAAAGTAATCTTTTCAAGGTATTAGTAATTCGAGGTGATAGCTATAAGATCAAGAAGAATAATAAGCACTGATTTTATTTAAAGGCATAATAGTCATAATTATAAAATAATCAGGAGATAAAAAGTTGATGGTAAGTCAGAAAATTTCTGATAAAAATTGATTTAGGTCACATAATTATGATAAATGACATATCTATGAGATAAAAAGTTAAATAGTTGAGATTAAAGTCATAATTGTGAGACAAAGAGTTGAAATTATGATAAAAGTCCAATTCTGAAACAAACTTCAGCTTCATTCAGATAAAATATCATAGTATATTCATGGCTATGAGACAGAAAGTTGAAATTATGGTAGAGAAAGTCTGAAGTTTTGTGATGTGTTCAGGTACGGTCTGCGGTTTTGGTTCTTACCGACACTGCCTTTGTTCCACTTATGAAGAGCTAATGGTTTCTTAAAATCAGGACTGACATGGGAAACACTTGGCTTGAGGCTCGAAGTCTGACTCTGCGCTGACTGAACCTGTGAAAGAAACCACAAACCGATTTAAAAATCAAGAAGGCGAATAATTCTGTCACACTCTGACAAATGACAAACATATAATATCAGGCAGATGAAGACACAATTATTTTTTGTTTCGAAAGATGCAGAAAAAACAAAACACATCAGCCATTAAACTGGACTAACAGACATACAGTATCTTTCACCTTGTTGTCCAGAGTCTCCTTAGAGCTCTGACAGTTTAAAGGTGAAGCACTTTGTTTGATCGGCCCCGGCTGTTTTCCTGGTTCTTCCTCAAGCTCATCTTTCTCCTTCTTCCTCTTCACTCTGTTAGCAGAGTCTTCCGCTGAAAGGCGTTTGACCCGCGGAAACAGGGATGGGGATCGTCCTGAGGTGGAGTCTGCACTGAGGGTCAGTCTAGGTCTGCAGGTTGATTAAGTTTTTTATCAGAGGGGTTTTCAGTGACAGGCATTTCTGTCTCTCTACCTCTGTAGTGAGCACAAGCTGTAGGTAAATGTATATACAATATATTCTACACAAAATGGCATTTAACTAACTTTTTAATTAAAAATCCTCCTGGTGATTCTCCCAGGAAAAAAAAAATCACAAAAAACAAACAAACTCATCCTGACTGTTTTTATTCTTACTTTAAATGAATTTCAAACATTCGAGGTGTTTTGGAGCTGCTGTGCTGGCTGGTCTTTGTTTCAGTTTTCTGAGGAGAGGAAAAAGATCACTAGAATTACACAATTCAGAGAGTGAAATAAGCCTGTATGTTTATACTCAATGAACTATTAAGTTTCAGCAAAACTGTAAAAGACAGTAGATGGAAATATTCTGGAATTTATAGATGAAGGTTAATAGATGTCCAAGTGTAAATTTAATGTAGAAAACGTACACTTTTAAAGTATGGCACTTTTTCAGACAGGATCTCTTAGTACAACTTAAAACAGAGGAAATCCCAAGACTGTTCTGTAGTTTTACTGAAATAGAAATGAAAAATAAATAAAACTTTCCCCTCTTTCAGTGAACATTTTTTAATATTCCTTGATATTAATTTTTGCTTTAACATTACTCATGCTGTGAGAAATCCAACCAGATCTTTAAATATTCATGTTTTGTGGGAATAAAGACTTTCTTTTATCCTGATTCCCAGCATTATGAACAATATAAAGTGCTTGGTTTAGGAGAATAAATAGTTAATATCTTGCACATTTGTAAGTATAACCTCAAACTCTCTACACTGTAACTTAAATAAAGTGAAACCATGAACAACAGAGGATGTGGAGTGGTTAAGTGTGTCTGTTTTTGCTTCCATTTTAGATTCCAATTTTTTAATTTCCTATCCCTGTCTGCCTGATCATGTTGCTTTTTTTCTTAATTATACATTTGATATGAAGATTTCATCCTGACTTAAAATCTTAACTTTTTTGATTTTGTATTGTGATGCTCCTTGTACCTGCTGTAACCCCAAGAAATATGATTTCATGAACTGTTTCAATGTTTAGTCCATCTATCTGAATCTTAACTTGAATATTCTGCAGTATTCAAACAACTTTTTTTGTTTTTGTTCAAGTTGACTGATATTTTTTCTTGTTGAAAAAGTTTTGATTTTCTTCAAGTGTAATTTTGAACACTAATCTAAAAAAATGCAGCAGTCTGTGATTCTTTCATCTCTGTGTCACTTTAAGGTAATTTTAGTTTATTTATACAGAAACTAGTGAGTATGTGATCTTCATACAGTGTTGTCTTTTCTAAAGCTTTTTATTTCATATGAATAAAATTCCTAACCAGTACAAAGTACACTTACCATGTAAGGCTTCTCTGAGAGTTCAAAGGCGCAGGTTTCTGCGATTTCCATTTCCATATTTTGATTCTGATCGTCTGAAAATAGACAGAAAACAGAAAGTCACAACACACTTACACGTCAAATAACAAAACCCTAATCCTCAGAGAACTCTATCGTGCGTCTCATGGGCTGCAGAGGCATTTTAGAGTCGAGAGGAGGTCTGAACTGACACTAGAGTTTATTCTGACGTCACAGAGTAAATTTACATAAGCGCATCTCTGTGCTGCCCCACAGTGTGATTTAGGCTAATAGGATGGGCCAGAATACCACAGATTAACGTTACCACATGCTTATTGAGGATGTTTTTAAAAATGAACAACTCTAGGTTTGATATGCCTGAGATTTGACATGTATTTGTTGCATGATAATGTTGCTGGCGTGGAGAGGAAGAGGTCATACTTGAGGTCTGGGATGTCTCCAGTTGACATGTATTGGGGACAAGCACCTCTAGTTTTCTGGGCTCTTTACTCGGTTCTTTAAACAGAACACACATAAGAAGACTTCAGATGAAGAAGAAATAAATGAGCATTAAAAAGTCTGACAGTCTCTCTGGATCAGACTGACCATTGAACAGCGAGCTGCTGGACTGTGGTAGAGGCATCTCTGCATAACGAACATGTTTAACTTTGGCCACATTTTTGCGTTTCCTCAGTTTGTTTGCAGCAGGCAGCGAGCTGTGCAGGACCGGCGAGTCTGGGATGATTCCTTCTTCATGTTCTGGTGATGAGGTCTGCTGTGGCCCTGAGCTATAAAGAAAAAAACACCTGCAGTGCTTGATGGGAACTGAAACTGTACTTCAATACTTCTTCATGTGCAAAGCAACAATGTTAAAGAAATTGTAATGACATAAATACACCCATAATGTCACAGGGGGGACACTTTTAGAGAAAGCAGAAGAGGAACCACCAGCAGTGTGGTTTAACAAAAAGACATACAGTATTTGGAGTTTTCTAAATAGACTTTGACAGAAAAACTGTGGAAATAAATGTTTAAGACTTTCAAGCTAACTTTAGGATTTCTCTTAAGCCAAAGAGAAGCTGAGACACAACTGTAACACAAGATAAAAACTTACCAAAATGACCTCAATTTCTCCACTTCAGCTTGAAGTTTTCTGTTTTTTTCCTCCAGACTGTTTCTTTCATTCTCTATAAAATAAGGACACACAGTATTGTCACTTTTATTACATTTCTGATTATTTATTAGGGCAGTGAGTGTGTAAAACTGTAGTTACCACAGCTCTGGATGTTTAATTACAAGGAAAAAAGACTCACTCAGTTTGTTAATGAGATGTAAACGCTCCTCCTTGTTGTCTTTCAGATCCTCTTTTAAGACGGCACATTGTTCACACTCTCTTGAACGCAGCCTGAAACAGAAAACACAGTTTTTGGTCCGTGTGCCACTCTTTTTGAAATAAGTTAACTTGTATAATAATTTTATAATTTACATACACTTCAGCTTTTACAGAATTCAGCTGCAAGAGTGCTGACGAGGGCCAGAGGGCGAGAGCATATAACGCCAGTTTTAGCGTCGCTGCATTGGCTCCCCGTCCATTTCAGGATGGATTTTAAGGTTCTTTTATTAGTTTTTAGTTGTATTAATGGTCTTGGCCCCTCTAATTTATCTGACTTACTTTTATCATATCAACCCTTGCCGACCCTGAGGTCCTCCGGCACAGGCCTTTTAACCTTACCCAAAGTTAAAACGAAAACACACAGGGAGGCAGCTTTCAGTTTTTATGGTCCCCGGTTGTGGAACAGCCTGCCGGAGAGCCTCAGGGCCGCAGAGACTGTTGATGTTTTTAAGAAGAGGCTCAAGACTCACTTTTTTAACCAGGCTTTTTACTAATTGCCTTTTTATATTTCTCTTATTGCAAATGTTCATTTTAATAGAAGTTCTTATTGTTTATTTTATGTCATTTCATTAATTATCTCTGTTCTTAGTCTTTTTCTTAATTCCACAGTCACAGGTTTTTACATCTTTTACCCATTTTTTATATATGGTAAAGAGCTTTTACTTATCTGTTCAATTAATATTATTTTCTTGTTTTAGTCCATCAGGTTTTAGTCTTTCTTTTCACCATTTTTATCTACATTTTTTTATCTCCAGTGTTTCCCAGAGGTAGTTCTTTCCTCAGGTGATGTCTCGGTGTCAGGCCTTGTCTCTCTAACAGTATATCTTAAATTCTTACACTGTGTGCGGTTGTGTGTGTGTATGTGTTGGTGTGTTGGTGAGTGAGTGAGTGAGTGAGTGAGGGTGGGTGGGTGGGTGTGTGCCCTTGTGTGCGTGTGGGTCCATGGGTGTGTGTGTGGGTGGGAGGGTCAGGTTTTATTGTCGTTATTGTTGTTTTTAGCCTCTGAGGCACTTTGAATTGCATTTTTATATTAAAAGTGCCATTTGAATTTGAATAATTGAGTTACCTTTCCTCCAGGTGAATGACAGCATCCTGCAGGTTTTTGTTTCGCTCCTTTAGCTGCTGGTTGCGATTGAAAAACACCTCAAGTTTCTGAGCATCTCTGCAGGAATAAAAGGCACAATGACAGGTAGATACTGGAGACAAGGCTCAATTTTATCATTCAGGAATACTCTGCTGTTTCAGGTTTTATATCAGTGTACGTACAGACAGCGCTCCTTCTTCAGCTTCTTCACTTTGGCCTCCAGCTCTAAAATAAGGACAGAGGAGAGAAATCAGCATTAGGGGTTCACTAAAGGTCTTTCAGGTGTACTCATCCTGGCTCAATTACCCTGCAGTGTATTTTGATGGATCTCCAGCAGCTGCCTCCATACATCCTCAAACAGGTCTGCTGGTCTGGAGGTCTCACTGCTCGGACTGGGGCTGCTCATCCTCTATCCACACAGACCACCTGACCCCTGAAACCTCGACGTAATCGGTTCAACACAGAAAAACCAGAAGAAAACTGGACGTGTGTCAATTGAACATAAAATCAGGTGGCTGGCTGTTTTAACCGTCCACAGGTCCGCTGTTTTAGAGGTTCACTTCACAAACTAATGAGCGAAGTAACCGTGTCTTTTCAAGTGTAGAAACCAACTGCAGAGAGTAAACTATGATTGAAATTTAGGTCTTAAAACTGGCTACATTATCGATAACAGGTCGTACAGAACTCCAACTCCGCGCGCCGAGCTGCATGACGGGAAATTTTCTTCTTCTCCTAATAAACTTCGCCCAATGGCAAACACTGCCCCCTACACATAAGAGTCATTATATTTACATTCTCACAATGAACTAAATGAACAAGATGGCTTTTTTTATTGTGTTGTGCTTCTTCTCAAAGTTCTAAAGTGGTTCAGGAGTTGTGTGACATTGTAATGTATTATTGTTGTAAATATCATACTACTAAAGCCTGATTCAGGCACTTTGATAAGAAATCCACCCCTATTAGAATAATGGAGGCTGTTTTTTTTCTTCCTTTAATTGATTAGGTAATTACAACAGAGTATTGGGGCCCTGTTTAAGATTAAAATGTGCAAAGACTTTGAATTTAAAAAAAGATTTAAATATAAATTCAGTTTTTAAGAACTTTTTTTTTCATTCATTTTCTTACAGAGATAATCTTGTGAGAAAATTACTTTCTAGATATTAAGGCTTAAAAAAATTGTGCAAAAAGCTGAGCTATGTGGCACCCCCCTTCAAAGCAGTATTATGCTGCTAATCATAAACTAAATTAATTACTTTAAATATAATTTTACCAGACTTTGCCCTCAAGAAAAAAAATAACTGACCGAACATAAAAATGTGGAAAAAAAGAATAAATTAAATTCATTCTTAGATCTTTTTGTTCTTTAATGTGGCTCCAATGGTTGCCCTGTCAGAGATAATTAAGATTTTTTGCCTTGTTTTTCTGAATTAATGAGACAATTATATCAGAATTATGAGGGGGGGAAGTTAGGGATGAAATCTTGGCAGGAAGATTTTATTTTCAAAAATGTTATCCCACAATTTTTATAAAGTAACCTCATTAATTTAGAAAAACAGGAAGGTTTTTTTTCTCCCTTTCCAAAGAATGCAATAGGCCTCCACAATACAGAAAAGGTAAATAAATGTAAATAATTTCTGAACTTTAGTGCCCAAGTTAAATGATCCAGCTCTGTCACTTAGTGGTGAAAATTCTTTTTGACTTATAAACAGCTGTCAGTTTCATTTCCCAAATAAGATTTTCATGAAGTTAGGGGCATCCTCCTTATAAGATGTGATTTTGGCCTTATAACACTGCTTGTTAAATTATCTACTTTCCTTCAACAAACTTTTCGAACTAAGCATTATATTCATCTTCACGGCCCCTTGCTTTAACTTAGTTTATTTTATCTCATTAAGACAGTCAGACGTCTCATCTCATCTATAGCGATTGTTGCTTAACTTTTCATTGTAGGATTTTGTGCAGTGTTTTTAGTTGTTGTTAATGTCACACTGAGTTCAAACAAAGTTCAGTGTAAAACTATTAAGTGTCTTCTTCTGTGCTTTACCCTTGGGGATAACTACTGTATCTCTGTTCCCTTCTTGAGCTGTCAACAAAAAAGAAGAAACACTGCAGGTGAAACAAAGATTCCTCTTATATTTGTTTTTATTTTTGGTCTTTCTTAAGAATACAAAACAAGAACCAAAATCACAAAAATAACATTTACAAAACAGATTATTGAACCGAGGTGACCGAGGCGGCAATGACGAGCATGTCTATATATGGGATATAATGTTTTTGTTTTTAGCCTGGAGCCTGGAGGTAAAACAGCGAGCGATGAGTCTGTTAGAGTTAGTGCCTGCTTCAGTAGTGCTGTTCACAGATAGAGTTTCATGTTTTCTAACATGTTTCCACAGTTAGCAGAGATTTACTGATTAAGAGCTTCAGACCTGTCTAACAATACATTATTATGTCAGGTCAGATATTCTAGACACAACATACTGTATGGCACCATTTTTAATGGTTTCTATTTTATATTTGACACACACTCACACTCACATTCATTCACTTATTTAACTGGGTGCAAATACTTCCAACACTATCTGCTCCTCGATTCCTACCAAAAATACTTTCAGCTAAAATAAGTTTTATGATTGATATCAGCCAAAAATGTTTCAGGCAGGAGAAAAAAGCTGCTTCACACTTTTGGAAAAGTCGACATTTTTATCCTCAAATGTCTGACAGGCAGGAAAATAAAACACTGAGTATGATTAAGAGCTGGAATGACCATCAGTCAGAGTCTTCTTCCTAAAACACAGACTTGGTGAGACGAAATGCAAACACTGCGTCACTGACAGAAATATAAAAACTGAGCATCACTTAATAAACACAGAGCAGTAAATGTAGCACAGTTATCCTGCACGTGCACGTGCACAGGTGTATTTTTGCATGAACAAATGTTAGTTGATGCGCTCACTGACTCAGCTCTGCAGATTATTACTATTTTAGTTCCTTTGGATGTGTGCCTTGAGTTTGCATCTGTCACAGCAGGTAGATTGAGCTAGCATTACTTCGTATATCGATATGTACACATGCATTCACCGTCATATGTATCCAGAATAAAAATAAAACAACGTAAAAACAACAAACTCCCTTTTCTCTAGTGAAGAGTTGAAGCTATAAAAACCTGCAGACAGTTTGCATGGAGGCTTTGCTGTTGGAGAGATGCAGCAAGTGGAGGGGGTGCTGGCGCTGAAGAAGGGGGGGGGGGGGGGGGGGGGTCATGAGGATGGTTGTATTCTTCACCCCCTCCTGTCTGAATGTAGTCGGGTTTAGATTCACATTATGCTGGAAGAAGAGTAAGAGGTGCAGACGCTGGCAGAGCTGTCCTCACCGAGAGCAACGAACACTGGAGGAGAGTGTGGATGCATATCTACTGTCAAACCTGCATAGAGAAAACCACAGAGACACAGGCACTTTAAAATCGGTGTGTTTTGATTGGTCGAACAAGAGGCCAGTACAGGTAATATGTTTGGATGATAGAGTATATCACAGGGACACTCACTCCCCCATCTCTTCACCACTGGGGGGGCACGTAGCTGTAGCTGGGGGTGCCTGGGGGCCGGTATGTGGGCATTGTGACTTGGTGGGGAGCAACAGGTGCTGGTGATGGAGTTGTCAACAAAGTTCCTGAGAAGCAAAACGACCAAAGAGTAAGCACAGGTACAGTAAGAAGGCCTGTATGCCAACATGGGCCTGAAATATTGATATTGTGATAAAAATAAGTATACAGTAATTCCAGAGGTAGTCCTTAATGCTTGCTGCCATATATTATAAAACAGCCTTACTTACGCTATTATAGTACCATTAAAATCTCTAACTGTTGAGTTTCCTAGTGTAGAGTAATTCCTAGACAGTCTCCAAACACTCCCTGAGTCATGGCCACCTGTGCTTTAGCAGCCACTGTAAGCTCTCCAGTTGAGAGAACAAATTATACTGATAAACAACAGAGGCTCTATTTTCGTGCCTCGCCAGAGACGTGCCGCAGGCGCGGCGTAAGTCAGGTCCGCCGCGCCGACAAGGCGTTCCCAAGCACAATTTGGTATTTTGGTGAGCGGCGAAGCCCGGCGTAAGTATCCCCCCTCCCTAACTCAGCTCCTCCCAGCAGCATAAGTCGTAGCGAGGGAGGAGAGAGGGCGTGGAGTGACTTTAACACAGCCGAGACCTGTTTTCACCAATCACATAAGCTCCTCTCCTTGCCTTTAAATCCGCCACAGGCGAGGCGTATTACTATTTTCGTGAAGTAGTCAAAGAGATCAAGAGATGTCTGAAGACAGCAATGCCACACGATGGCGACAGAAGGCAGCTCCTCAACAAGTGTCACTGTAAACGCTGCAGAGGGCGTCCTGCACACTGTCTCAAATAAGCACAGATGGATTTGGTGTGTGTAAGTTTGGACCCACTGGTAAGACAAACACCCTTTTCCACAAATAAAGACACTCACATAAAGTTGCATATATTCAAACCTCACATGACAAAGGTGGGTTGTGCGCACAGAGCAAAACATAAATTATAAAAATGGCATTAAAATCGGAACCATCTGTGCGTAATGACGCATCGCGCTCCGTGGCCTGGCTCTTTCTTTCATAGATGTTGGCATATAAAATAAATTTGGCTCACAAAACTGAATATTACAATATTTGTTTGTACACTCAAAGTAAATAACTCATCTGAGCACTGAAACAAATCATCTGTTCAGCCGCCGCAGCAGCTGCAGCAGCAGCAGGAGGGTGAGAAACTTGTTTACAATCATAATAACTTCAATGATGTTATTTAACATGATTAAGTCTATAAAAGGTTAGAATAACTGCCTTACAAAGGGCAAGGCAGCAACATTACTGTAAGCAATTAATTAAGGCATAATAAAGGACTTCTTTATCTTAACAAGTCATTGATCACGTTCAAAGTCAAGAGCTGATGGTGTTTCCTTTGAGAGAAAAGGCTGTAAGATAGCAGTTCAACACCAGTCTGGTTCTGCTGGTGGTTTCTTCCTGTTAAAAGGGGTTTTTCACCTCCTTATGTAACCTGATAAATGCTGCCAAGCACTCTGCTCATGGTGGATTCCAATGGCATAAAATTAAGTCTTAGAATATGACAGTGGCTCTTTGAAATTATAAAAACCAAAGAATACAGTCCAGACTTGCTCTCTCTGAGATTTTCTGGTGAATTGGTACGATAAAAAAATAAGCGCTGATTATTTGATTATTTGATAACAAAGAAACCATTACTCACCAGCTGACATGGCCATGGTGGTGCCGGCTACCATCCCCATGGCAACACCATTGGGGCGGGGTGGAGGAATGGGCGGGGCATACATGGCTGCAGGCATGCCGTTGGGCTGGACCACCGTTGTGTGGTGGATGACATGAGGCGGAGCAGCGTACAGAGGCTGTGTGTAGTAGGTTCCTTGTTGTTGTGACGGTATTAATGCCTGAATCACAGAACAAAACGAAAATTTAAGTTTTCTCAATATCAGACAAACCTGAACATTGAAATCAAGACAGGTATCACACATTCACTGACCTGTGCATAAGGGTTCTGTTGGGGGTACGTGCTCCTGACCGGGTACACAGCAGCAGGGTAAGGGCTAGGGGAGGAGGAGTAGGGAGGGACAGTCCCCGTGTTGGGGGAGCAGGACATTTTGAAAGGAGTGCAAGGAGCATAACCTGCAGGAGGAAGAAGACGAGTTAAGAGAGTGTAGGTAGTTTTTCAAGATATACAGATAGGTCCAGTCATCTGGGACTGATTCACCATATATGTTGTATTTCAAGTCGGTTGTTTTTAACTATGTCTTTCCTACCTCTGCTGCACTGGCCATTTAGCACACTCATCACATTCCCAATTCAGAGCAGAACAGCTTATTGAAAGTTCTTCTTCAGTCTGCCAGAAACTTTTTTCTTAACTTGTTACCACAGATAAAATTCTCTTCACAGACACCAGACTCATTATAAAATGTTTCACTTCAGAAAACACAAGGATTGCTGGTCTATGACTCCCTAAACGGATCACTTTGTCCTATTATGGATTTGTTTCCCCATAAATTGGAATACACTGGGATACTGAAGTCAAACATATTCCGCAGGAGCACCCTGAGTATTTGCTATGGAACTTTCAAAGGATTTGGACCTGATATTTATCTAAATCCAGGTTTAAACTGCATATCAGTCCCATGAAATAGCAGGGGCAGAATGAAACACTTCCAGACTATGGTTCAGTCTTCAAAAAGGTGTGTAGGACTTGACTCTTACCACTGGGGAAGGTGGGGTTTGCTCCTGCGTAGACATTAGGATTGTAGGCAGGAGCTGCTGCATAGCCAACAGGAAATCCAGCTACATGACCAAACAGAAAAAAACAACATAAAACTTTACCTACCCGCATCTCAGGATATTTAACTGTAATCAAACGTTTGATCTTGAAAACAAATGAACTTACCTGGGTAGCTCAGGCCCTTAGTGTTAGTGAAGGGGACCCCTGTTGGTGCAGGGCTATAAACTGGATTCATTATGGCCACCTACTGACAAATACTGAAACAACAACACAGAAAACAAAAGTAAAAAAGCATTAACGATTACTGAAATAATGTAATAATAAAAATGACACACACACAGACACGTATATGTCATTAGTTAATTGTCAGACTAATTTTGTCAAACCAAAATTCAAAAGTAATGTCTGATTTTCCTTGGGTAATTTTCAGTTAATCCTTATTTAGTATTATTTTTGACAGTTTCTAGTTATTTCGGTGACAATAGTGGGTTTTTTCTTTGATTAACAGAAGAGTAAACACTTTGTACACATGTGTAACTTTAAATGATCAAGTTCAGGAGCTAAAAAGCACATAATCAAAACACTAGTCAAGGACTTTTTAGTAATGTTACAAACAAAAATTATTTAATATAAACCTAAAATCAGCAGAACGGTGATGTCTTTCTGGAGATGGCTCATATAGGATAAACTGCTTTTTACCAAGCACTTCCTCTAAAATAGTTTCCCTGTCTGCAAAAATAATGGAGCTGAAATAATAAGCATTATGAAACACCTGTTTCATTTGAAATACTAGAGGAGGAACCAGAGGAAGCTTTTTTATACATGAGGCTCATCAGATGGAGAGGATGCACCCACATGTCTGCGCTGCTGCCCTCTGATGGTGATTCAACATATTTATGTTACATCACTTTCACCAGCCTGCATATTCAGGGCATTACCTCAAGTGAAGTGAAGCTACAACCATGAAACACATCTGTACTCAGCTCAGTCCTGTAACCTGACCCCTGACTACTTATAAAAACTATGACAAATCCAGACCCATATAAGAAAGACTCACAAACAAATTTGATTAGTCACAGACAGGCAGAACTGCATATTCACACATGCCAGTGCATGCACACAGATAAACAATTGCAAATAAGCCACCACATTTTGTTGTTTTTACCTTTACCAAAAACATTATATTTACATAATAATATTTTTTATCCATTACAAGATGTTTTATGCAGGTACCCAACCCAGTGCAGGACTCTGGATAACACTGACTAAAATGAGGATGTGTTGTGTTTAAAATAAAATAAATAAATACAAAGTCAAATATGATTAAATGATTCTATGCATATCTAAATCTAATAACGATGATTTTCCAAGCTAATAACATGTTTTGGATGTATTTAGCAATACTGAAGTGTACCATAACAAAAATTATATTAAACACTAACAAATGACTGTTTTGCATTTGATCTGCTGGCATTAGAGATAGAAAAATGTGTTTTCATTTAGAGGAAATAAGGTTGATATCAGCCTTGTGAGGGCTGACGCAGGTATGAAGCCAATTATTTCAAATTGCCAAAAGTCCAGGTGATTATTTGGCCAACTACTATCTACACCCATATAATGGTGACACAGCTACTGAATCATTTGCATTCACTCAGTATGTTCCAGATGCCACTCATCATGCAGATCTGAATCTACACGATTTTGGTTTGTGTTGATTTTGGCGCCCCACGTGGACAAAGGGGATCCCTTTCTACATTATCTGATTTTTTTATGTACAGTACATGTGTTGTGTTTCCCAAGAGATTATGTCCTCACTTTATCTTGATTTTACACAATGTATATTTTTTTACTATGTTCATATCAATATTTGCAAATGTTATTGAGAATTATTTTTAGATAAATTTCTCTCTTGTTTTTGTATATCTTTAATGCTTTAATGATTCTGAATATATGTGATATCCATTGTTTAATGCTTTTTGTTTGACTGACTGTGACTTTAGCGGCCAGATCTATCCTATCCTACTCTTAACACTCAAGAAAGAGGCTGTGTAAGTCACAGTTTATTCACCTGCACATCACCTACCTCCACCAAGTCTTTTGCACATCAAAAAATTGTACAGTAATGACCAATCTTGTCAGGAATGGTCATTATTGCTTTTAGGGGTCGTCTCACTGTAAGTCTGTTTTGTATGTGGCTAAAAACTCTTCAAAGAATCTTTAAATGCCCCTCGCCTCTGACAATGCGAATATGAATTAATATGAGAATTCAGGGGTGGCTAATCAAATTTCCGTGCCACCCCTGAACGCGCACCTGCACACAGATATTTGGGTGTCATGTCAAGTGTGAAGTTCATCAGGTTTACTGTATTTTTGAACATAGTCCTGGTGGTCCCCGGTAAAAATCAGCTGTTGATGTTTTTGGTAGCAGAGATAAAGATGGCATCCTTTTGGTTAAACAGAGTCAGAGAGGTGAACGCAGCGGGAGCTTTGTTTCCATCAGCTGGCCCTGCATCATCAGCTTTACATGCAGCTGTCAGCTGAGCAGGTTTGCCATGCCCTAACCCACCTGCTGCTCACCTGTCTGACCGCGCTGCACCGCTGGACTGTCCCCGGACAGACAGGCCGCACAGCCCGGCTCACACACACACACGCGAGTACACACACACATACACACACGCACACACTCACATATACATAAACACTCTCACAGACAGACAGCTGCAGCACAGCATGTCCCGACAACACAACAGATACACATGCACACAAAATTGAATGTAAAACAAGGCTAAACACTCACTGTGTGTTAGTGCGTCTCCTCCAGCTGTTAGCTCCTCTGCTCTCTAATCAAATAAAGCTCGCTGGTGTTTTGCTCCCAGATGCTTCACTCAACTCTTTTGAGTACTTCGCGTCACTTCCGGGTGAGGTCACATGGTCTGCTAGTACAAACTGTTACAGGTCAAATATTATTTAGACAGTGAAATGGATTTATGTCACCTTTAAACACGAAAACGCAACTAGTTAAAATTACAAATAATCATTTAATTTGTTTTCTATTTTTGAAGAGTATCAGCTGATTTATTGATCAAACTAAAACGTCCTAACATGCCCGCTAAAATTATTTTTCGGGGGGAATTGTACTTTTTTTCTCTCGAAAATGTTCATATTGATATATTACCACAGTGTTTCTGCTATTTCTTTTATTCTATTCCGTGTACTGTCCGGTACCGTCTTTCTTACGCTATTAGGTCATTATGATCTCTTCCTATAGGTCCTAGCTGCTAACAAAAAAGGTTTGACTTTGACAGGGGATTCCTCCTATTATATACTTTAGAAAAACCAAAATCACACTATATCTGTATAGAATTTATGTGATCAACAGTAATTTCAGAGAAATTGGGTTTTATCCCCAAAGGTGAATATTGCGTGTCTGTGATCATCCAGGACCTTGACGCATTGCTTCCATTCAGCCATTGAAGTGGGAAGAGCTACGTCCGTACTGTTGTGATTTCAGTGCAGTCTGCAGGTGATTGTGACGGTAAAATGTCGCTATTTAAGGTTTATTAGGATTATTCAAACTATTTTAGATTGAACTATCTAGTCTGTTTTTGTGCTCGGTGAACAGAGCGGGTAAAATGTCTGCAGCGGCCGTCGGAGTGGGAGGCTCCTCCTGTCTGGGCGCAGCAGCGGCAGCCAGTTGCAGCTCCGTTGGCTCGCCGTACGCTGCTGCAGCCGGAGGAGGCGCAGGGGTGGCCGGGAGGCTGCCAGCTCGGGTCCTGGAGCATATCTTCTCATACCTGGAGCTGTCGGATCTGATGCGGTGTTCGCTGGTGTGCTGGCACTGGAATAACATGCTGGCGGATGAAAACAGCGAGGTGTGGCGCAGCCTGGCCGCGCGCTGCCTCAGCGATGAAGCTCTCCGATCTGACATCCTGTGCAACCTGCCCACCTACAAGGGAAAGGTAGATCCACCATTAACCAGAGAGATTAATGACAAACCACAGCTAGATATCTGTAGGGTTAGTGCATCACTGTTTGCTGAATAAAAACAGGGGTGACAATGCCGAGGGACAAAGAACCTGTATGAAATGATACGATGCTGTGCAGTACACTTTATTGTCCCCTTGGTAAATATGTATTTTGTACCAAAGTACTGCACACACTCACCTGCCCCCACAATAGCACTGAAGAGTAAACTAGTGTTAAAATCCATCAACAAGTCTCATGCAAACATACCAAACACTTTGCCCACCAGAGGAAACCACACACATCACACAACATAAGAAAGAGTACATCACTGTTCTGTTGTACAAGCTGTGCACACTAAAAAATACATAATGTGAACTGTTGGTGGAGTTAAAGGATTATAAAGCTGCTCAGTAGCAAGACTCCATATCATCTGCATGTATCAAAAAGCTCATACACAAAGTGGAGGATGTGTGATGGTCAGACACCGCTTTCTGTGCTTGCCCCAGACCATACTGCCCATATTGACAGAAGAGATTGACAGTTCTCTTAATAAATATATATCAGTGTGAACTTAACAAGAAAGCACAACTAGTCCTCTGGAAGTAAAATCACAAAAGACAGATCTATTTATCAGGCTGGCATTTTTAAATAATTGGCATCATATCGGCATTGGCCCTCACAAGGCTGATATCATCATTATCTTTTGTAGATGAAAACATTTCTGTACCCTGAACAACAGCATAAAAGTCATGTTCTGAAATTTATAGCATAACATTTTGTATTTTACCATCTATCTAAAGCACATTACTGGCCACAGATATAAGATTTTGATGCATATAGATTCATAGATGTATTCATGGGTTTTCTTTTTCTTCCTTTTTTCTCTTATTAGTTGAATTTTGACATGTATTTCATAAAATGTTCACTCAAGTTTGATAATTTTGCTTCTCAGTAAGTTATATTAAATTGATATATTTTATCAATGCAAAACAGAAAGACAGAAAGCCTGTTCCCTCAAAATGGCATTAGACAGTCATTGAAAAACTAATATCAGGCGACCGCTAAAAGTCACAGTAGTTGAGAAATTAAATAAGAATATTTGTTGACATCTGAATTTAATAGGAACATAATTTAATGAGCTTTTTGTTGAGGAGGTGTTGGGATCAGTCTAAAGCACATTTTGTTTTGACTCGTATCACAATGTCCGTATCAATGTAAGATGTAGGTATGCACAATATCACATATGCTGACACATACAGCCATTAAAATGACAGCTTCAACATGTCAACTTTATGGCAGTAATAACTGTATTTGGAAAAGAACACATTATTTATGGTCAAATCAAATGTGGGTCACCATGTTTTATGTCTGTTTATAAAACTGTCACAATGACAGTCACAAGTTGTTGTATCGTTTGTATCTTGTCCATGTAAAACATACACAACAAATACTAGTTTTGACTGCTAAAAGTATAATGAAAGACATGACTTTAGTACATAGCTGACAAGAAAAGCATATACTTCTTCACAGAGATGGGAATTGTGGAGTCATCAAGTCATCTCCATGCCATGTATTTGTTCTGCTCTGTCACTGAACCAGCTGCTTCCAATGAGCAGCCAGAAAGGTGAGTTCATTGGTAAAGACACCTGGTTCAGTAACTGAGCAGAACAAATACATGGCATGGAGATGACTTGGTGACTGCACAATTCCCATCTCTGCTTCTTCATCCACAGAGGGCGCCAAAATTGTCCTTAACCTAAAGTTCCTCACAGGAGCTTTAAAAATGATGCTTCAATGCTGTTTTAATGGGAGGCATCACTTTGAGTGGGCCCACATAAGAATCTTTGGGTGGGACAGACTTTGTTGTACCTGTTTGTTACAGCAGCGTCTCTCCTCTCATTCTCCCCAGCTGAAGGCCTTCCAGCACGCTCTGAGCTCCCACGACTGCTCCCGCAATGTTTATGTTAAGAAGAACGGCTTTACCCTCCATCGCAACCCCATTGCTCAGAGCACAGACGGAGCACGGGGAAAGATTGGCTTTTCAGAGGGAAGGCACGCCTGGGAAATCTGGTGGGAGGGTCCTCTTGGCACGGTGGCAGTGATCGGCATTGCAACGAAGCGGGCGGCTATGCAGTGTCAGGGTTACGTGGCTCTGCTGGGCAGTGACGACCAGAGCTGGGGCTGGAACCTGGTCGACAACAACCTGCTCCACAATGGGGAGGTCAACGGAAACTTCCCACAGTGTAACAACGCGCCCAAATATCAGGTTAGAACCACAGACATGTCTGTATGTTATATTTAGGGGGTTTCACGGTAACATTAAAGGGGTGATTTAGATCAGTGTGACAAAAATTGAATACTGATAACCTTATTCAAACTGCAGAGGTTGCTGTCTACAAAAATATGTGCTAAATTTGGTGTCTAATAGGATGAATTTGTGTTTGTTTACAGATTGGAGAGAGAATACGAGTGATTTTGGACATGGATGATAAGACGTTAGCCTTCGAAAGAGGTTTTGAGTTTCTTGGAGTAGCATTTCGTGGACTGCCTAAAGCCTGCCTCTACCCTGCTGTCTCTGCTGTCTATGGAAACACTGAAGTCACCATGGTGTACCTGGGAAAACCTCTGGATGGCTAGAAGCAGAAAAACCTGTTCAGCTATTAAAACTAACAGACTGCAGACCCTGTTGTTCACAAAGTCCTGGAGGAAAAGTTGACAGAAAAACACGCACACTCACTTAAGAGAACCGTTTTCTCCTGCAGCCCGACATGAGGAGAGACGCTGCAGTGTGGACAAACTACAGGGATGAGGAGTGTTCAGGGACTGTCACAAACGTGGGGATTTCCACTTTTACATTTTAGCTGCTGGACCGTTTCACTCACAGTACGGGTGAACATTATTTAACTCATCAGATTCAGGCAAACACATTAACTGGAGATTTTATGTCAGCTTGAAAGAGGCCAAACTACACTATACAATATCACTTTAGGAGTGAAATGGTAGTCGTTGTTTTTAAAGCTATCTATTATGTAAGTTCACAGAAACACAACCTAACTATTGGTGATAAATATTACAGTAATATGCCAAATAAATGTGACCTAATATAATATTTTCAATGACATGCAGACCAACAATTCTGCATGTGCATGAATTCTGGTGCAGAAGTTGCCATTTTTAAATCACCTGTCCTTTACTGGTGGAAGGTATGTTCATGTGTGCCCTTTTTAATGTGCTCCTGTAGTATTACACACTATTTATTTCTCAATTTTATTAATGGTACTATAGAAACTGTGTGGTTATAAGGCCTGAAAATAAAGTCTACATGGTGCCACAGAATGATTATAGTCTGTTTGTACTGGTTTACTGTTACATAACATAGATGCAGTTTTAAAGTGAGAATAATGTGAAAAAGTTCAATATTTTCCATTAGTTTTTTTTAAGAAACTGGACATTTACATCAATATATGCTAGAAGATTAATCTAAAGGGAATAGAAAAATGTCAAGCATTTTTCTATTTTAACTTTGATATTCATGACCCACAGCTCAAAAATGAGAAGCGTGTCTCCAAAGCATGTAAATATTTAGTTTTAAGATTGAGTTAATCACAGTTCAAACAGTACCACGTGTCTCTTGGTGTAGCTCAGTACATGCAATCACAGCCATGAGAAAGACTCCAGACTTGATATTTGTCCAGAAGATGAGCATCAGCACCCCCGAAGAGGAAGGTAAGCCACAGAAAGTTTGGCAGTGCACAAGTTGGTAACAAGTTGGTAAGTTGACTGGACGGAAGAAAGTGTGATTGGGAAAGGTGCATAAGCAACAGGAATGACTGCAGCCTTGCGAAGATTGTCAAAAAAACTGATTCAAGAACTTCTCATGTATCAAGAAAAACATCAAATATCCAGACAAATCAACCGTAACAAAGCAAGGATAAATGAAAAGGACACCCGGGATAAGCCCTCTAAAGCTTTTAGCAGGAGGCCTTAACCATGACAAAGTACATTAGACGACAACAAATACAATAGTCCCCAAACTCTACATTAGCCCAACATTCATTCATTTGTTTAGAGTTCATTAATCAAATATAATGTCTCAAAAATCATCTATGCTCCAGTTATTGTTAGATCAGGAAATTTAAGCATGGTAATCAGTCCATGTCTGACCACACAGAGAAACCTGTACAAGACAGTGTTCGTTGGATGATGTTCATTATGTCCTCAGTTTCGTAGAAATCGTTTTCTTTTTTCCTTTATCTCAGATATGTAATCTTTTTCACATAACTTGACATTTTTCAGCAGAAACTCCCCCCTTCCTCAGAATCATCACTTGGTGGTAGGTGTGAAACGTTGAATCTATGTTGTTTCATCATTACTTGCTCTGCAACCAAGACTCTGCATGAGATGTTGTTGTTGTTGTTTTAATGTTGCTGCTGCCCCCTGTCTCTCTCACTCTCACCCTTGTTCTCTTTTCTCTATCCCTCCCTTTCCCTTACTCGTTCTCTCTCTCCTTTCTTCTCCCTTGTTCTCTTTCTCTTCCCCTGCCCTCTCCTCGTCCCCTCTCTCTTTCTCCCTCCCTATCTCTCTGTATTTCTCCCCAATCCAGCAGCGGCTTGGTGGTTAACATGAGTTTGGTCTTACCCAAGGTTTCAGCCTTTTAAAAGTTTTTCCTTGCCACTGTCACTCATATTAGATGAGATGGGTCAAATCTGTCCCATCTTAAGGCTGGGTCTTGATAATTCATCAAACAATGAGGGTGGTCTAGACCTTCTCTTTCTCTTTGAAAAGCATTGTGGGATGATGACTGTTGTGAATTGGCGCTATAGAAATAAAATTTGATTGATGGATTGATTGATTGACACATCAGCTGGTGTTACAAAGGCGTGACCCTCCTGTCAATTTTTTTGACAGGACTGTAACACCTCCCTCTGTCTGTTCACCTCTGCAGGATGCTGCCCCAGGTTTGTGAGAGCATGTATACCCCCTCATCCCTGTTTATCATCTTTTCTTCATTTCAATGGCTTCCCTTATCCGGTGCTGGTGCTTATTGTCCTCAGTGCGGATGACTCTGGCCTTATCCCAGCCCATAAGATGATTCTTTAGATTTTCAGGATAGCAATTATACAAAAGCCATAAACATACCAGTATCTGCAAAAAACTCCATCCAGGATGCAAAGCAAACAGAGAAAAGAGAGGGTCTGTGTCATGAATACATAGAAACGCCAGTTAATCACATAAATAATTAATTCAACAAGTTTGTCCTGAAGGTTGAGGAAGATTTTGACAGTTTTATGTTGTTTATGTTTCATCAAGTCCAAAGTTGGTCAAGCTGTCCACCAGTTTTAAGAGCACTTCTTCCATCTGCTGTCAAGCCTTACAAAGTTTTAACTTCCTTTCCTGGCAGGAATTAGCACCTGCCTGCAGCGCCAAAACTACCAGATACCTTACTAAGATGTTACTGTGCTTGATTGAGCAGCCTCACAGCCTGCTTCAGCTGCCCAAGATGGTGTGAATAGATAGTGTAACAGTTGCTAACCCCTTGCTCCTTTCCAGCTCTCTACCACCTAAAAAATCGAGAACCACAGGCTTCAAACTGTGGCTCAAATCAAGATAACAAGACTGTGGCTACATCCTCTTCTTTGCTGCAATCTTTGCTCCATCAGAGTGAATATGCAGCACATCAGTATGACAGAGTCTTGTTGCCACCAAAAAAGTCAGAAGTGAGAGTAGGGGGTGATCTGAGCGAAACCAGGAAGGAATCACAAATAATCAAGCTTTAAAGACAGCACCCTCACTTCCTGATTCCTGAACCCAGAGCTGACTGCTAGGAGAGGCAGGTTAAAAACAGGAGTCTGAACTAAGAGTGAAGACAGGCAGATGATCTGTGGTCAAAGTACATGATAAAGAAAAGAGAAGTTTCAAACTGGTAATAAAGTACAAGTTAAACACTGAAAATGGTCTTTCTGTCTCTCGGTGTGTTGCACATCTGTTAGAGAAACATGTTCACCCTTCATGCATTTATTTGTATACATGCACCCAAGTGTGTGTGTGTGTGTGTGTGTGTGTGTGTGTGTGTGTGTGTGTGTGTGTGTGTGTGTGTGTGTGTGTGTGTCACAGGATCTGCAGGAAGGGTGTGTACGTCAAGTGGTTTCCTCTGCAGCATGGTGTCTGATCTGAGCTCATCAGAGGTGTGAAGGGTGTGTGTTGAGGCTGGTTTTGTGGTGCTACTTGTTCAGTTGTGTTCACAGCAGTGTTTCTGTCATTTGCTGCTGCTCTCTCTCTCTCTCTCTCTCTCTCTCTCTCTCTCTCTCTCTCTCTCTCTCTCTCTCTCTCTCTCTCTCTTTCCTGTGGCCTCGGCCTGAGAACCTTTTCTGATTGCAGCACGTCCATGTGACTAGTTTCCGTTGCTGTTGCTGTTGCTTCTGCTTCCGTGAATAGTAAGAACAGTCTTCAGTTTCAGAGCTGCTGAACGTCACACAGCAGCACATTGCTCTGCAGCGCAGACTCTACCAGCAATATGGTCAGAGGATCAACCGTCAGTGGCTTTGGAGATCCACACCTAACCACCAGAGTAAGTAAATGCACCATGCACTGAGCTCCTGCTGCAATCTTCAATTAGACTAGGACTGATGATTTTAAACCTGAATGAGGAATCATGTTTTATCTTTAGAGTGTTTGGTCAAGATTTCTGATCACTGAAACTGGACGGACACTCAAAGCCTCTTGTTTGCTTGATAAGAAGTTATAAAAATATGAATATGACATGTACTTTTTGCACAGCTATTTTTGAATTAGCGTCTCACACTGCTCAAAATCAAGATTAATAACAATAAACATCTTATATTACTGGTCTTAAATGGTGTTATATCATGCCTTTTTATATTGGAAGAAGTCATATTTTTGTTAAGCTTGTATTTTTCAGTTTGAATAAATCTCATCATTTATGTTTCTTCCCTCAGCTGAAACCAAGTGTTGTTCATTTATGCGGTTCTGATGTTCATGCCACCTTGGCATGTTTCATAAATTGCTTTGAGTTTTTTTCATAAACTGACAGTTTCATGTTCGGTAACACTAAAACTTCTCACTTTTGCAGCTTACTGTGCAACTACAGCCTGAAAAAAACAACAGAAACAGATAAAAACAGGACCAAAATAAAAACAGAAATGAGCATTTAAAGGAAACAAAACTTGGCTTGAAATAACCTTTCTGCTGAAATGCATGGGTGAGAGCTGCACCAATGTAAAATGGAACAAACAACCCTGTGTTTGAATTTGCTGTACATGCTGATAAAGTAATTTTACAAATGTGAGTTGTGGCACAGTGAGTTTATTTACCTAATGTTTACTTGTATACAAACAAGCATATTTTTATTTATTTTTTATTCAACATCCTAGCGGCAATGACTCACTGAGACCAAGATCTCTGTTCCAGAGGTGCTCTGAAGCTATGCATGCATAACAACAAAATAAACATATAAAAACAGTGAAAACTATTTATGAATATACTCATAAACACATTCATACTTACGAGTCTGTATCATTTCAAATGTAAATTAGCTACCACTCACTACTTTTATGAGTTCAGACACACTGTATGAAACTGAAAAGGGCGGCTTCACTGTCATTTGAAAGATTTTCTGCAAAACAAGTATTTTAAAAGTTGCTTTGGTGTGAGATCTAGTTGATCTAGTCATCAAGCACCTTATAAATAAGCAGAATAGTGTTTTGCTTTCTACAATGAACCAAAGAGAAACAGCCTGTAGATTTGTAGTACACAATGGTGAGTGTGGGGTCTGTTACCTGTGATATATGTCATTCGTATGTATGAGAAGTTTGTTTCCATAGTCTAAAATAAGCAGCTCTATAGCCTATTACAGTTTTTATTTCTGTTTCTCCGTGTTAGACAGGACTCGCCCCTTTAAAGAAACTCAAGTTTAGGCCTTTGCTTTCTAGTTAGTTTTTAAATGTGTGACCTAAACGACAGATCCTGATCCCACCAGATACTCAGGCGCTTATTATGAATATTAATATTCAGGGCTTACACTGTCATAGCAGACAAGGCAGCACCCACAGAGTCAGTGTACTATCTTAAGAAACCCAGGTGTTTTGTTTTTGAGGGGTTTCGCATATATTTGAGAGCAGAAATTCTTGGAATAGAATCAAAATTATTCCGCCAAAGAGCTTCACTGTAACAGGATACAACTGAGTACAATAATTACGACTATTTGTCAAAGCACTTTTTAAACCACTGTTTTTAACAGTGCAATAAAAATAAAGTTATAATAAAATAATAATAATAATAATGATAATAATAACAACAACAACAACAACAATAATAATAATAATAATAATAATAATAATAATAATAATAATAATAATAATAATAATAATAATAATTATTATTATTATTATTATTATTATTAGTAGTAGTAGTAGTAGTAGTAGTAGTATCATCATTTTTATTATTTTTATTATTATTATTATTACCTCCATGAAGGATTAGTGAGATGGTTGTGGAAGCAGTGACATAAAATCTCATCAAGACCTACAAAAAATTATCTACTGATAGAGTGACACCCTACATGCATTTTTGACCAAAATTGATATGCACTTACCATCTATATAGACATTTTTAAGAACCCAAGATTTATTAACAAATGAAAATAAAACATGAATCTGATCATAAGATCAAAAGTTCAATAAATGAATAAATAGGCACCCATAAATAATTGATAATTACTGTATTACTTAACCTGTGCTCTCCTCGTAGAAGGTCAATATACTACAGAAAATATGGAGAATATGGGATATATTACATATGGAGGGTTACAATTTTTCACCATGGAAGACATTAAAAAACAGAATAAGGTCTTATATGTATAGCCTTTATATCTTATATAGACAAAAGGAAGTACCCTGCATTTATGAATAAACAATAAAAGACCAAGCACCACTATATGAAAAACATATGTTATCATGGCCTTAGGATGAAAACACATCTTCCATATATTGAAGACAAAAAGTTGTATAAAATTATAAGGGCGACTTTCAATATATATGTGTTATATAATATGTGTTTAGCATTTAGATAAAAGCATGATAAAGTTCCTGATTTGTGTGCACTATGACATTTCTCAGCTTGTAGGACTTTGTTTGACTTTTAAATACTTTAAATATTTTACATCTGTTTTAATAAATATATCATATTTTGAAGACCTGTTTGTGGCTGACCTCACCCAAAAATAAACCCAGAGGAAATGTTTGCCTCTGCTTATCCAGACAATATAGCTATATCTTCGAACACTGAACCAAAACTGTTTCCAGCATTGTTTAAAGAGTGACCGTTTCACTCTTTAACTGGCCACTTTCAGATGAATGTGTCGGTGGCTCTCGTGGTTAAAACTGCAGTTGCAGCACAGAAAGTGAATGCATCCTAGTTTAGTTTTGCTGTGTAAAAAATGGTTAAATATACTCATTGAATGCATCTTATATAAAAACTGAAGGCATCCATGTGAGAGCATTTGGGTGAAAGTTACCAGTTAACATGGTCACACTATAAAACGGAACAGTGGCAGCCACTGTGGTTGCATGCTATGAAACTTGTCAACAGTATCTAACCTCAGTTCAACCAGGTTTAACTGAAAATAAATTCTGAACCCCACCACCAAACTCTTTAATGAATTAAAAAAGTTAATCCGACCCATGACTCACTGAGAGGAAAGTAATACGTAAAAGGATCTGTCATGAAATGAAAAAGAGAAGTCAGAAACTTGACAATGAGTTGAAACAGGAGGAGAGGTTATGACTTATTTTGGTTTTATTGTTTTACTGTTTTTTGTTTTTGTTTGAGTTTAGTTTTTGAGCAGTATAACAGGAAAGTGCTGCACTTTATTCTTAAACACATGTGAGGTTATGACAGCAGTGAGAATATCAGCTGAAAAAGTGCTTCTTTAGATACTGAGCTGCCGTCTCGTCCTCCACCCTTTCTGACGTACGTTTGCAGACATGATTTCCATTACTCGATGCATGAGTAATCATCAGTGATGTTGGATCATTACAGATCAGAGATATTTAAAACTGAAGAAAAGCACATCACTGAGGGTTGATCAGTCAGTAATACACCATCATCTCCTCTCTTCTTCTCTCTCTCTCTGTAAACAGTGAGGATGTTAAGATGCAGGTTCACAGGTTCACCCCTCTCCTGGTCTACCTGTCACACCTGTGGACACTCCTGCTCCTGGTCTCAGGTCATCCACAGCATGGACCATGTCAGCTGGTGAGAGGACTCTCCTGATCTAAACACTTCTTATTAAATTACATTATAAAATCAAATGAAACTGTACCTATGTGTGTAGATTTTAAACATGACAAAAGGTTTAAAAATATTCACGTGAACATCCTGCAGGAAACTACACATGTTGCAGGGCATTGTGGGTGTTGTGTTATTTCCCACTTTGCTTCATCAGGAAGGAAAAAAAAGGAAATGATCCGTTTTTAAAGCCACCATTGATATTTAAAGTTCATTCGTCACTGATACAGAAGATTTTGTCTTTCCAGTTACATTTCTAGCATATCTGTAAATGTATAATGTCCAAACAACAATTAAACGTGTAAGAAATAAACATTAGCAGCTAATTGTTGCTGCAAATTTCAATGTGTCCTCAAACCAGACAGTGTAGTTGACCATCACTCCTGTTAGGTTTGTAGTAAGGTGACCAGATTTCTGTAATAAAATCCAGGGACATCCGGGAACATATTTCTGGAGAGCAGAGGAGGGGCATCTGCTGCGTGATCGCAGACAACATCTCTAGCAGCGCATGGCCTTCATAAAAACTGTTGTTCAGGACTGCGCGCAACATGCTTACTCGCGCTTCCTACCTACTCGGGTACCGTAATAACTGTTGTTCTAGTCTACACACAACATTTTCTTTTCTCATTCATGAAACACTTAAATAATTTCCGGGGACAGGTCATCCAAATGTACAATCGTCTGGTCACCTTAGTTTTGAGGCTCTGTCGTTTGAGGGGTGTCTCTCTAAGAACTCACAGCTTCTTTAATCCTCCTGAAATAGCATAATAACCACTAATATACATCTATGTTGACTTTTCTTCATTCTCAGATCCAAAGATCGGCCCTGTGCAACAGTAGGAGGCTCTCCTCTGTACCTGCAGGACTCCCAGACAACATAGAGGAGCTTCAACTGAACTACAACCACATCCAAACACTACAGCAGGACTCCCTGCAGTTTTACCCATCTTTACACACTCTGAGCTTAGCTTGTAACAGCTTGGCGACATTACAATCAAACACTTTTCAAGACTCAAGACTGTTAGAAAACTTAAATGTAGCAAACAACAACCTTCATACCAGCTACCAAGAAACAAGCAAAGCATTACAGACTCTTCCCAGACTCAGGGTTCTGGATCTGTCCGTGAACAGGCTAGATGATGAGATGGCTGCCACTTTCCTCCAGAACCTGACATCTCTGGAGTATCTGAATCTCTCTGGAAACCTCCTGCAAAGACTGGATGAGACCTCATTTAGAGATCTCCACAAGCTCAAAGAGCTTGACCTGCAGAGAAACATCATGTTTGAGATTGATGGAGCCTTCGACAACAATCCAAAACTGCAGCGGCTTAACCTGGCCTTCAACTACCTACCATGCCTGATAGATTTCCACATGACCCAGCTGGTTGTCCTTAATGCCAGCCACAACTTCATCGAGTGGTTCATCTCTAGATCAGACATGAACGACACCTTCCAGCTGGAGACACTTGATCTGTCAGACAACAGACTGCTCTTCTTCCCCTTCCTGCCAAACCAGAGTCACCTGAAGAACCTTTATCTCTCCCACAACAGCCTCAGGTTTTACCAACACATGGTGGAGAACGACACAATCCTCAACTCCACCTCAACCGTGGAGTTTTACAATCTGGAGAAATACAGTAAGAGCAACGTAACGGCTCAGCTGTGGGATGAGAACCTTCATGGTGACATCTCCTCTGTGGAGATTTTAGACCTGAAGGCCAACCAGGTAGAGTATTTACCTCGAGGGTTCATCCAGAAGATGCCTTCACTGTCCAGACTCAAAATGTGCACAAACTGTCTGGAGTCCTTGAACTTCACGTCAGAGGAGTTTTCGGCAAGCTTATACGAACTGGACGTCAGCAACAACAGGCTGAATGAGATAGCTGCAGATGAAGGTACGCTGGCTCTTCTTGGAAACCTGACGTACTTTAACCTGAGTCTGAATGATCTGTCATGGCTACCTTCTGGATTATTCTCCTCCCTGACCAGCCTCAGGTCTGTGGATCTCAGCTATAACAGCATAGATATCTGCCGTCCAGGTGAGGCTGAGACCAGCACAGACTTTTTCTCAGCCTGTGTTGACTGGAAAGACGTTGTTTCCCTTCGGCAGCTCTACCTAAAGGGGTGCACTCTTGAAAATATCCCACAGTCTGCTTTTTCTGGTTTATCTTTAACTCACCTGGACCTCTCTGACAACCCCGGACTCATAGTGAAAGAGTCCTTATGCGGTCTCAGCAGGACGTTACAACATTTAGGTTTAGGAAACACAAACATAACCGACTTTGACTTCTCCCATTTTCAAAGTCTGAAGTTCTTAAACATTTCAAGAAACTCTCTCACCCATCTCCCCTCCTCCATCCTAAACCTGGACCTGAAAGTTCTGGATCTGAGGGACAACAAACTGTTCACGATCCCCTCAGCTCAGGCAAACACATTAGCCCCCAGACTGCACACAGTCTTCCTCAGAGGGAATCCGTTCAACTGCTGCCTGACAGAGTGGTTCAGGACGTTTGAGACCATCGACATGGTCGAACGCTCAGACATTGAGTGTGAGGATTTCCTCTCAAGGACTCACAGAGTTGAGCGCTTCAACTATGCTCTGTGTTTGGAGGAAGGCGGAGAATCGAAATACTGGTTGATCCTTCTGATTGTTCCTCTGTGTCTGTTTTTTGTGATAGTTTCGATTATTTTCCTCATTACTTGGAAGCCTGAAATTCTCCAAAAATCAATCAAGAAGAAGTGTTTGAAGCCGACATCTTATTGAACAGTTACTACTTGATTGTTGTACAGTTTTTTAGGAATGTAACTGAGTGAACACTGGAAATACAACCCCAACACATTTCAAATCGGCTGGGACGGGGCATGTTTCCATTGTGTTGCATAGCCTCTAAGTTTGGGGATGCTGTCTCATTCTTTCCTGCTGCTCATTTTTGTGTATTTTTTATCTCATGATTCACAGAAACTTTTCATTAGGTGACAAATCAGAGTGCAGGAATCTTCTCCTACAGAGCCATGCTGTTGTAATCCCTGTTGTCAGAATGCGGTTTGTCATTGTCTTGCTCAAATATGAAGGTCCTCCCTGATAAACTCTTTGTCTGGATGGCAGCAGATGTTGCTCCTGAGCCTGTAGATATAGCTCAGCATTAATGGAGCCTTCACAGATGTGGAAGATACCCATGACATGGACTCTGATGATCCCCATACCATCAGGGATGCTGGTTTTGAACTGGGAGCTGAGAACAAGCCAGGTGGTTCCTCTACTCTTTAGAGAGGAGGATCCATAATTTCCAAAACAAATGTCGGATTTTGATTTTTCAGACCACAGCACTGTTTTCCACTTTGTTTAAATCTACTTCCCTCTTTGCATGGCACAGTTAAAACCTGCATTTGTGGATGCAGTGATGAACTGTGTTCTCTGTGTTTTTGGAAATGATTTAAGCCCATGCAATGATTTCCACTACAGAGTCATGTCTGTTTTTAATGCAGTGCTGCCCAAGGGCCCAAAAATCAGTGCCATCCAGTCATGGTTTTGGTCCTTGTCCCTTTTGTGCAGAGATTTCTCCAGATTCTCTGAATTTTTTTTTATAGTATTATGGACTATAGATGGATAAATATAATAATAAAGAACATTATTCTAAGATTGTTGAACCATTTGCTTCTACAGTCTCTCACAGAGTGGTGACCCACTCTTCCCATCTTTACTCCAGAGAAACTCAGCCTCTCTGAATGTCCTTTTTTTCTTCGTCATGTTCCAAACTTGTTGTAAATGAACCTCATTAGTCAGAACATGTTCCTCCAGGTGTGGTTTTATTTTCAATTGTTTGTTGACCCTGTCCAAACTGTTTTGAAATGTGTCATCAGCATATAATAAAAATAAGGATATATTTTTTATGAAACAATAAAATTTTCTAGTTGTATCATTTGATTTGTTGTGCATCATTTTCTGTCAAATATGGGCTTTGAATGATTTGCAAATTATGGAATCTTGTTTTACTAACATTTCCCTTATCCTTACTGTTCTGGATTCAGAGGTGTACAAATAAATGTTTGTTATGATCGTAAGCATGACCTTACAGGGTTTACATGCTGTCGTGTTGTTGGAGTGTGGTTTAACACCAGACCCTAACCTTGATACCCTAATGTAAAAATGTGGCAGGGCTCTTGTGGGACTTGGTGTGTTTGTGTTTGTGAATGTGAGTGTGTTGGTGGGTTTATGTGTGTGAACATATGCAGAAGTTGTGTGATGCAAGCTGTTGCTATAAGCAGCAGAGGAAACATGAAATTTCCTGTTTTGCTCAGATGTGCAGCAACTGCCCAGTTCTGTATCTGAGTGAGGAGGGTGTGAGGTTTCCTTCCCATCACTAAGGCTCAGATCAATCTTTGACATCAAGCTAAAACACGAGTCCATTTATGCAAATAAATATAACATTTCTCAACTATTCTGCCACGTTTCTTTCAGTATTTCACAGACAAGTCTTTACATTGACGCATGTTTGTAGAGATTTCATAAGCAGGATAAAACAGCGGTTAGCATCAGCGTCGTGGTGCAGTGTGGAGGTGTTCACATGCCTCTACCTGTGTGTGTGTGTGTTATTGCACAGGAGTGTGACGACTGGTAGATCAGTGTGTAGCTGTGCAAAGCGTGAGGCCTAACCAGAGAGTAACCAGAATACCGCTGTGGTGATGCTTAGGGTCACGGTGGTTGGAACAGAAAAAGAGAAACCGGAGTTAAGTCGTGTCAAAGCCTTTAAACACCAACATTAAACATAGCAGAACGATTACTTCTGATCATGTTACTGGTTTAAAACAGTGAAATGGAGTAAAACAGTTAGTTAAAGATGGAAAATGGAAAGTGTGTGACTTGAAAGTTTTTGGTTTTAACACCTGGAAACCACCATGCAGTTATTTTCTAATGATAAGCCTTTCTGTGCATGTGTGGATACGTGCCGATTTTCATACTGAAAATGAAAGGAGGCAAAAATACCAACAAACGTTGCATACAAAGGAGTAACATGAAGTTTCAGTTTCTGCAAGTAAAAAGGAATTTAAGATGAAAAATATCTGTCAAAAGTCCTGCATGCTCCTTGAACTTTGTATCTAAGATTTCCTCTGTATAAGTGGGACTTGAACTCGCAGACATAAAGTGCTGTTACTGACAAAAAAAGAAAAGAAAAAAAAAAAACAGCCTGAGCATATTGTGCAAGAATTGTGAAAGACTTGCACAGAAAGAAAATTTAATTTGCGGAAGGCCCCTTTACCCCGCCTACAGATAGTTGACCAAGAGGAAATTAATTTGATTACTCAGCTATAAAAGGTCAGAAGCTAGCAAACAAGTATAGAGCTAACTCTGGTGGTTTATGCACAGCCTCCTGATTCGAGTCCAAGTATAGATCCTCGTCATCAAATAAACTCCAGTACAAGTGAAATTTGCACTATAGAGTTTAAACTCACCCACCACAGATTTGCAGCTCCAAATATAAAAGGAACACATCGCTGTATCTAAGTTACTCAGAGCACAGACAGTTTAGTTTGTTATTTCAAAAAGATCAAGCATGGGCTGAAGAGAGGATACCAAAGTACTGAGTATCAGGGTCACATTAAAGCTCCAATAAGGAGGTTTTTTTTTCATGTTTAGGTGATAAAGATATGGCCCTGTTTTTGAAATATATCTATGAAATATTCATGGAAAAAAATCTTTTCATTGTGAAATATAAGCAGGATTCAATACCCAGGCATGTGAAAGACAAGATAAACAAAGACTGCTTGGTCCACATGGGGGGCATCAAATTTGACACCAACCTAAAGTTCCTCACAGGAGCTTTAAATAAAAAGTACAATCTTGAGAATGAAATCCTTGTGATTCAAGATAAAAGTCATTATGTTGTGGGAGTTAAGTCGCAGTAAAGTCATTACAAGTTCTTACAAGAATAAGGTCACAAGAAAATAAAGTCGTAATGTTGTGATATCAAAGTTATGTTAAGAGAATAACCAGCAACAGAGCAAAGTTTCTTGTGGTCAAAAGTGACCTCAGAGAAAAAAACAAACAAACATGGTGGCTGCAGAAGTGTCACTAGCTTTATGTCATGGTAGCAAATTCTTTTCAGCACCTCCCCTTGTCACTTTGGTTGCGGTGCATTTTACTGAGGATGTTGTGTGAACACTTGTGTTGTTGCCACGTATCAAAGACTGACGTCCATCTCAGTTTATACCTTGTGTAAGCTCAGTGGCGGAGTTCACTGGGGTTTACTTTATAAAGTGTACCAATCTGTGGAGATTGCTCTGACTGCAAGAATGTAAAATGTAAATAATGTAAAATAAAACAAAAAATTGGTGAAGTATGTACTGCTGTGTGTACATGTATTTCATTGACTAAATATGTGCTAGAATACATTCAGCTTTTGTTCAGAATCAGCTACTTATCACAGTTGACCGACACAACTTCCTTCTCATTCATCCCTGCAGCGCCACAGTGCTTAACACATTCAAACGCTGAGCGTCTACCGACTTCAGTAGTTAAGTGTAGAATGGGTTGTTCGACTGCGCAAAACTAGATGATCATTGGATAAATGCTGGGCTTTGTCCTGCCCACAGACGCTCAGCATCTCTGGGGGTCTATGGGGCAGTGGGCTGGCCCGGACACTCGGCTTCTGCGTGATGATTGGATGATCTGTCTGAGGCGGAATCCCTTTTTGATTGACAGTGAGATGAGCGAATCAGCGATCTTAAAGTATAAACATCCACCGGAGCATTTCCAACTTCACTGATCCCCAGTGATTTCGTCTTTGTTAAACATAACTAGCGTTGTGTTTGGTGATTCCCTTCTGTCACAACAGGGTCACAGATCATTTTCTTGAAAAAGAACGAGGGGCAGAATTTACAAATATAAATAAACAAACACAATTATGATGTAGGCTAGGAAAAAAATGAGCTTCCCTTACTTGAAAGACCAGCAGCCGCCACTGGTATCAATGTTTTATCCCCTTTGGGCTTCCATACCCAACTAAAAGTCTTTTTTTTCTCCCAAAGAGAGGTGAGATGTTATTAGTAGCCATCATCACAATCTTGATGGTTTACTCAGGCTTTATCTCATCCATTCAACTCTTTGCTTTCTGTTGTGCAAAAAAGGGACTTTTTTAAAAGACTTGATTGCATGTTCATTTAACCAGAAAGGCAAGATGACAGATATTTAGAAGCAGCAATGGAGAGAAAATATTCAATAAACAAGAAAGGCAGATGATCACCTATTTTAGACAGATAAAGTGTAAGGTTTTTGCGAGCAGAGTACTGTACGACAGCATACTGATAAATACAGCTTTTCATGAGGAGGACTGTTAGTCTTAAGTGTTTTATTTCACAGTTTTCTTTTGCGCAAACATTGTTCCCTACTCTTTATGTTTTCCTTTGTTTAGTATCTTCTTCTGAGGTTACTGAGCTCAAAGGTTGAGGGTTAATGTGGCAGATTCTCTGTATTTGGGTGTGTGCTGAGAAACATAAAATATGGTCCCATGTGAGCTGACACACAGGAAGCTGCTCAGAAGTCTGTTTCAACACCCCACTTCCTCTTTAACCCTTCACGCCTGCACAACACAGAAGACCTGACGCCATGCGCCGGACCGTTTGGACAGGAAGGGCTTCATATCAGATGATGAAGGTGAGACAGTTTCGGGTCTGCTAAAGGTGTCAGACAGAAAAAGGTGATGCAGAGAGACGGATTTTATTAAAGAGTAACCGTCATCAGACAATAACAGCTTTAGTGAAACTCACAAGTCGAATGAAATCAACATTTCTTTTAGTCTCCTTTAACCCTCCAAGAGTTAGTGTTCTGCTAACACAACATCACCATTAATTGCCCTTAAAACAATCTGGTAAATTGTTTTCCCTTTTAATTCCACACTAACACAGTCTTATTGATCTGGTCATGTGTTTTATCCTCATAGAGTTAATGAATAGTTAACATATTTTGAGATTGCACAATCAGGCCATAAACTTCCAAACTTCTCTGCAGACACCCCTCTGTTTAGTCAAACTGGATTTGTCCTGTAATTGAGTTTATATAAAGTTTCTGTCATGAGTTTTTGACATTAATAAAACAGACAAAAACACATTTTAATGCCTTTTATGACATAAAAACACAGACAAAATAATCAGCAACATGATTGCTGATTTTCATTCTTTTTACTTTTGTCACTTTTTGATGCGAGGGGGTAGGTGTCAGCCGAGCAGCTGCAGAAACAGCTCAGTTTGTACATTTACACATTAAATATTCGCAACCATTGGTATATTTGGCTGTCAAAGTTTAGCAGGAGGAGATGTTTGTCAGAGGACACTTCTCAAACATGCAGGTGACAGGATAAGGAAAGACTACTTAGACTAAAGGAGTGTAAAAATTGCCCAAAACCTCCTGATCCTCATGGGAGCTTTGAGTCCATTTTGCTTTATCATTAAAGCCACAGTGAGGAACTTTTAGAAGTCTTTTCACCCAAAAACAAAACTCATCCTGTTGAAACTCCTCTTGGTGTCTTGGTGTCAAGAACATGGCAATATGGAACTGTTGTTTAGAATAATCGTACTAAGAATGTACTGACTGCATCATCCTTGAGGAAAGTAGTGTACTTCTGTTTCACTTTAGACATCTGTACTGTCTATATTACTGTATTTTCTGTTTTGTTTGTTTGTTTTATTAACTATTTGTCTTGTGCTGTTTCTTCCTTTGAATATTGTTTCTTGTTTGTTTGTGTTTGAATTGTAAAAAGCAATATATTATAATGAAAATTAGAACATAAATATTTAGTTATTGTGGGTGAAACTCATTGAACTCATGTCAGAGCTACTGTTATATCCGTGTTATTATATTGAAATATTGGGCTTTAGTGGGGGCAGAAAAAGTAAACCTTTCATATTACATCACGGCATGAGTTTTTTTTTTTTTATTACAAATTAAAAAAAAAAAAATAGACGTAAAGAAAATATTCAACTTTAAATGTAATTTGAATAAAAACGTTCCTGTCCCATAGATGTACAAAAAACATCTTTGAGGTAAAGACGTCTTTGCTCGGTTTCTTTGTGATCTTGGGGTCTGACAGGGTCATGTGATTTTAGGGCAATGTGATGATTTACATGAAAATTTGTGGGTCATTTAGAGATGAAAATAAAGTTTTGATTTAATATCTTTGTGTGCTTTTATTTTTGTATTGTTATATTAAAGATATAAACTACAACTAGGTTATTAAAGGCTCTAAGATGTTGTTTGAAGAAAGCCGATCTTATTTTGACATATTCCAAGTCATTACCAACTCATGTTAACATGAATATTTATGACAGCTGTTATACTATGTCTCATTTGAATAGAAGCGGAGGAGACTGTTACTTGTTCATGGAGGAATATTTTCTTTTCTTTAGCAATATTGACTTCAATTGAAAAAACAGTAGTCAAACAAACTTCTTACTCTGATCATTTGCTTTTCTAAACTCACTCTACTGAAAAAAGTGACTTTGTGTTAATATTTAGAAGAATATTAAAAAACAACAGTATCAGAATTCATAATAGTTATTATTACTAATGATAGTTAACATCTCTGACATGTTTATGAACTCAATGACAACAAAATGAGGTTTTTCTCTGTTACAATCATCTGTCTTCTGGGAAAAAAAATACCTCTGGATGAGTTGTTGATTGCATGTTCTGTTCGCAAATGTTTTGCATTTTGGCATGTAATGATAATAAGTGGGACTGGGACTACAAATCTTAGCTTTGTGCTTTCAGTGAATAATAAAGTTCTCTGAACAAAGTCAAACTTCAGTCTCACATGTTTTAACCACATTATTATTATTCAAACATCCCTTCAGTCATGTTTTAAATAGCAGCATTCTGTTAATCATGTTGTCTGCTCTGCCCTCTAGTGGTTTCAATAAGAAAGATACAGTCTTCCAAAGCTGTAACTCCAACACTGCAGGATCTGGACTATTTAGGTGCTCACAAGGCTCCGACAGGAACGGTGAGATACCTTACAAGTAAACACTTCAATAATTTAAGATATATTTTATCCATTTAAAAAAAAGTTATAATTTAAATAAATAACAGAGAAAGTGTCATTAACTGACTAAATAACTTTTTTTGATTGGCTGTGAGGGTCTTATGCAGCAACGGAGGGTTACCGTTTCTGTCACTGTTATTTTGGGAGTGACGGGCCAACACGTTTAGGAACCCTCTGCTCTAACGTAAAAAGTCAGAGTTTTGAGAATAAAATGTTGAGACAAATGATGATTTCTCACTTCAATGCATCATACTGTATATTTATTTTACATTTGTTTGCTTTCAGTTACACACAAAACAAAAAGCAGCCATGAAGTAATAAAATGTATCTCCCAGAATGTAACAAAACTTTTTTTTCTGTTTTTTTTTTCTTTGTTGATTTGAAATGCAGGTTTAGGGGTTAACTGATGAGATGCGTTAGAGATGACTTAAAAAAAGTAAACATTTTTACTTTAAGGCTTTTTTCCTTATTTAAAACCAGAGACAGTTTATATCACAGCTGATGTACTTACTAAAAAAATATACAAATTAATAATAAAACCAGTGCCATAAGTCTTCTGGTTGATGGAGTAAAATTATTTCATGTATTTTACATAAAATCGTTGGGGCTGAATATTAAAAGGAGAGACTAATCGGAGTCTCAATACTGCTGGTTTAAGTTTCAAAGGCACTTAAAGATGTCAGACTCCAATCACTCAATAATAAAACATATTCAAACAATGTCCAATAAGCTGGAGTAAAGCTGAGACAATACAAATGATACTGTGGAGAAAAAAAAGAGTCAAATTGAAGAAAACAGCTGTTGCACAATAAAATCATCAGTTATAAAATAAAATCATCAGCATCAGTCTGACTTCAGGCCGAGGAGCCGCTGTGCTCTGAAAACATGTGGAGCTGAAATGTTGTAAACATACATGTTTTATAAAAGTTACAGTTTGGGAGATGATGTGGCACATACGGCAGGTTACATGGCATCAAACACAAACGGCATGAAGCAGGTTTAAGAAACGTGCTGCGGAGGAAGAAAAGGAGGGGGGCCCTGTCCTGTTTACTCAGTCCAGCTCACAGTCGGTCAAACTGCGTCTGAGACTGAGGCCTGTCCCTGCAACAATGTATAAATATGAGAATACAGCGGGGAACAGAGGGGGAGGGGTGGTGAATGAGGGAGGGAGAGAGAGGGGGTTAGGTGAGAGGTGGTGGAGGAGGTGGGACAGCGTCTCAGTTGAGCAGCTCCAGGTAAGTGATGGGCACTTTTCCTTTCTGGGTTCCTCTCTCTCCCATCAGCCAGTCTGAGTCCATGCCGGGGACACAGCTCACTGTGATCACCTAAGGACACACACACACACACACACACACACAGACTTAGAATCAAGCTATATTTGCAGTGTTTCCCCTACATTCATTCAGTAGCGGGCGGCGCACCACCGCTGCTGAGTTACATGCACCGCTACTAAAATTTCACATGATCAATAATATCAGTGCACCACTAATGATTCCTACTTGCACTGTGTGAGCACAACAACACATGACGTTATTTTCGACTTGTTTTGAGTCAAATCCTGTCGTACCCTCTTCCATTGATGTGAAAGATGACGTTCAAGCTTATACACCGTCTATATAGCGAGTAGCGCAGGTAACGTAATGTAACACAACGTAACAGCGTAGCTCCATGAGCCACAAGAGAGTAGGGGTAACAGCGAAAACAGATTCATCACCTCATCAGCCAGCAGGGAGAGCTCACTGCTGCTGGCAGCATCATAGTCGTACAGGACTCGTGCTTTGCGGCTGGCATTAGAGGTCCTCAGCTCGGTGAATCCTCCGGATGTTCCTGAGGAGCTGCCTCGACCCCCAGAGACGCTGGGCAGAGAGGCGGACACCGGGATGGTGGGGACAGAGATACTGGCTCCACCCGACACTGAAGACTGGTTGTTGTTGGAGAAGGAGGAGGGGAAACTGAAGGAGGAAGAGGAAGAGAGAGTTAGCAGAGGAGGAGCTGGAGTAGAATCAGCTGAACCTCACCTCACTGTCACCTTTACAGTCACTTTCTGTTCAACTGAAAAGCAAAAAACATTTCACACCAATTTTCACACTTTGGTTTTGACACTTTAGACAGAAAAAGAAGTGATGACAGGACAACAGGTGTCAGAACAAGCATTTGAATGAACCCCTCAACAGATCCTGGCTGGTAGACTACCATGAACGAGTCTCTGGATGAGTCGTTTTTCTTTGTTTGTGAACTCCTGCCTACATGGAGCTGATCAGAAGGTGGAGGAACAGGTGAAAGTGATATTCTACCTGCCAAGCTGTTTCTGCAGGTCCACCATGTACTGGTAACACTGGGCGTAGTACGTCGTCTGAGCCTCCACAAAGTCATTCAGACAGCGAAGGTGGTGAGCCTGGGGATGAACAGAGAGAGAGAGACAGGAGAGAAGGATTCAGAGGAATTTCAGCTATTTCCTCACACGTCAACAGCTGGTACTGATTTGTCTCGATGCGTTTATTTGGCAGAAAAATCAGGAAAAAGCATGGCTGTGGTTTTTGTATGAAACTGTTTCATTAGATGTCAGAGGTGTTTTTTTTTTTATTGAAGAAAGTTTTAGGGTGAGAAGCCAAAAATTAAGGGATTAATAAACTTTTATAAACACTTTGAGAGATGTTATCATAGTGAAGAAAAAATAGGATTCAAATCATAATACAGAGTTTACAGTTTTAACCAGCAAGAGGGAAATGCCAGAGGTTGCTTTATGGGAAATGTATGCTTTGATATTGTGGGAGATGTCTTTTTCTTCTGAATTGTTCTTTAATTTGGTATCTTCATCTGCAAGACTGAGTAAAAGTTATTTGAAAGAAATGAATGACTACTGTGGAGAAGATAAACAGGTTTGAGTCTGTATATGTGTTGAGTAGCATACAGGGTGAGAAAGTTATGGATTACATTTCTTCGTGTTTCTGTAACTGAGCACTTGTACCTTTTTGTGCAGTTTAAAAGTCAGGGATTTTATTTTGACTGTACTTCAGCATTTTCTTTGGGAATCAATGTGCCTGTCTGAATTTGACACTACATTCATTACTTGGTAAAAAAAAAAAAAAAGCCACACACTTTTCATCGACAGTGAGAGAGTGATGTCACCTGATGGTCAAGTGATCTAACAGTCAGGAGGGGCAGAGGCATGTGGGTGCTGAAATCTCAAAAGACTTTAGACTTCAGTAAAAATTGTATTCAGATTTGGCTTCAATCCACTGTTGACATGACAGTGTTAAAACTTTTTTTTTTTCCCCAACAAAACCTGCATGCCTGTATCCTAGGAACAATGTAGTGATGGGTACTACTTACTGGTCTACCAAAGAATACCATAAACCAACTGCAGCTAATTAAAATGCTGCAGCAAGAGTGCTGACTAAGACCAAAACTACATGTATATGGATATTTATTTATCAGTATATTTTTGTTCTCCCGTCTAAATAAATGTATCCGTCCGCACGTGTTAGTTCTCAAAAATATCTGCATCCACACGTAGCCTTCAAACTCAATCCTATCTGGTGCCGCTTAAAAAAAATTCAGGAACAAAGCTAACTGATTGGCCGATGAATCGTAACAGCGTGATGCGTCATGCATTGTTTGCGGAAGCTCCGCACATGAGAGACACAGCCTCTCATGACCAAAAAAAAAGTAACAGACATCACAAATAAGGTTTCTGCAGTTTTTTAAATCTCTTTTAATGTTTTAATTACACATATTATACTTCTATTGGGGTGTTTTCTTTTTTTCCACTTAATTTTCCATCATGTCATTTTTTTTTTAATCCCCATTCTTGACTGTTTTGTTTTTAATCACTGTAAGGCACCTTGAAAGGCATCTGACTTGTATCAAAAGTGCTATATAAATAAAGATTGATTAATTGATTGATTGATGGATGGATTATTTGAGTGCTCTTACAAAACAAACACCTTTTTCCAACCACAGTGAGGTAGAAATTAAATTACAATTAAAATCTTCATCAGCCGGTCTGCAAGCTTGACCATTTTACACTGGCTTCTGTGCACATCCAACTATTAAAGTCATTTAATAACTTCTACCTGGACAGGGTAAACACATAGCCACGTTTCCACCACCACCAAAGTGTGACTGTGTGAGCGAATGAATGATGTATCCAATGTAAAGCGCTTTGAGGGTCTCTGATAAAGCGCTATATGAAATCTGATGCATTATTATTATTATTATTATTATTATTATTATAACACACTTCCACACGGCTGCCTTTGGGGAAGTTTCTCTTCTGAATGTTGACTTTCATGCTTTTGGACTGTACTGTGGTTCCCCTAGTGTCTGAGTCTGCATGTTTGTGTTTTTGCCACCGTCTCCCTTCAAACAAAATTTTACATCTGGATGGGACTAACCAGGTTAAATAAAGGTTTAATAGAATAGAAATGAAGTGAGTGCTGGGTAACATACGTGTGTGCTGCTGACGCCCTCCAGCAGCAGTCTGGTGATCTCTGCCTGACGGTCAAACTCACTCTGGGTCATCCTTAGCTCCTGCTCCGCCTGTAATAATGTCATTATAGAAAATCATTATCATAACACAGGTAAAATGGTCAGAGACATGACGGTTTATGAATGACATAGTGAACATGTGTAAGGCTGGTTTGTTGACATTGTCCTCTTTAAAGCTCACTTAGGCCTGTGAGTTTAACATATGCGGGTCATCTTTTAGTTCTCAGTCTTTACTAACCATGACGGTAGAAATGCCAGTGGGGTCAAATAAAGCTTGTTACTAACATAATTAGTCAACCCGGAGTCTCTATGAGCACATTTATATTAAAAAGACAGAGTTAGCAGCATACGACCATTCGCAGACATAGCCTGCTGTCAGCTGATCGGCAAACTTCAACATAACAAAAATATGTAGTTAAACACACTCAAGATTAAAATACACACACCTGCTGCAGAACCAGCAGAACTGGCAGAGAAAAAAAAGCCTTTTATCACCTGATCATTACTACTGCACAACAGATACAACTCTAATGACTCTTTTTTTCTATTTCACTCATTTCTCCTGGCATGTATGACCTGTTTAAACCCCATTGATGATCAAATCTTTCACTCAAATATTCAAATGTCATTTAGAAAGACAAACAGTTTATTGCTCTCTTTCTAAGCTGACAGAGCTCTGATTGGTCAGTGGCTGTTTCACTTGTTCTGAACACGATCTATAGAGCTAGGGAGAGGTTTACTTCTCTCTTACGCAGACCACCTTCATAACCTCACCTGCTCTAAATCTGGTGATGTTCAGGATAACACATCAGTTTGTGACTCTGGCCAATCAGAGTGAAGATCAAAGAGCTTTGTGATCTCATCCAGAGAGGTGAGGAAAGAGACTGACTGGAAACTTTACTGTTCGGTTTGATTTTGCATAAATTTAATTGGCTGAGCTGTCCTGACATCAACCTTGAACAGAGGCAGGAGTGGGCCGACATCAGAGCCTGTCAGTTGTTATCAAGATCTTATATTATGTCAGCATCTTCCTCCAATCATGTTTTCATCTTCTTTACTGCTCTGTCTGATACTGTCGAGTTTGCAGCTGAATTATTATACGCCAAAGGAACAAATCAAAGCAAAAGAAATCAGTGTAGATAAAAAAAACACTTATTATAGTGAGATCTAATGCCTCCATAAATAGCAGAGAAGTGATATAATGAGTCTTTATTTGCATTTTCACTCTCTGCCTTTTTCGTCATCTGCCAGCTCTTGTGTCATTTTACAAACACAGCTGTGTTGGTTTTAGTCTAAACTTTATGTTTTACTGAATATTTATGAACAGCCTGTCATAGTTTGCTGGGTGTGTTTGTAAAGTATGATCCACCAACAGCAGACAGTTCATCTCTGTGAGACCACTTCACGTGACCTCTACTGTCAGCATCAGTAAAGCCAGAAAACATAAAGATATCCCAGTTGTGTTTAACTTGCTTCATATAACAAGTTACCATGGTGATCTATCCAAGAAGAAGCACACATCTTACAGGATCAAAACCCAGAGCTTACCCTGAGGTTAGGTCCCATGTTAATCAATACTGTTCAAATCAAAGGACAGTGTCTGAAATATGAATTTCTTTGAGAGCTTTAAACACTTGACAAACACGTCTGGACTGAAAATCAACACACACCATCAGTTTGTCCAGAGAAAAGACTTAAAAACCAAAACGAACAGATGAAAAGTTGACCTACAAGCAAACTGAAACCAAAAATAACATGATGGACAGTAGAGAGCAGGGACAGGACACACACTCTGAACATGTGAGCATGATGTTTGTATCCTCACATCCAGCCAAACTATTCAATTTGGGAACTGCTGGAACAATGGCCGCTTCAGACGGATTCAGTTTGTTTAATAAACAGACTAAGGGGCCGGGACGGACAGGGGACACAGAGACAAAGACTAAATCTGTCCTTATATAGCCCAGAGAGAGAAGGGGGGGGGGGGGGCACAGATTATCTGGTGGGATTGGTCTTTAAGATTTCAAAGTTTTCCATGAGGCACCACAGCAGCTGCTGACACAACATAACCAAGGATGCGTGTGCTTGTGTGTGTGTGTGTGTGTGTGTGTGTGTGTGTAGATTCAAAGATGGTCGCTCCAACATTCCACTCACCTCTGTCACTTCCTCCGCTCACATCTGCTGCTTTGTGTTTTAAAAACAGTGACACAGAAGTTAGAGCCACAGCTGCTGCAGCACGACCACTGCACAGCACATACTTACACTGACAAACTGTGTATGTGTGTGAGTGTGAGTGCGTGTGTGTGTGTGTGTCTGAGTGAGAAAGGCAACACAGGGCTGTTTCAGAAATGGATGGATGATGGGATGAGGCAGTGATGAGTTACTATTATTGAGAACATATATTAAACTATAGGTTAAAATTGAAGAATCATTTCAGTGATGTTGAGTCCAGCTTGGAGATTAAGAGCATATGCTTGTCATTTTAGTACTTTAGAGTCCTGAGGTTTTTTCAGGACCCCGTTTCGTCTCTGGGAAACAGACTTTGTTTTTTTTAGTTTTTTTAACATAAACAGTCTTAACAATTTTGATGTAAACAACAGTTAACTGCATCTCTGATGGGACTGAAACATGATGGTATATTATTATTTCTCCTCTCTCAGACTCAATAAGGTCTGTCTGTAAGCGGAGTGCCATCCTTCAGACAGGAGCTTTAAGAGAGCTGTTGTTAACCAGCTCAAATTACCAGTTTTCCCCTCATGTATTTAGCAAACACTCCTCTATTCATGATAGTCTGTACAGATTAAAGTCACTGTCAGACTGTCAATAAACACTGAATCACAGAAAAACCTCAAAGTCTGTCACTGACACAGCAGCAGCAGCAGCAGCATTAACCCTGAATAAAAGAAGAGACTGTGCAGATGGTTCATCAGTATCTTTACAGGCATATAAAGGATGATGGATTTCCACACTAATAAATCTCATTTGATCTCAGGTTTTGGTTTTAGTGATCATCTGATGCCGCGCTGCTTGATTTATTGTTTGTCCAGTAGCATAATGTCAGTCAGCAGCAATGAGACAGACTGATGGAGAGAATGGAAGCTGTAATTACCGATCAATTTCTCCACCAAATACTGACTTTTTCAACTCATCCTGAGTTTAAAACATTGATATTTTGTTGTTAGAAAATTAATATATACCTGTTTTTTCTTCATTTTGTTAAATATACAGTTGAAACCAGAGGTTTACATACACTATGTGCCCCTAATTAACTCAAATATTGTCAATAAACCTATCAGAGGTTTCCAAAGACATGATATCATCATCTGAGCTTTCCTAAACTGTTTAAAGGCATAGTCAACTGAGTGTATGTAAGCTTTTGACTCTCGAGAAAGTAATAAAAAAAAACCTCATTATTCTGGCATTTAGCATATAAAAATAATTTTGGTTATCCTAATTGACCAAAAATAAGAAAAGTTTCATCTGATTTAATGTTAGACGGTGAGAAAAAAAAAGATTATGTGCCTTTTTATATAGTGTATGTAAACTTCTGGTTTCAACTGCATATATAAACCACCAGCCATTTTTCTGCGAATAAAATCACTCAATAAAAAAAAGGAAAGGTGGGATATGTGTTGGTTCTGGTAAATCAGAAATGTTCATTTTACTTTAACACAAACTTCTGCAGAGAAAAATTGATTTTTGAAATCATGGTTCAAACCTTCTGGTGTTAAAATGACTGATTTTATTGCTAACATTTTTCTTTACTTTCATCCTTTGCTTCAGTATTAACTTATGGGAGCTTCAAATATATTCATTGTTGATGCTTTAAACACAACAGTGAAAAGGCTGAGGCCAGACTCCCTCTGTCTACTGAGAATACAAAACAAAATTTGTAGGGGAACAGATATTTTAACGACAAAGCTTCAGGCGAGGATGAAAACTGTGAATCTAAATACAGCAAAGCTACAAAGACCTCAGTCAGACTCTGGGCTGCCTGAGCTCTTTGTGAAATAGAAGCTTCTTTGTCTTCATTTAAGACTTCATACTTCTTCAGTTATCATGTCCTCGAAAATGTTGAAGGTTATACATTTTCAAGTTATTTCTTAAATTTATAAAACAAACGATCTGAGAGTGGAGATGTGAAACAGCAGAGAAAAGAAAAAGTTCATTTGTTTGAGCAAAGAGGACTCAAGAAAGAAGTTTCCAGAAAAAGGGAAGTGTAAACTTCCCATAGCTGCCTGTCATGTGAATATGTGTGTGAGTCACAGGAGATAAAGCGGTCAGCTCAATGTTGTGTAACTGTGTGTCCATGTATGTGTATGTGTCAGTCATGATGGTGTGACAGAAGGACACGCCCTGACAGCTTGACAGGAAGTTGGCAATAATTTGAGAGAAAAATACTTACTAATACTCAGTATCAAAATAACCCAAAACACTGTCATAAATAGAAACACAGTGAGTGTGTGTGCAGGAACTTACTGCAGCTCTGGCATCAGCCATGCGTGCTTTCTTTAGTCGAGTTTTGGCTGCATCCAGATCCAGGCGTTTGACCTGCAGCAGCTTTCGCTCTTTCTGAACATAAACACATAAAAACAGTCAAAGTTAGGAGCAGGGACAGTTACAGTATAGTTGAGGTTCTTTGAAGAACTGTGTGTCTGACCTGCAGGATTTCAGGAAGTCTTTGATCAATACTTTAATGTAACACACATCAACTTAAAATTTGACTTTATTACGAAGGAGATTCAAGCTTTTCTTGTTCATTTTAGTCATATCTGAGTACAAACACAGGAATCCAAATGGAGATACAAAAAATTCAATAGAGAAAAGAATAACACAGTAAAAGAGTGTTATATGTTTATGTAACAAAGCCCTCTCCCACAGTTTCAAATAAATCTTGGAGGAAACCCTGCGATATATCCCTGGATTTCAAATCCACCTTGATCTAACCACATCACCACCTTTTCTCTGTGTGATTCATATAACATGTACTGGAAATGTTTAAATCTGTTTAAGCCACTGTGAGGAGTTTTTATGTTGTGTTGAGTTTGGCGACCCTTTTGGATGGAATCAGGAGAGATTTTCTTGAAAGCAGACTGCATTTCCCCTGAGCACCATCAACCACAGTTAAAGATACTGCTCTGCATCAGTCAAGGAAGAAAATAAATGGAATTGGTTCAAGACAGCTTTTCAAATTAAAGTTGGTTATCTTACAAAGCTGAGAACATTTTACTTTATACGTTGAAGTAGTTTCATTTAACTACTTAAAGAGTGTCGAGATGAGAGTCTAAACTTTACATGAACAGGATACTTCATGGAAGAAAAAAGGGGTGCACATGTTCACTCGTGATGATGAGGGATAGCTGTAAAACTTTAGACTGAAAGGTTCTCAACTAACCAAAAATATTTCCCCAAGTCCTTTACATGGCATCATGGCTAATGAAGTCCTTTTAACAGAACACAAGGCATCTAAAAATTATGGCTATGCAATGCTTCTGTGTGGCAGTGGTGTAATAACTATAGAACACACATATTAAGCAAAAAAACACTTCACTAATACTTAAAATATCTAAAATATTTAGACACTGAAATGTTCATATTATTATATTAATATATTACATATTATCCTACTTTAATAAAATCAAGCATATTGTATTTGTTTGGTGGCAGGGTTCGGTAATGATGCTTATAAAAACTTATCATTAGGTTCATAGATTTTTGGGTGAACCACAGAAGATGGAAAATTGTGTCCCAGCAGTTTTCCTCAGGTAATTCAGGCACTGATGAACAGTCTGATTACAGTCAAGGAAGACCCTGCTGTTTACTCTCACATCATGTCGGCTGAAGCGTTTGTGTCTTTGTTGGTGATATGCTTTAGATTTTAGTCATATGTAAACACAATGGACAACAACGAGGTCTGTAAACAATCAAGGTCCTGCTCACGTGATACTTAAACTCAGAGGAGGATGGAGTTCCACCAAATCTCTGATAGGAGGGTCAAAGTGGTTTAGCAGAGGTTTGACTCACCTGGATGGTTTTGAAGTCCCCCTCTAGAAAATTCCTGAAAGGTGTCAGGAAGTTAATGGCAGCACTTTGGATTAACTCTCGCTCCGCCCCCCCAATCTGCTTCTGTGTCTCCCCACATTTCATCATAGCGTTTCCTGTAAACAGCAGGAGCACAAACAGAGACTCAGTACCGGTTCAGCAGCAACAGACCTTTAAGACAGGAGGAACTTTTTAATGAATCTAACATCAGTTTAAAGATCTGACCTCCTGTTCTGCTGCAGAAAGCTTTTTGTAGACCTTAAAAACCATTCAGAGGAATGGTTTTAGGACAAGGAAAGCTTGGCAAGCCACGGATGATTTTTAAGTTGCCAAAAATGTCCTTGAAAGGTCCTGTAGTTCGTTGAGATTAAATAGTTCACATTTGACAAGTTTGGGTTGCTTTTAGACCAGGGTCTGGTCTAATGTGGCCTAGAGGGGACAAAAATGTATAATTGCCCCTTTCTGCATTTTCAGTAATCCAAAAAGACTTTCACAAATATAAAACTGTGTTCAATGGAGTGACTTGTATCTCCAGGATAATCCCATCCAGATTTGGTATGTGTCCATGCAGCACTGTCACAAAACACATGTTACCAGCTCCTCACAAAGCCACCAGACAGTGCAGTGGAGTTCAAGCCCACAGTTGACATACTGTGGAATTACATCTACTAGATTTTTAAGTGATGCACGCTGGCTAACACAGACGTTTTAATTAATAGATGGTGAAGAGCTGGGAGATAAAGCTGATAAAACTGTGTATTTTAACACCACTGAAGAACACCTAGAGCTGACAAAGATGCTCTCTTTTTGGGCACAGTAGGAAACTGACTGAGACAGTATGCCAGTTTACAAGGGATCAAAAGATCCCACTCTGGAACAAGTTTCAATGGTTTACATTTACAGCCACAACCTCTAAATCTTAAAGGACCCCGATGTGTGACGACCCACTCAACTCTACACCAAACCTCTGAAAAGTTTTCACCAGACTTTTCCCTTCCAGCCCTTCTGTAAAAATGTGTGTGAGGTGGATGGATGAATGCAGCAGGTAACAGTCTGGAAAGTCCACAGTGATTGAGTGGGTGGGGTGACATTGTCTGTGTTATGTTATTAACCGCTGTGTTTGTGTTGTGGAAACGTCCTCACTAAACACAGTAAATCACCATAACACACTGTTTCTGTGTCTGTATCACAGAAATCTCTCACTTGAGAAAACCTGACTGTTTCCTGTTTTGGTGTGTGAGGTAAGTTGGCTGACTGTTGCTCCTGTGCACCTGAACATTGACAGTAACCACAGATATGCACAGCTACAAAGGAGAGTCACAGGTGAACTGAGGCAGGGATCAGCCACATACTTTTGTCCAACCATGTATGGTTCTAGGTTGATTTCAGGGTCTTGTTCTGTTTTGTTTTTTCTTGTTTTTACATCAATTCAGATCCTTTGGTAATTTTGCACCTTTTTGAGTGACCAGTTATTTGCATTCAATCTGCCCCCAGGCGATTAAAGAAAATTCTTCAACAATGTCCCTCTTCGGGCCAGCAAGCCAATACAGAAGCTGTGCGTGATCAGTACAGGCCAGTTTAAGCAGCAAATATGTCAATCAATGATGAAAATCAATTTCCAAAGTGTATCTATTGAAGTAACTAGTCTGTGACAATCAATGCAGCCAGTAAATGAGTGATGTTACTGATGTGGCAAAATGTTACATTATACAGCACATCATTATAAATATATGGTAGATATAGTCAATTATTTTCTCTATTTTTCCATCTAAAACCACACTATTGTTGTAGTCAATGTCTAATATCATAGCTCTAAATGATGAGTGATTAAGGTTCCTACTGTTGTCAGTCTGCAGACTGCAGCAGTTTTAAAGTTGCTGCCATTATTTCAGAACCTGCGATCAACCAAGGAACAGCAAAGTCTGGTCTCTCTGAAATTTCTGCATTTTTTGCTAAATTTTTCGATGTGTTCGTTGTGTTTTGTCAACGGATGGATATTTCTGCTGGTAGAGGATTTTATTCAGGAGAAAAGCTTCTTTCATCAACTCTCTGTCCAACAAAAGCGATGAGCTGGAGATATTGGTGAAGACTGAGAAAGCATACCGTGAGTGCAGTCTCCTGTGTTTTAGTAAAGCCTGGTTGGATCAAAACAACTCGGACTCCAGTGTGGATCTACCTGGGGTCTGACTTTATTTGTTAATCAGAGATGGTATCACTCTTCACGCATAACCTCAAGGAGAACTTGTGTTCTCCAGACATTGAACTGTTGGCAGTTGCCTTTCACCCATATTATGTTCCAAGGGAGTTCAATGAAGTCATATCATAACAATACTTGGAACTTCAGCCGTTGCCTTTGGTGGGATGTATTTGTGTTTGGTTTCAAGTTTCATTTGATTAAAATCAAGTTGGACTCACTGTAGGATGTGTTAGAGAGATGCACACTGAGGAAGGTGGTGGCTATTCTAAAGAACATGGATCATCCACTTGATGGACCAAAAAAACAATGGTAGTAGACGTCTTCTCTCTCTTCGCTGCAGGACAGAGAATTTTAGGGGATCTTTTACACCCACAGCCATCAGATTTCTTAATTCTTCTATACATAATAGATTAGATGAGATGAGATTCCAGACAATGAATTTCCCTTTGGGGATCAATACAGTTCTTGTATTGTATTGGAGCACCAGATGGTGTCGCACACAAACCTCCGGATCTGTCTATAGGTTGACGGGATAGACACTGATTGTGCCTGCATTTCTACAGCCAACCGTACCCTTGGTAGGTGGGGTTGTAAGCCAGTTGGTGATAGCTGTGTCACTGTAGTGTAATATCGCATCCATACATATACCGGTGGCGCACCAACGGGAATAAAACAATTTAGTTTGGAACACAGGATGTACTGGCTAATTCTGGAAGTCTCCCATATGTCAGAGGTTCAATTTGATCTTTGTAAACTTTTTGTGCAAAAAAATGTAAAATATTGTTTTACAAGAATCTTGAAATCTTTCATTTGAATGAATAGTGTGTGAAACAGAGTGTTTTCTTCCCTAATGTGTCACAGAATGAGTTTGTCCACATCCACAATGTTCATTCAGGTGCCAGTATGTTCGGTAGCTCAGACTCACTCACCGTATGCAGTTCCAGGTCCAAACTCATTCCCTGATTCGATCATGGACTGTCCCAGCAGCTCGTGGTTGTTGAGGCGTGTGGGGGCTTTTTTCTCCAGCTTCTCATACACAAACTCCTCTAACCGCACATCTGCAGATTAATACAAGAAAACTCAATTACAGAGTCATAAGACTTCAGGGATGGAGACTTCGGGACGGACATTTATAAAACAGAAGCTTCAAATTCTCCCCTCGCTTTATTTAATTTGTTTCATGTTATCTCATCACATGACTGACAATCACAGGCAGCATATCTGAGGTATGCTGGACATGAAGTCGAACAAATCCAGTTTACCGTAACTAACACTGTTTCACTAGAGTGCAGGCAGCAGCTGGGTGTCTGTCTGTGTGTGTTTGTTGTATTGCAGTGGTATGGCATCATGGTGTGAGCTGAGGAAGGACACACAGCTGAGCTTACAGAGTTCACAGGCGACCGACAGACTGATGAAAATCAAACAACAGCTCTGAGACTTTTAAGCTTCATTTGATGCCCCATACAGGAAAATAATGTTTCCTAAATTCAAGAATACTCTGAATTACTAAACTGAGAGCTTTTTTGTTGGTACCACAGAGCTTATTGTTCCCATATATAAGTTTTGAGATAATAGCGTGTGGGTTGATCACTGTGATGAGATATTGATAAGCACCGTTTGAGTCATATTATAATCCTGGAAAAACACTGATAGGTGGAGCTGATTAAGTTGCACTTTGATGACAATTTTATTCTTTGCTAGAATGTCACAGGGCTACGCCTGTTTTTGGTCTATTTTTCTACATTTTTCCTCTAGCTAAGGAAAGACTGGGAACACTGGAAGCAGAGGGTGGGGGGAGTCCTGTAGCAAATGCTCGTGGCAGGTAGTTGATCCAGCAACTGCTGCAATGAGGACTATATTCTATGTTTATGGGGTTATGCTTGAGGTGCCAAAACACACCAGGCCGACAGCACCTCAGGGTCACACCAGTTTGGCACTTATGCTCTCTTTTTTTTTTAGCTATCTATCAGCCTTTGGATGTGATACAGCTACTACCTCACACTGAGGTATAAGGTGTATTGTTATTAAATTATTTGCGAATTACAATGCATCACCACTGCAAATGAGGCCATATTACGTAATTTTCTACTAATTTTAAGGAACAATATGTGAGTAAAGATAAGTCTTTAGATTAATAACAGCTGATAGACAATGTTTTTGAGGACTGGTTTAACATCACAAACAGCTTTGTTGTGAGACACCTCTCTGTCACTGTCTGTGAAGCCTTAATCTTTCACAGTCTTGGTCAGTTTCCTTACTCGGGTTTGGGTGTAGTAAAACCTCGGTCTGCTTCATGATCCTCTCGGTCCATAGCTTTGTGTTCTCAGCTCTGATCAGGAGGTTTTCCAAATGAGCATCCAGCTCTGTCTTCTCAGCCTGACCCAGTTTCTCCTCTGTGAACTGAAAATGAAAACAAAACCATTAACTTCAATTATCAGACATGGCATTACCTGGAAACTGTTAGAGCGTGTTGAACGGGGCTGATGTGTCAGGAAAGGCGTTGTTTGATGGAAAGTGTCCACTAACGTTAGCAGACTGGGCGGACTAGCTAGCCACAAAAGTACACGTTCTCTGTCCGACTGATGTTAACAGATCAGTTACTTGTTTTCTCGGGACTGCTTTAATGCTTATTTAGTTCCGGTGACAAGTGTAAATACACACCAAGTTGTTACCGCTCATGATTATGGCAAAACATGCTACAAAATAACAGGCACCGCAGGCGTTAAGCTATCGAGCTAACGGCTAACGCTGGTTAGCTTTGGCTAACGAGATCAAACTTACCTGAACCGCGCGGCTCAGGAAAGTGCCGGCATCTGCGGCTAACCGCTTCACGTTAAAGTCCATGTCACAGCGAGGAGGTTACACACTTTATACCACAACCAGCGTCTCTTTCAGTCACACTGCCATCGCTGCAGAAAATGTCATTCAAGCAACTTTTTTTCTGGTAGGAGTTCCACCCAGCTGTTGATCCTGCCGAAGAGCGTCAACACGGGCAAGAGCATTCACTGCTACGCCCGAGTCCAACAGCCGGGGCGATGTAATGCGCATGTGCGAATTAAATAGAACAAAAACGAGATTTGAGATTTAGGCTGGTGCATATATGAAGAAAAAAACACCCAACCATATAAAAATTCTAACAAAATGTTTCTTAGCTGTTTTTATAGTATTAGATTAGAGTCCTTAATAACATACTAAAAGTTTACCAAAGTTTGAAAACTAGAAAGCTGTCATTTTCAAGATGGCGTCCATGATGGGTAGGAAGCCGGGGGAGATACCCCAGGGTAAAATTTTGAACTAACAGATATCACCACGAAGCTTCCCATGTTTATAACTTACATTAAGGCAAATATTTTTTGTATTACAAATTCTGGTCAAAACATTAAGGCTCCAGTATTTCTGGTCTAGAAGGGATACAAAGAAGTAATGGTCATTCTACGGACCTGAAAAAAACTCATGGCAATATTTGAATTTTTAGGGGTGGTGACAGTGTTTTCTCATTTACAGAGTGATAAAAAGAGATATCCCAAGTCCCCTCCTCCCCCTTCTGACTCTAGTATATCAACAAAATAAAACAAGATTTTTGAAAGGGGCTTTATCCATTGTTCAGTTTGCGGTTCTGGAAATGTATGCAAATTAGTGCATGTTTAGTTAGACATTGCCTCATTTACATATTCAAACATAACATTTGACAAACATAATATTTGACAGTTTCGTGGTGATATCTGTTAGTCCAAAATTTTACCCTATTCACGTTGAGTGTTTCCCCAGGCTTCCTACCCATCATGGATGCCATCTTGAAAATGACACCTTTCCAGTGGTCAAATTTTGGTTTTAGTATGTAATAAAGGACACCTACTACTATAAAAACCAGCTGAGAAACCTTTTGTCAGATTTTTTTAGGGGTCAAGTCATATTTGCACCCAATTTATTAGATTAGATTAGATTAGATTAGATAGAACTTTATGGATCCTTTTGGGACGTTACCTCAGGGAAATTAAAATTCTAGCAGCATCAATATGTACACAAGAAAAAAAACAGAATGGTCAAACAAGTAAAATTTAAAAATACAATAGGCTATATAAAGAATCAAGATATAGGCCTAATAAAACTTCAGATAAATAAAGTATTTAGGTTAAAAAAAGTATGATATGAAGGAATCAATAATTGCACATCACTATTACCACTACTTTTATTGCTGCTGCTGCTCCTTTCTCTGTCCTCCTATTACCACTTCTCTTCCCCACAGAGGAGTTGTACAGTTTGATGGAACCATTGACCCCTGTTTCCATCCAGGGGGTCCGTGTGGACATTGTGGAGGACTACAAGTACCTGGGGGTGTACTTGGACAACAAACTGGACTGGTCTAAGGAGGGCCTCTGCAATTTCTACTTTCTCAGGAGGTTGAGGTCGTTATACATCTGCAGGACAATGCTGAGGATGTTCTTTGATGTCTCTCTCTGCACAGTCATCGAAGATCTACAGCAGGCCTAAGTTTTCAGGGACTATTTACAACGTGCAATACTGACAAAAGATGCAGCACAACATTCTCTAACTTCACCCTGAAAGTACAGAGTCGAGATCACCATACCTCAATGCTGTTTTTATCTCCCATCCATGGCATTTTGAGATTTACTTTAAATGTAAAGTACATAAAATTTACAGCTGTATCATACTCCCTCTACCCTTACTACTATGTGTGAAGTATCTAGTACTTTGTGCTTTAAGTGTATTTTAATGACTTTTACTCTTTAAGTTGAAAGTCATTCAAACAACTACTCGGTGGAGGATTTGAGCTCTACTTCCACCCTTGCATCATACCTTCCAGTGATTACAATCTGGATTTGAAGTAGCAGCTTTCATCCACAAAATATCAGGCAACCACAATTATTTGAGTAATTTAGATCTGGTTCTTGTGTTTTATCTGTCAAAGACCCACAAATGCATTGAAATTCATGAATATGGCAAAGCCTCATCTCACCTAATCATCATTTTTATGAACCTGTGTTCCTGCATGTCCTGCAAACACAAACCAAGTGTACAGAGTGACTGACACAGCTGTGTGAAGTGGAATAAATATTTGGTGTTTTCAATCTTAGATCATTTTTTTCTTACTTCTGGGTGACAGTGGTGCAGAAGTTGGCACTGTTGCCTCATAGAAAAAAGGTTCCTGGTTCTTACACCAGCTGGGGCCTTTCTGCATGGAGTATGCATCTTGGCAAGAGTTATTCCATCCTCCCTCCACAGACATGCCCTTAGGGTCACTGGTTACTAAATTATCTGTACATGTGAGTGAGCGTGTGTGGTGTGTTGGGTGGACTTCTACCATAGCTTTTAGCCATTTTCTGCATGTTTATCATGCAATTTTGGAGCCTGCAGGTCATCCACTGAAGCATAAAATCACAGTATAGTCGTAAAGTAGCCAGCTGTATGCAAGAAATGAAAATCCTCTCCTTATAACTGTCTGCTATTCGCGTGCAATCAAATCAATAAGGCCATTTTATGTAAGCTAATGAGAACTGACACAGCAGGATAATATTTCTGCATCATAATATCTTAAGCAATCATCTCCTGTTTCTCAGAAAACATCTGAGGAAGAAGACTTTGGCAGCTTGGGCGAAAACAAAAACAGTCTTCAGGTCTGGATCTGATTATCGGACAGACGCTGCTACCTGCTGTGTGGGAGGAAGTCAGGAAGCGAGAGGAGTTGAACAGCCTCCCCTCCTCTGAAGACAAACACTGCTCATCAGCCACAGACACTTTTTACACAGCTTAGAGACAGCTCCATCTTCATCCATTTCTTTTCTTCTTGCTGCATAATCAAAAGGATGTGGGTTTTTCCCGTCAAATATGCCAACATCAGAGTGGTCTTTCTTTGCCAGAATGACATGTAATATGTAAGTTTGCATCTTGATTTACAAAGTTAACCTTGAAATGATTTAAACAAGCCTGAACTATTTATCATTTGTCGACCACTTTAAGCTGTAAAACAGAGAATGGCCTGAAGCAGCAGCAGCCCACACACTGCATTCTTTACAACCAGACTGTGGCAGAGATATTACAGCTCTGGCTTCACTCGCTTCTCGGCTCACTCACAATTGTTGGGCGGCTGCTTTAAACAGCAGAATATAGAAGTCAGCACTTTTACAGCGAGAGACGAGCTCCTCAGAGGGAGGAATAGTTTGCAGTCTCTGCTTGTAAATCTGAGTCTGCCTTTTCTCTTCACACAAACAGAAAGCACTCAAGGGGAAGAAGAACCTTATTCTGCAAAAATGCTGTCTCAGCAAGGAGGGTCATGTTTCCTGAGATTGGGAAACCCTGGCTCGTCTCAGAAAACAAAAAAAATACAGACATGTTAGTGACGTAAAAGTTCTTTATTTAAGTAACTCACTGCAGAAACTGAGGATAAATATATTTGATGTTTTCAACACCACATTATTACTCGATTTTCTCTACATGATGCAGCTCTAACAGAACAAAAGGATTCAAGTTTCATTCAGTGTGAGACTTGAGAATGAGACTGTCATATACTGTCATGTCAAAGTACAGCTGCAGACGAAGAACAGCCCCTAAAAATACATCTTTATGCACACTCTATGAATACTTCATAAAACATTTGTATTTAGGGCAAAAATGAGGCTGAACTACTATTGTGGAATTTTCTGGACCATGGTTTTGGTGAGCTCCAGCAGCCGAGGAAACCTCAACGTCCTCTCTTTCCATGAGTCTGGGATTCCCTGCAGACCGGTCTGAACGACAAAAGAGGACAACCAGCTGAAAAACTCACAGAGATACAAGCCTTTCAGGAGTTCAGAATGTAAGTTACATCTGCTACTGATACCCTGAATGAATCAAATAAATAACAAATAAATAACAAATAAATAACATCGGACACAGACCTCTGCGCACCAGTACCTAATATCTTTATTTAATGTTAATACTGTTAAAATATAACCTCATGTAGACAAAACCCACCTGTAATATAATGACATGTACATTTATTTTCTCAAACACTCTTCACTTCGCTGCACCCTCACCATTGCACTATTGGATTGTATATGTATGTTAAATGTCTAGTTTGATTTATACATACTCGTAGTTTTTGTAACATTTCATGTTTTATGTTTGTCCATAGAAGGCGAAGTTTAGTGAAGTCAAATTCCTTGTGTGTTACACATAATTGGCTAAATCTGAGACTGATTTGGATTGTGATATTGAGTAATTAATGGTAGAATACACAGGCTTCATCAGATACTTAGCCTCGATAGTAAAGCTGCATAGCGCTGTTTTTTGCTCCCCTCGGGAACTTTCCGTTTGTGATGATTTTGGCACTCCCCATAGACAAAGCAGACTTTCTTTATTTTGTCCTTTACATACTTGAGTAGCAATCTTTGACAAAAACCTCATCATGCTGACTTTGACAGTCAAGTGGATCCTGCATTGTGAATATTTTAAAAGGAGATTTTAGTAACAAGGATGTTTCTACAGCTGTGAGGTTGACACCCAACCCCTCACACCAATCTCAGGCATTAACAGTTAGGGCTCTATTTTCGTGCCTCGCCAGAGACGCGGCGCAGGTTCGCTGCGCCGACAAGGCGTTCCCAAGCACAATTTGGTATTTTGGTGAGCGGTGCAGCCCGGCGTAAGTATTCCCCCTCCCTAACTCAGCTCCTCCTAGTGGCGTAAGTCGGAGCGAGAGAGGAGAGAGGGTGTGGAGTGGGTTTAACACAGCCGAGACCTGAATTGACCAATAACATCAGCTCCTCTCCTTGCCTTTAAATCAGCCACCGGCGAGGCGTATTACAATTTTCGTGAAGTAGCCAAAGAGATCAAGAGATGTCTGAAGACAGTAATGCCACACGATGGCAACAGAAGGCAGCCCCTCAACAAGTGTAAATGCTGCAGAGGGCGTCCTTCACACTGTCTCAAATAAGCACAGATGGATTTGGTGTGTGTAAGTTTGGACCCACTGGTAAGACAAACATCCTTTTCCACAAATAAAGACACTCACATAAAGTTGCATATATTCAAACCCCACATGACAAAGGTGGGTTGTGCGCACAGATCACAATATTAATTCCAATAATGGCATTAAAATCGGAAACATCTGTGCATAATGACGCATCGCGCTCTGTGGCCTGGCTCTTTCTTTCATAGATGTTGGCATATAAAATAAATTTTGCTCACAAAATTGAATATTATAATATTCCTGAGCTTAGAGTAAATAACTCATCTGATCACTGAAATAAATCATCTGTTCAGCCGCCACAGCAGCAGCTGCAGCAGGATGGGGAAAGGGACACAGAGACATGTCCAGGTCGAGCTGCACGAGAAATAAGAGGAAGAGGAAGAAAGAAAAGGAGGGAGACGAATTACATATCTTGTTAATTTCATTATGTGTGTCTATTTACTAGATATTTGATTTAATTTAATGCGGTTTCAGCTGTGTTAATTCGGTCAGGTTGTGTGTCCAAACGTGTGTCAAACGCGCTCATCAGATCAGATATAGATCAGAATATATCTATATAGATCTAAATGTATGTGCTGACTCAGAATATTGGTTGTTGATGATTATTTATTGCACTGAAATGTGCCTGACACTGTGGAAACCTGCCAGTAGCTACGTTTACATGGAGCCAAATATTCCGAATATAATCGGATTAGAAGCCCAATCGGAATGAAAATGCTCCATATAAACACCTCATTCGGAATAAACAGGCCCATTCCGAATGGAATTTCATTCCGATTCACAGGGGTAGAATATTCCTTTTCCCATTCCGATTAAAAGCAAAATCCTGTCATGTAAACGGTGAATCGGAAAGTTGTCAGGCTGGGTTCTGTCTGCGCATGCTCTGTCCTGATGTAAACAAGCAGTGACGTATGACTCACATGGAAACATGATGGCGGCTTCCAAGCAGAGCACGATGCACTGGTCTGCGTCGGAGATCACGTGATCAATCAATCACGTGATGTTTGAAGGTATCACGTGTCTGTAAATAGCTGTTCCGATTGAATGCCGTGGCACATGTAAACACCAGATCAGAATAGATCGCTTCCATGTAAACAGTTCGCCTGGGAGCTTCAATCGGAATGATTATAATCCGAATGAGAAAAAGGTCTGCATGTAAACGTGGCTAGTGAGGCATCAGTGACGTATGCGTAATACGCCGCCGGTCGACCAAAATACTACTGGACCAGCTGCGCTCCGCCTGTGCTGAAAGCTGACCAGGTTTGAATCGGCGAGCTTTCAGCGTACATTACACGCCGGCGGCGAGCACGATAATGTCACTGTGCCAGCTGATTCTGTCGACACCTCACCCTGCCACGCCACCATGCCCAGCTTGGCGGACCTCAACGGCCTCAGTCCACGAAAATACCAAACTGGCAGTACGCCGGGCTCCGCCAGACGAAAATACCACTGCGCGGGGTCCGCTACCCTCCGCCGCGTCCCCAGCGTACACGAAAATAGAGCCCAAACTCTGCAGTACTGCCACTGTAAGGCATGTAGTACTGAGATGATAGGACACACTATGGACCCAAAAGATGACAAAAACCTGCATTCACTAACATAGAGATGGGCCAGTTGTTTTAGACCATGTATTCAACCATCTTCCCTGTAACTTTTTGGCCTTTTCACCCCTCAAGGATATCTATTCCTAACATTCCTTTCAAAGTCCAGAGTTTGTTGTGTCAGCTTTTCCTCTACTGCATTTGTGAAACTGTTGTATGATTAGTTTTTAGATGATGCATTAAATTGGCAGTATTGACTGCTGCTCTGTTGCTGGCATCATCTCACAGAGGCTGTATTGCGTATATCGCAAATGGTTGTTGGACTGTTTTTGCTTTCTAGGGTAAAATATTTCCACTCTGCTAACATTTTAGTCACAGGGCTACAGATGCTAAAACAACAGATGGTACTGTGTTTATGTTTTCAGCTCTTTGAGCCACATGTCCCTGGAGAGCCACCATAAGCCACTGTATAGCAGTTGTTGCATACTCTGATCTGGCTGATTGTACGTGTGTGTGTGTGTGTGTGTGTGTGTTTGTGCATTTAAGTTTAAGCAGTGGCTGAAAATCTACATCAATGTCCTGTTCATCAGTTTCTGATGGAGTTTATAAATTTAGTGCCACCAGAATGCTGAGTTACACAAAGTTACCTGTATGTTCTGCTATATGTTGTGCTCAATGACAGCTGACATTAATACTGCCAATACTGCATCAATTAAAAATGCCAAGATCAGGTCCTATCAGTAATGGTTATAAATGGTTTACTGCCACATACCTGAGCTCCAAAACAGGCTCCTATGTAGGAGGCTCGGCTGGCGGTGCATCCCCCGCAGCGCATCGTGTCCCTGACGGCCTCATCCAGCTGGTTCAGTGTCAGGACTCCATGAAGCGCTCCCTGGAACGCACCGGGCAGAGCTGCATGTAGAGTCAGGAGTAAAATTTGGAGACATTAATGTTAAGATGACAGGTTAGCAATCAAATAGTAGTCTTTTAAAGTACTCATAAGCTGTTCACTGTTCCTTTCAAACATTAACATGATAAACTTCATTATTAACTTTACACTGAGAGCAGACACTTGGTCAGATCTTGTTAGCAGAGATTTCCACTTCAGGCATCAGAACCTTTCAGCCAGTAAAACCTGAGATCTCCTCTCAGCAGGAGATGGAAATGAGCAGGAAGGAGGTGGAGAGCAGGAGGTAGAGATCAGAGAAAAGAGGATCCACTAAAGTACAGGGAGGGAACACAAACCATGCTAAACCATGCCAAGACCAAAGACTTGGATCCAGCTCACCTCATGTGTTAGTGTACACAGTGGGGATCAGCTGAGAGCTGCTCTTCACCAGGTTCTCCTTCACCTGCTGGAGCTGAGCTGCAGCAGAACAAGAGGGGAAATATCTGAATGTTAGAGATCAGCTTTATGAACCATGTATATTATGCAACTTTTAAATCTTTGACCAAAAGTGAGTTCTTGATTTGAAGCTTTGATAACATTCCTGTAAACTTTGTTCAGGTTTTATACATTTTTAACTTTGTCATGTCATTAACTTTGATATATTATTTTCCCTAATCAATCAGCTAAAAAGTAGTTGTGTTGAAATGCTTGAGGATAACTTTTGAAAATTAAATACTACACTCATTTATCCTTTAGGGCCCTGAAGTCCTCAAAGGGGATCATTTATATCGTGTGCATACATATAACTTTTGTACATCTTGTCTCAGGTTGCATGATGGACCAGTCCTACACAACAGAGTTAACTGTGCTCCATATAATATAATGATACTAAAGCTTCAATACTACAAGTATACTATAATAATGAGATAAATTCAAATGGGTCTCCTGCATATTAAAACCACTCTTAAAGTGTTTAATATAAGGAGGCTCTCTTAAACAGAGCACACGCTTAAAAAAGCACTTTAGCTGAGAAAAAGATACTTATTTCAACATAATTATGAGGAGCTGATCACAAATCAACCCAACATGGGGTGTATCACCCTCATGTCTGCTCCTAAACCAGTTCTCCCTGCCCATATTTGACATCCACAAATGATCCAAGTTTTCACCCGGCCTGATGCACCTGCAAAAATCCTGGACCTTCAGGTATGTCCAAGTTGGGAATCCCTCATGACAGAGAATAATAACTTTGCAAAGGAGTTCATTAGGGCCTTTACACCATTTGATGCTTTGGCTCAACAGTAAATTAATAGCAAACTATTTTGGAGTCCATTATATTCTTATCAATGAAACACTAAAATTTATGAGATCTTTTAAAATTTGCTTAAATGGTCTAAATATGTCTATTCTCTGGCTCTTCGGGGCAGATCATGTCAGCAATACGAGTTGTCCCAAACATCCCCTTCCACAGTGATGTTTAGCAGCTATTCATGTTTAAGTTTTCCTTATTTTTATTTCCACCTAAGATACAGGCATTCTCACCAATGACGGCCCGGTCCAGCTCCTGAGGGTTCTGCCTGTTTGGGTCATTTAACTGAGCGAGAACTTTATCCAGAACTCCAGGATCAGAACCATTCAGGATAAAATGCTCCAAAATCCTACAGTCAGACAAACAAATAAACACAAGTTAACCTCCTTAACTTCCACCTCTCTTGAATGAACCTTATGAGTGTTTGTGTTTGGGAGAAAGTTTACCTAGCTGCAGCCAGAGTCACAGCCACACACATGTCGTTGTTCTGGGTCACTCTGATGGCTTTCTCCACCTTCTCCAACATTTCAGGTTGACCCGCAAACATGGCTACGACTGGAGCCAGCTTAGTGACGCCATCCATCTGACAGTCCTTATCACAACCTCAAACACACATTCAAAGTAATTAAAATGATTGAAAAAATTGAACTGGGGGTGTTTTCATGCACTTTTTTTGTGTTATCTCTACCTGTTTCTTCTTTTCCTGCGTCCACATTTCTAAAGAATGCTTTCAGGCTCCCATTTCTCCATGGGCCATTAATGGGGAGAACAGCTTTTGGACCTGACAGATGAATAAATGCTCTTTTAATGTACAACTTCATGAACAGATGACCTACTCATGAAGAGGATAAAGATATACATATGTATGTAAATTAAAGGGACAAATAGATGTCTGTCTGTTGCTGCAGGTCTACTTTCTGCAGGTGGAGCTCTTCTCTCTCTCTCAGTCCTGATGATGACACAGCACTTACTGCTCTGAACAGTTTATTGTACCCAGAGGTGTCCTGTGCTGTTTTAGTGATTTAAAACAGCTCTGTGTTTATGTGACATCCATCCTTCTGGACTCAAACCATGAACAGGGAAGTCTGACTGACCAGAGTATTTTTATGGAGAGGGATTTCCCCCTCAGCAGGTAGGAAAAACATGATGTTCAGTATTTTTTTATCAGACAGAAACTGAGACTCTCACATCCTCTCCAGCCTGTTAGATTGATGATTTACGGGTGTTATAAAATTGACATGATTATTGGTGTTACATCAGAGTTGGTCAGAGTTACTGCAGTACCTCCTTTCTTCCTGTATGGGTCATTCAGTGGCAGATCATACACGGTCCCTGGGCCAAAGAACTTGTAGAAACTTTTGGTCAAATCTGCAACGTCAACATCTGCAAAAACAAGATGTTTTGTAATTTTGTTTTTTCATTGTGAACTGTGTTTACAAGTTTAAGTTTTTCATAATGTCTGCACTCGAAAATATAAATGACGCATCTCTTTTGTATTTTTTCAAAACCTTTGATCACTTGAAGTGAAACCTGTGAAAGTTCAACATTAAGGTAACACTAGTTTAGCAACTTTATCCTCTTTTGAATGAGGAGCCAAGCAAAAGGATTAGACTAAATACAGTACCATATGGAGCAATACATTATCATACTATACAAAAGTACTATGACGTACCAGAGATGGGAATTGTGGAGTCACCAAGTCATCTCCCTGCCATGTATTTGTTCTGCTCTGTCACTGAACCAGCTGCTTCCAATGAGCAGCCAGAAAGGTGAGCTCATTAGTGAAGGCACCTGGTTCAGTAACTGAGCAGAACAAATACATGGCATGGAGATGACTTGGTGACTCTACAATTCCCATATATACTGTATATGGTATGTCACAGTACAATATAGTACTGTACTGGACAGTATAACATGATGCAAAAGGGTGTGCTATGGTATGATACAGAATAGCCTGAAGAAATGGGGCACCAAATTATACAGTACATTATAGTATGTTAACGCACAGTAATACTTATTTATTTAGTTATTATTTTATTTTGTTACCTCCACAGGTGCTCAGAGACTCTAAAAGGACATACGCCTGGTCCCCATAACAAGTCTGCTCGCCCGTCTGCCTGAGGTAAAAAGGATTCGCCGACTGAGGACGAAACTCAGGACATGGTTCCAGATCAGACAGGACCTCTTTGAGCCGGTCTGGATTATAGATCCAGTGCATGGGCTGGGCTGAGTGTAACACACACATAAACACACAAAGAGAAATAAGCAGTGGAACATTCAGTAGTTTATCTGTATTTGACATAACCAGCCTGTAGATAACAGATAGCAGGAAAAGAAAATAAATGTGTTTTGAACTTGCAGAGGGGGAGCCTGGAATAAAACAAGACTACTCTTAGTTAAATAAATAGGACATGTATAACATCAACATGCTTGGTGGAGTTTTAGACAGGTAAAAGGCTTCACTCTCAATCACATAGAATAGATTTTAGCATTTACCTCAAAAGTTATGGAACTCTATTAACTCAACATTAAGACTGCATTAAATATATTAATCACTTGCATTATACTGGGAGGTTTTCACAAAAAAGTTCATGCAATAAATTCCATGCACAACTAAGCTATTTGTCTTTGGGAACAGTCCATTGTCTCCTTCCTGTTATCACCATCACAGGAAAAAACTCACATGACTCCATAGAATTTCCTTAACCTGTATTAAAACGATCCTCAATTTCTGTAAAAATGCACCACAATATAGTGAAGTCTCTAGATGGAGCACCACATGGTGAGTAGTGGGTGATTTTTAACACACCTCTACTGGCTTATTTGAGCAACACAATGCTAACTGCAGCTATCTTAATGATCACAACTTTTAAAAGAACTCTGAATGGCTTCTTTTTGATAAAAAAAATAAAATAATAATAATAATAATAATAATAATAATAATAATAATAATAATAATAATAATAATAAAATAAATAAATAAATAAAACATCATGTTTGGAAAAGTAAGAACTACTTGACATAATGCAATAAGATACTATAAATAAATAAAACATCTGAAACGTTTGCATTTAGTTTGAATTATCCTAGGGTCTTTTAAGATAGTTCAAGTTCACTATTTAAAGTTTGCTGTCATAACATTAAGTGTCAAATGGATGAGTTACACAAGCTGCAACCATGCCTAAACTTTATCAGCATGTGCAGTGCATGTGCATGAGTTCTTGTGGATGCTGATAAGGATTCTGTGATGATCCTTAAGAAAAATACAAGCCTGGATACGGCAAAATAGTGGACTAAAACATTGTATTTAGGTGGACCTGTGAAAGATATTTACTTATACAAAGGCTGTAAAAGTAAAAACTGTCTGAGACCAAATAGTGTGATGTAAAGATTTGCACCTGTCATGTTTCAGTTTGAGAAATCCAATTATAAACAACATAAAGCATAAAGTTTGACAGTTACTTCAAACATACTCTCAGTTTGTACATTTTCAGGATTGTGGGATCTATGAGGAGCAGAATTTTAAATATTCAAAGCTGTGTTTCTGTATTAAACTCACTCTGCTTCCTTGTCAGTATCACAGTTTTATCTTACCTGCTGCATCTGCCGCAGCAGCCCCAATAACGGCCCCCACTGCTCTGTCTGCCAGAGTCAGGGCCATCTGCCTGCATTCACACAGAGAGATGAGGCATAACGTCATTTCTTAATGAAGAAATAAAAACCTCACTGATGTTAGAACAGTTTTTACATTTTCAGAAACTAAAACATGTCTCTGGAAATAGTTTTCATGCATGACAGCTGGTCAGAAAATGATTCTCCTGCATGAACTCTTCTCACAGAGGACACACACTCTGATTTTCAGAGTTGTGTTGGAATATTCATGTGTTTGTATTTAACATAAGTCCTTGAGGGAACATGGTGCATGATAATGGAATCCTGAATTATTTCTAATGTCAATAAAACATAGTTCTTTATCCTTACCTTGTAGCCTGGTGTTTTTCACAGACCACCTGCAGTGTGGGTAAGACGTCGTCCTAATGCAAGTTGTCTGTTAAGAGGAGGGACCACTACTGCAGTGATAACACACACACACACAAACACAAACACAGGCACTGACAGACACTGAGGAAAACTGTATTTGAAAAGGGGCGGTGGGGGGCAAAGAGGGTGGAGCTTTGCCTGATATAGTGGAGACTTGTCTTTGAGAATTCAGCTTGAAAGCAGAGAAAAATACTCGTAAGAAAAAAAAAAAAAAAAAAGTTGTGTACAATAAGACAAGTCTGATTTCACAGGGTTCAGTCCTTGGACCTCTTTTGTTTCTGTAAACATGCATTAATTTTTTCAGTACCCTGATGTTCTCTTATAATCATCACCGCTTACTTTCTGCCAACACCAATGGTGACAACTTATTTGTCAATAACAAAAATCAGCAGAGACTTGGATAAAAAGCTGTGATAGTAACTTCTCCAAATACCATCCCTGGACGTCATTGGCCTGATTTGCATGACTTACCCTGAACTTCAGGCCCCCAGCAGAAATGCAGACAACAATGGGCTACAGGAACCTTTTAGTTCCTCAAAGAAAAGTCCCTAGAACTGCAAGTTGTAGGTGCTTTTGGTTGAAACAACACCAGTGCAACAATATCATACCACTATGAATGAAAGGGATCGGATAGGTAGATAGATAGATAGATAGATAGATAGATAGGTAGGTAGGTAGGTAGGTAGGTAGGTAGATAGATAGATAGATAGATAGATAGATAGATAGATAGATAGATAGATAGATAGATAGATAGATAGATAGATAGATAGATAGATAGATAGATAGGTAGGTAGATAGATAGATAGATAGATACTTTATTAATCTGATTAAGATGTTTGGCAGTTAGAGAAATGCAACAATACCATCACTCCCCTCCGCTCTCTTTCCTCATTTTTCCGCTCTATCCATCGTCCTCTCCTTTCCAATAAAAGCATAAAAAGAGACAGTAAAAAGTGCAAATGTTTCAGTCTATTTTCACATCAGATAAGCCTTATTTTAAGAGGTTTGTTATCAAAGATGCCCCAGAACTGAGTGCAGAAAAAACTGTTGTACTGTTGTACTCTGCTCATGTTTTCTGGTTTCTGACTGCACTGCCATAAAACTGTGATGTCTGTGAGATGCTGGAGGTGACCGTTCTGCTTAGCTGGATTTTTGAGGCCCCCCCCCCCCCTCCCCCCCCTTTGAGTCTGAGTCTTCCTCCATATATACTGTCTCTGTGTGAGATCCCTTCTGTCTGAACTTAATGCCATTAACTTTCACTTTAAATTATCCTCTGTTTCACGGTTTAATTGCTTTCTTCCTTTTTGCTCTGCTGCAACAGCAGAAAGCAGAAAAGTCTTTGCTGAAACAGCCTTCAAAGCCACTGTCTGTCATTTTCATTAGTCATGCTATCTGTCTACATCTCTTCCACTCCATCGCCTCTATGGGGCCTGTTCACAGCTGATCCCTCTTCTGTTCCAGCCCTGATGAAACCCTGCGAGGCCTGGCCAGGCTCCACTTATCCCCGACCCCTCACGGGTTTCCCAGGCTAACGATCCATTGATTCCTCTCCTGACTTCCTAAACCAGCAAACAGGCAGCAGGGGAGGGGTCAGACAGTCGATAGCAGTCAGATAACAGTGAGTGAAAGCTGCTACAGCTCACTGTTTGCTCCGTCACATGGCTCTCCATGACTCTCTGCAAAGTAACACTGATTGTGTTTCAACTTGTGAACCAAACTCTTGCTCCAGACGTCCTGTCTGAGAGTTCTGCAGAATTAATATGAACAACAGGAGCGTGAAAGGAGAGCGTTTAATAAAGGAAATAGATTTAGAAATATGTAAGTGTATTAGGCCTCAGGTGGAGCAGGGAGATAAATCTTCATCGAGCATATTAGCAGGAAGCAGAGAGCATTATCTCAGTGTAATGTCCTTTACAGAGTGGATAAAAGAGCTGCTCAAATGGATCTGACTCTGTCACCAGATCAAGTGACACAATGAGCCGCTGAAGCTCTGTGAATCACAGGCTAGATGACTTACTGGAAGATATCGACAGACTGGGGACTGTGTGGTGGTGTGCGGAAGATCAGAGATTTGAGGGCTGGGTGTTGGGGAGAGCAGGGGATTTCATTTTGATATCTAATATCCCGAATTTGCAAAGTAACACAAGGAGGGATAAATGCTGACCTGCAGACACAACATTGTGAATCATGACCTGCACTATGCCTTTTTTTTTAAACTTAATGTACAGCATGGAAACATTAATTTTGAGCCATAAACTACTTTTTTTTCAACACTAAACAATATTTTTTTTATACTGATGCCAGAAGAAACTACATATGGACAAGTTTGGATTTGCATTTAAATCTCTGTCTTCATCATCTTCTGGAAGGATCAATTCTAACTTTCCCTGTCTAACTCCTGGTCTCTTTGGCTCTAAAGGGGCCTATAAATAACCGAATTAACATCATACTGTATTACGGAAGAACTGAAACTAGAGATCAAGACCAGAGACTTAGTGGTAAAATGTTTATGGGGGAATAAATCAATGGAAAAGTGATTTAGATCCGGGCTGCCTTTTTGGATCAGCTCCGGTAGACTTAATACACTTAGAAAACAAATGAACTTGGGAAGTCTGAGGAAGAGGATGTTGGCTTGAAGCATGACTTGTGTTTAATAAACTCTTATTGTGCAAAACTCTTAAACTTTATATCTTCAATAGTAATGCATTATAAAAACATATGTACAGTGTTAGCAGATAGAGGACAGTAAGTTTTTGTATCAACATGTAAACATATTTATTTTGTTGTAAATATGGGCTCTTTATGTGTGCAGCCTCAGCCTTTTGCAGCTTCAAGTGGACATTACAGGAACTGCAGTTGTTAGCACTGCCAGCTTGATTTCTCAGGATGGAAAGTTGCAGAAAGTTTGCAGTTTAGAGATATGATCAAACTCATTAGTAAAAGTTGAATTTGATGATTTGCTTAAATGTAAGTTGTCCCATGGGTATGCAAATAGTCTAGCGAACCCCACGTATGGGGACCATGGTCCCCACAGCCATCGCAGTTTCGAGTTCAGCCCTGACCATGTGCTGCATGTCATCCTGTCATAAAAGGCAAAAATGCCCCCCTTCAAAAAGCATCAAAAAAATGTTTTACAATTTCTGTCAACGCTAACTGAATGTAGGGATTAAAATGACTCTACGCAAACATGGGCGCTCCTCGTGTTGCGACCAGCAGAAGGGTGAAAGTTAGCGTGCTTACTTAGTAGCCAGTAAAATCATTGGGGTCACATTACGCGATCTGTCCATAATTCTTTACAGGAGGATAATCGCTAAGGCTCAGGACATTATTCAGTGTCCTAATCATCCTCTCCATGCTGAATTTGAGCTCCTTCCCTCTGGCAGGAGATTCAGATTGCCAAAAGCCAAATCAAATACACTGAAAACTCATTCATAACACAAGCCATTACCCAACTTAATTCGAATTCTAAACTGTTATGATACGCTACACCTTTTTATTTTACATTTATTTATTTATTTAATCTTATTTATTTTGTTGATTACATGTAACAGCTCCCAGTTTGCCCTCTGGGGTACCTGCCATTTCAATATTGTGTTAAGTTTGTGTGGATGTGCTCTACATGTTCTGTGTTTGTTGCCTTTCTGCAACATAAATTTCCCTTTGGGTACAATAAGTTTGAAAGTTGAAGTTGACTGTGTGCTGATCTGACTTGTGTCCAATCTTTAATAGTTTCTAATTTTAACAGCTGCCATGATGTTTTGTTCAGACTTTCATGGTTCCCTGAGGTCAAATTCTGCAGATGTCTAGGACCTTTCACTCTGATACTCAGATTAGGGTTAGTTTGAGCATTTGGTGAAATCTCCAAACAGCTGTTGGAGAGATTACTAAAATGTTTGCTCCAGACCTTTAAACCCCCAGGATCGATTTTACTAGTGTTTCGTGCAGGTGCTCTAGGAGGTCATTTTATTTTGTGTCCACGTTTTGATTTATATTTAAAACAGAAAAAACTCACACTCTGTGTTATTGCTGCATAAACTAATGTTAGCATGCTCATACAGTAATCATAGATGGCGCACTCAATCAAAATCAGCATGCAAGCACTGTTGTTTACTCAAAGCTATTGCTGCAGTGTTTGTAGACTGTGTTTAGTGCACTTGCTTTTATGTGAAATGTACTGTTTTTTATCATGCTCCATGTTCAGGCTTTTGCTATCAGAGGCTCACTGAACATTAATCTGTTTATTAGGTAGATGAAGCACTTTAATTATGAGCTCTGATAGAGAAAAAAAAGCCCTGGCAGTTAGATCAGATCTGCCATATGTGCTCAGATATCATCATGCTGTTTCTTGGAAGCTTTCAGGGTTAGTGATTAGCTTCTCATTCAGCTCATAATCCAGGTGATATCAGCCAGACACAGGCAGATATTTCATCTGTGCATAGATGGTCAAAGAGAAATAATAAACCTGTTTGATGAGAATGCAACAGATTGATCAAAAAACAGCTCAAACAGTTGGAACCATGTTGAGAATACTGATCCTCACATGTTAGTGAGCGTTTGTGTTTCCTCTCAGTCTCTGCTTGCACAGTTTTAATCAGAAGAATGATGAGATTGTCTGGCTTCATGGTTGTCCTTTTGGTTCAGCAGAAGAGGTGGAAACATGAGCAGAGTGTGGATCAGTCTGCCAGTGTCCTGCAGACACCTCTCCTGTCATGTGTGCTCTGACAGGCATGATAGCATGTCCATGTCTGATTTCCATACAATGAGGATAAACCACCTCTGCTTTTTGACATTTTTCCAAAGAATCTGCAAAAATCTGAAAAGAAGCTGCAAAGAGAGCTGTTTTCTTTATCACAGGCAGTGCTGGAGACTAATCTGTATTCTTCATAAAGGCCTGTTTTCTCCTATTGTATGTAAATATTCCCACACTGATTCACTGAGTTTCATTGTTTCTGTCAGATTTCTCTGCTGCATTTCTTATTTCTGTCTGCAAAAGAGATCATTGTCATTGATGTGCATTAAATTTGGTTATATCTTCTGTTATTTCTGCACAAACTGACCTCATATAAAGACTTATATTTATCTCTCTTTCTCAGTTATGCCTCTTTTTCT